TGAAGAATTCTAAAGGCAGAGGTAAGGAAAGAGTGCATTTCAGGCATGAGGGATGACCAAATCAATGGAATAGAGTACATGAAAGCAAGTGCATTATGCAGCAAGGTAGAATAGAGTCAGGTTATGAATAGCTTTAAAGTCATAAAGAAGAATTAATATTTTAACCTAGTGGTAATAGGGAGCCACTGAAGTTTAATGAGTAGAGAGTCAAGGAAGATCATTTTGGTAACTGTTTGGAGGATGGAGAAAAGCGGGTAAAGACCTGAGGCAGGGATATCAATCAGGGGGCCACTGCAGTAGTCCAAGAGGAGAATGAAGGCCTGAACTAAAGGTGGGCTGTGAAGTGAAAAATGCCATAGAGGTAGAAATGGCAAGATTTGGCACCTGAGAAAAGAAGTGAGGTGAAGGAACAAGAGAAGTTGAAGAAAATGCAAAAGTGCCTAAATGCCTAAGAAGGATGATGGTGCCCTTGGTCATAAATGAGATGTTTGGAAGAGAGGTAAGGTATGAAGGGAAGGGGACGGAAAAGTAATAAAAAATTATACTTTGGACATGCTGAAAATGTACAATAAATAGCTGGTAATTTAGCCAGCAAGTAAATAAATACAGAGAGAGGAGGATCCAGGACAGAGCCCTTAGGTTACAATCACAGTAAAAAGTCAGAATATAAATAATGATCCAGCAAAGGAAACTAAAAGGGGACAGTCAGTCACACAGGAAAAGCAGGAAAGAGTAAAGTCATGGAACCCCAGATAAGAGGCAGTACTCCAGTGTCATATATAGCAGAGAGATCAAGATCAAGGATGAACCGAGAAAGACCATCATCACATTTGGCAATTGAGAGTGACAACTTTGGAGTCAGCAGTTTCAGTTAAGTGATGAGATCAACAATTGAGGGATGAGGTTAACAGTTGAGGAGCAAGTAAAAGGAAATAAGCATATATAGTGAGTACAGGCATCTATCTCATATAACAATATATAAACAAAAGCAATTTTTACCAATGCCTTGTACAACAAATATGAATAGAGAAAATAATATTACTATCCATATTGTAAAAAACATAATTTCTAATTTTTATCAATTTCAGTTTTATTTTTTTAAACAATGAAAACTCTGGTTAAGGACAACTCCCCAAGCAGCTTCTTCATAAAGATACTACCAGAAACAATAACTAACCATTTAATTATACTGAAAACCAAATAACTCAAAATTCTGATATAAGTTTCTTAAGCTCATCAATCTCAAATTACAGGGGAGAAAGATCTACCAATCACTTTGTCAAGGCAGATCCCTCTGCCTACACAAGTGATCCCATTTCATCTCATCTCATCCAACGGATGGCCCCCTCTTATCATCCTCATTCTCTCGCTTATCTTCAATCTCTCCCTATTTATTCCTTCCCTACTGCCTACAAATATGCCCATATCTCACACATTCTCTTTGAGAAGGCCATCTACAACACATGCCTCCACTTCCTCTCCCTTCACTCTCCTTAACTCTCTACAATCTAGCTTCTGATCATATCACTCAACTAAAACTGCTCTTTCTAAAGTTACCAACTACCTCCTAGCTACTAAATCCTTTTCTCAAACTTCATGCTTCTTGACCTCTCCGTAGCCTCAGACATCATCGATCACTCTCTTCTCTTTGATACTCTCTCTAACTTTTGGGACGATGCATCCTCCTTGTTCTCCTACTTATCTGACCACAACTTCTCAGTGTCCTTTGCTGGATCTTCATCCAAGTCATGTCCACTAACTGTGGGTTCCCATAGGGCTCTGTCCTAGATCCTCTTCTCTTTTCCTAGCAATATTACTTCAGTTAGTGATTTCATGAACTCCTTTGTATTCAATTATCATCTCTATATTGATGATTTTCAAATCTACTTATCCAGACCTAATCTGTCTGCTGACCCCCATGCTCACATCTCCAACTGCCTTTCAGATATGTCCAGAAGACAACTTAAACTCAACATGCCCAAAAATGAACTCATAACTTTCCTTCCTAAACCACCCCTTCCTCCACACATACACTTCCAAACTTCCCCGATACTGCTGAGGGTACCAGCATTCTCCCAGTCCTTCAGGCTCACAACCTAGGAGTCATCCCCAAATCCTCACTCCTTCTCACCTCACTTATCCAATCCATTGCCAAGGCCTGGAGTACAGACAATATTGCAACACCTGTCAAATAGATCCCTTCTCTCCTCTGGTATTGCCACTACCCTGGTGCAGGCCCTCATCACCTCACATCTAGACTACTGCCATAACCTGTTGGTTGGTCTGCCTGCCTTCACAGGGCAATGACAATGAGAATTATACAAATAAAAGTAAAAAGTTTTGCAGAAATCATGAAGTAGGGCAAGGAAAGAAAATCTTTGCATCAAATACCTTGGGTACAAGTCTGATACTCAACATACAAATTAAACTGATTATTGCTAGAAAATCATATTTAGTAGAAAGGAGTCTTGAGTAGAAGGCAAATAATGTTAATTCACTACAGCAGATACAAAAACTTAGTTATCTAAATGAAATTTCATATTGAAAGTACAGCTAAACTATATAAAATTATTTTTAATACTTTATAATTAATTATACTCACTGAATTATGATTTAATGTTTACCTATGTGAACTTGGGCATATCACATAACTAAGCTGGGTCTCAATTTTCTCGTCGATAAAATGAAAGGGTTGGACTAGATGAGATATTAAAGTCCCTTCCAGCTATAAATCTCAGATTCTCTAATCTTGGTCCAGTCACTTAACTTCCCCGGGACACCATTTTGTCACATAGAAAATGAGGGGACTGAACTCAATAATGTTCAAAGTTTCCTTCCAGAAATAAAAGTCTTTGAAACAGATAAGATCTCCTATAAGCTAAAAGAATAAATACTCATGAGGCAGCTAGGTGGTGCAGTGGATAGAGCACTGGCCCTGGAGTCAGGAGGACCTGAGTTCAAGTCCGGCCTCAGATACATAACGCTTGCTAGCTGCGTGACTCTGGGAAAGTCACTTCACCCCAATTTCCTCACTGAAAAAAACAAAAACAAAAAAACAAAAAAAAGAATAAATACTTATAATATTTTTATAGTTACTGAATTATCAAATGTCAGTTCAATGTTGTTTTAAAAAAAAAAAAACACTGAAATATATCAACTTTAAATTGACTACTGCCATCTTGTGGTCAGAAATGTGGAAAAAAATTTCAAATTCCTAAAGAGCTTTAGCTCTTTAGTATTTTGTGATACAAAAATACTTTAACTAGGTATAACATTCAAAGTATTTAAGTGAATTAACAATTTCAAGAAGTTAATATTTTTTAAAAATGCATTAAATGAATACTGTCTTATATATACACACATTGTAAAAATCTTTCATCATAAATAAAAGTAGAGTTGATGAGCATTGTTTCAGTTCTCTATGTTAACTTGATTGCTGATTAAGCTTTTTCATGTGTTACTCCTGTAATTCCTTTTCCATGGTTTTAAAACTTAGGGTTTTGTTAAAGTTTGATAAAAAGCTGAAGTACAAGTACTGAATGTTTTCCTACAGGTTCTCTGAAACAGTGAAAAGTGCCGGACCTGAAATCAGACAAAACCTGGATTTGAATCCCAACTCCAATGCTCAGAGCTGGTTAGCTGTGTGACCCTGGACAGTCACTTACAATCTCTTGAGTCTCAGTTCCTTCTGCTATAAACTGGGAAGACAGTAACCTGCAGAACTTATCTCTCAGTGTTAGGATGCAACTCAAATGAGAATGTATGTAAAATGTTGTAAACCTTAACATATTATATAAATGATAGCTATTATTACCAGTTGTATGATCTAGGACAAGTCATTGAATCTCTTTGCACTTATATACCAAAAGACTGTCAGGAGACTGAAGTGCTAAATGAAGCAAATGACAATTTCGTATACTCTCTATTCCAACCAAACTCACCTACTTGCTGTACCCTGTATATGGCATTCCACTTATCATGCAGGTTGACCTGCATACTTAGAATGCACCTCCTCCTCAAGGGAGGTTCAAGACCCTAAAGGAGGGGAGGAAGAGCGGAGATGCAAAGCAGTGGCCAAACTTATTGGTATTTTAGCACACCTTCTATATAAATACATCCATTTTTTTACTGAAACTAAATTTCAAATAAAAGTTAACAAGGTCAAGTCTAACAATGATTTTATTACAAATGACATACATACATACATACATACACTACAAGAAAAGGAGTCAACAGTGAGTCATCCTTCCTTTTCCTCTCCTCCAATGGAATTAATACTGATTAAAGAGAATGAAAACAAAGGCACAAGGGCAAAAAGCTATTTACACACACACACACACACGCACGCGCGTGCGCAAATACATGTTACGTATATTGTATGATATATATGTGAATACACACACACATAAAAATACATGTGTGGTGTGTTTATGTATACCTACACATACATACATACACACACACACACACACATACACACACATACACACATATGTGGAAAAAAATAGATTCCTAAATTCTATATTGCTAACTTTTACTGAGCTTGCCATCCACTAAAATCACAATTATTTTTTTCATAGGAAATGTCGTTCCACATTTCATTCATTCATTCTGTACTCGCACCACTGAATACTTGAACTCAAATATAAAACCGTACTTCTATCTTCATTAAATTTCATCTTATTAGGTATGACTACCATGACCTAGTCAAACTGATAAAAAGGACATATCCTATATGGTCAGTTGCACATTTAAGACAAAAATTCCATAGCTATAATGTGCACTGGTAACTTAATTTTATAAGTATACAATCAATTACATTATAGTCTTTATTTAAGCTATTTCCAAGAATGAAGAAATAATTTACTGACCAAGATTGAGACATTGTAAAATCTAAACCTAAAATGGCAAAACATGTTCACATAAAATTAATTACATATTTGTTCTGTACCAGAATTGGTAACAGACTATTACAGAGATGAATGAAAAATATGACTTACCTCGGAGATGTGCAAATGAAGTTTCTGATTTATTCTTTACACGTATTACACGGGCATGTACTGGTTTTTGCTCAGTTGGTTGAACTTCCTGATGGTGCTTCTCCTTGCCCTAAATTTTTTTAAAAATCACAATATTGCTGTTTCACGTTGGTTTCTAAAAATGCTACATCGACTAAAGTCATGCAGCTTTTTGGCCATTTATTTACGAGCACTTTCACCAGATAATGAGCAAGGAAAGAGAAGTAATTGAATTCTATCCATTAGATGTGATATATATAATATAGGGGGAAAGTAATAAATGACTAGAATGACAGTTTGAGGATTATTTAAAGATTTTACCATGTACACTGAATATACCTATCTACTGCTAACATGAAAAGTTAAATTACATTGTATGGTATCATATAACAAAAACCATCATTTACATACAATGAGTACCTAATCACTTATTAACATACATAGGTACCTTTACATTTTCATTTCCTGCAAAACATTTCCCCTACATATTATCTCCTAAACCTAAGCCCACCTAGATCCATCTTCACAATCCATACATATTTTCCAGCACAACCCTCTTATCAACTACCTCTCTTTATGAATCTCCCTACCCAGCACCTGAAATTGACAGCAGCCATAATTCCTTAACAGGAATTTTGTAGGGTCAAAGAGAATTTAAGACACATCCTCAGGTGTGCCAATTCTAGCAGTGGCATGTACCCCTCTGGTGAACAGCTAATACACAGAATGCTAAGACCAACTTTAGGGTAAAATTCCTATTAGCCATACTAAGATATGATCCTCCAAGAAAACTACCGGATGGATGAGAGGTAGGCAGGTTTGTGCCACGAATGAAGCACTTGGAGATTCATTTTACATTATTCTTTCTAGTTCTGAGAGTTCTATGTGAGTCAAATATCAACATCTGTCTTGCTCTGGCTTTGGAAAGTGAGTCATGTCTGCTCTCACTTCAGAGTGGGGATGGATGCTCCTGAAGGAAGATGTGCCCTTCGTTGGCCCCTATGTAAATAACCCGACATCTAGTCATAAGGAATCTGTTAGCACCTTTCTCTCTTATATTCTTCCCTCTCCAAGGGAGGATTCACTGCCTTAATTTTAGAACAGATTAGCATGTAAAAGGAAATAACCTCCCTCCAAAAGAAATCTAGCTACAGAAGGATAATGGTTTATTACTGAGCTGCTTTTTCTTCAACCTTGCCTGACTGTCCTTTGGCTGTTTAGACATTGTGGCTACCACATTTTTGTCGCAGTGAATATTCTACAAAGGTGGCAATCAATATAAGACCAAGACATGCAGCTTCTTCTCTAACCTTCCTTTTGTATGACCTTCAGAAGGTAGTACAACCCTGTGCTCATAATGGACATGCAATACTTTTTGAATGAATCTGCAAAATAATATCCTACACAGACAAGCATTTTCATCATGCAAAAATAATAAATTTACAATGCTGCCATCACCAAAAATAACAATCTAGTTCTTTAAAAAAATCTTCTGCTAGAACAAAATTATCATTGTTATTATTACTATAGATAATCTTTCTTATGATCTAATTCTTAGTTTAACTTTTTTCAAACAAATTAATTCTAAAAGCTATTTTTCAGGTACCTGAGCAAGATCTTCAGGTGCAACTGCCAACTCAATCTCATTTATTTGTGTTGCCTGAAGAGGGAGGTTTGAAATCTGTTGCAAATCTAGTTCCCCCAAACTCATTGGACCATGGCTGATACATGAATCTTCATTAACTTCTCCTAGAATCATAAATACATGGACACAAATTTTAAGCAAATTATGAAAAAAAATTACTGCCAAAAAAGAATAATCCATTTGATTATAAAGCTAGTAAACTTAAGATGATGGATAAGAAGAAGCAATACATTTAGTCATTTTTATACTAAGGATATTAAGTAATAATCATTAATTTATTCATGTAAAATATCTATTATAATGTTATTTGGGGAATTAAGTAGCTTTTAATAAATAAATGGTAAATAATAATAATGAAATAATAATCTGGGATTGGACTACCAGATCACAAAAATCGTCATTCACTAGATTGGATAAATTAGCATATGTAATCTTTCCCATATTAGATTTGAATACCCACTTTTGAAAACTTTATGTGAAAAACTAATACATAGAATGTGAATAACATATAGTCAAAGATATGTATAAATCATTTTAGGGGGGATTCTCATGAATTAGTAGATCCATAGAACTATGCTAATTCTTGCTCTCCTTATTTTAATCACTGCATTAAGGTCAACAGAATAATGTTCCTTGAGTGTTATCTTCAAAAGCACATGGCAGACGATGTATTAAGTTGATTTGAAAAAATTATTATTCTTTTGGCCTGTCTTTATGCCTTCCACCAAATCATGGAGAGATTCTTTTTCTTACCCAAAATGAACCTCATTCAGATTCTAAACACCAATATGTAAAGAGGAATGACAGCAGAAACAAAACGGGTTAAATAATAAAACCTTGTAGTATTTCACAAATTACAAAGCACTTTCAGACACATTAATTCACTGACGTGTGCTTCACAACAACCCAGTGAGGTAAGCAAAGCAGTTATCATTCTCCTTTTTTTCAGATAAGGAAACTGAGCCTGAGTATCAGTGATATCTAAAAGACCACATATGGCTTATAATCCAACTCTTAGTACAACGTTCTTCCAGTGTAATATACTGTCTCTCATGTTCTAATACTTCTCACTTAGTATTTTAAGGGCTATGACTATTTAGTTTGCCTATTTTCATTTAGCAAATATATGTATAACTTATTTTAATTAATAAATGTGTTTCTGAAAGGTAATAAGTAAATCAAATCAAAATAAAGCAAATCACAAACATTGGACTGGCAAAGATAACAAAAAAAGGAAACCGCCAATGTCAGAAGTTGATGTGGGAAAACCAGCACACTAATGCATCAGTGATTGACCTGTGAACTGGTATAACCATTCTGCAGAGCAATTTGGAATCCGGGGAATCCCCAGAAGTCACCATACTCTTTGACCCAGAGATACTGTTACCCTATACCCTCAAGACCTATACCCTCAAGGAGATCAAAGAAAGAGGGGAAAAAAGAGAGAGAGACTCACATATACAAAACATTTATAGCAGTTCTTTTCATAGTGGTAAAGAACAAGACACTATGGCAGTTGGGGGGACCCATCAATTGAAGAATGACTAAACAAACTGTGGTACATGATACAGTGTAACAGAATATGACTGGATTGAAAGAAATTACAAAAGGAACAACAATTTTAGAGAAGTCTGGGAAAACTAGAATGAGCTGATAGAGAGTGAAGTAAGCAAAATCAGGAGAACTATACACTAATAGCAATAATGTAAAAATAAACAAGTCTGAAACACATGAAAATTCTGATCATTGCAATAACCAACCATAATGCTAGAGGGCTGATGATGAAATGTGCTAATCACCTCTTGACAGGGAGATGATGGCTTCAAGATGCAGAATAAAACATACATTTTCAGACATGGCTAATGTGTGAATTTGTTTTGCTTCACTATAAATGTGTTACAAGGGTTTTGTTTTGTTTTTCTTTTTTCTAGTTAGGGAAGGTGAGAGAAAGGCAAAGGGAGACGAAGATAAGGTAGCAAAAATTTTTTTAAAAAATGAGGGTCATTGAGGCATCTTTTCTTAAAAATGCATAGAAAAGAACAGAAGGAAGCCCATAAAAAGACCTATGCAAGTAAGAGTTTTGAAAACTACTGGATGAATTACAGAACTAGGGAAAAGAAAAGCAAGCTGTACATAACAGAACTGTACAACTTCATGTACAATCTTCTTTTTCCATGCTACTATATATATGGAAATGTCCATACACTTTATTTAGTGTTTATTACGTTCAAAATTTAAAAAAAGGTTTTGAAAAAAATTTATATTAAAAAACAAAGGATATGAAAAACACAAGGCTTAAATTATAACATACAACTCAAAAAGTGTCCAGTTGACATAGTATATCAATGAGTATTGGGCAAGCAGTGAAAATGAGCAGGGTCCAAAATGGAAAGGGGAGCATACTGGCTTGGTACTGGCCCCTTCTGGACTGGAATAAGGAGTTGCTGTGGCCCTCTTTACAGAGCAGAGCCCTTGTATTCTCCCTCACCCAGGGCCAATGTGAAACACAGACCAAATGGCTTTGCTGTTAATTCTGTCTCTGTTAAGCATATTTTTTCCAGCTTTAAAAGGAAGGAAACAGGAGATGGTTATGGCCTTGTGAGCTTTGAAAGATCAAGAGGGTGAGCCACCAGGAGCTAGAGCCCAGGCTGAAATTTACTGAAAGCAAGAGGGTAAGGAGCGATAGCACAAGCCACCTAGCCCAGCAGTAGCACAGACACAGGTGCATTCATGTATTGGTCATGCCACCTTTGAAAATAAACTTTGTGAAGCATACACCACACACAAATTTACTTAAGTCTGAGCCCACTCTGCCCAGATAATGAGCTGATGATATAAGAGTGTGCCTCTCAGGTATGGAAGAAGAAAGAATGTTGTACTTCTGTTCTTGCTATAGCTTGGTAATAAATATCCCTTTGTAAAAGTTTTTTTTTTTAAAAGAAATACATTGGTCTGTATTTTATTTGAAGAATTACACAATTCTTTCCAAGATGTTGAGCTGCACATGGTTTACAAAAAAGTCCAGTTCTTTAATACAATATTCCCTCAGTGATGGTATATATTCATTGATTATATGATACAACCATCTCAGAAGAAATAAAAAGGCAAACAATTCAAAGAAAAATGGAAAGGGAATGGTGAGTATACATGGGTTACATATGCTATAAATGATTCTATGTGACAAAGAGAAAGGCATCAACAAAGACACATATGGCTAGAAAGATCATGCAATGGGAATGAAAGAACCCAGGTCCTCTGACTCAGAATCCAGGCTTTCTCCACTTTAGCTTCCTCTAGTGTGTCCTACTCCTGTTAGGAATAAACATAAACCCCTTTGTCTAGTATTTAACATTCTCCACAATCCTGCCCATTCTACCTTTCCAGTCTTACAACCTATTACTCCCTTTCGCCAACTCTACAATCCATACTGTTTTGTAATTCCTCCCACATGACACTCCATCTTCCATATCTGTGTCTTTGCACTATCTGTTCCCCATGATTCAAACACATTTCCTCCTTACCTCCACCTCTCAGAAGCAGTTTTGCTTAAAGATAACAAACATGTATGACTTTTTGCATAAGACCTTTCCTGGTCTGTACGTAACTGCTAGTGCTTAACTAAAGGCATTCTGAGTCTATTTTGTGTGTGCTCTGTATATATCTTTCTATAAACATGTTATCTCCAAGGAGCAAGACTATAAGCTCCCCCGAGGGCAAGGATTGTATCATTTTAATTGATATCCTCAGAACACAGCACAGCATTTGACACATAGTAGGTACTTGATAAATATTTATGGACTGACTGACCAAATCATCTTCAGTAGAAAATTACTCTGGTTGGAATTTGAGAATATTTTCCTTTTAAACCTCTTTTGACTGTAATATAATTGTATGTGTATAATCTTTAACATTATAGCATTATCCCCCAAAATTCCAAATACATAGATGAAAAAAAGCATTTTCTGTCCTGGTTTCCAAGAGACACCTTGAAAAATAATATTTTAGTGACTACCTGTAGTTTTGTCAAATTGCTTTGATAATGGCCCATGATAACTCTTTTGCTCTAAACACTCTGTAGAAATGAGTGTAGGCCGATCCATATAATGTCCCATGAAGATACTCTCCTTTGATGCTGGAAGTCTAGGTCTTTGTCCTTCACTAAGTTCCTCTATACTATTTTCAGATTCCTATTAAAGAAAGAGAAAAAAATGTATCAGGCAAACCATCATATCAAAATTAAATAAAAAATATGCTGAGGTACCTGGCACATTATGATACTCAGAGAGAGTAACATCAATTTTCAACTATACTCTGAAATTTTAGTAATTATAAAACCAAGCAGTTATATTTAAAAAAAGACTAATTCAGAAAATGGTCACACTTGGAATGCATCTACCTAGTAAATAGTAGACCTTTTGCCACTAGCTTGTTTTTATATCTTATTTTTTGCAAGTTAAAAAGTTACTCTGTCTCTTCATCAAATTTTCAAATCAAATACTCAATAAAGAAGAATTTGTTAAGCTCCTACTAACTACTTTGTACTAAGTGCTAGAGACATCAAGACAAAAATAAAACTGTAACTGCTCTCAATGAGTACACTAGACTGACTCTGAGAGACATCATGATGCATAAGTATATACAAAATAAATACAAAGTCATTTCAAAGTCAGGAGCTGGCACTAGTCAAATTTTAAAGGAAACTAGGGATTCTAAGATGTGGAGCTGAGGAAGAAGTACATTCCAGGAATGGAGGACAGCCTGTGCAAAGGAACAGACATGAGAAAGAATGCCACGTGTTCGAAACAAGAAGAGAAGTTTGGCTGCTCCATAAGGGACTAATGCATAAAGCTGAAAAAGTAGGTTGGAGCTAAGTTGTGAAGAGTTTTAAATGTCAAACAAAGGAGTCTGTATTTGATCACAGAAGTAATAGGGGGCTCCTGGAATATACTGAGTGATACAGAAGACTTCTGCTTTAGGAATATCACTCCGGTAACTGTATAGAAAGTGGATTGAAGAGGGCAGAGATGAGGTAAGGACACCAATTAGAAGGCTACTACAAGAGTCCAGGCCAGAGTTGACAATGGCCTAAATGAGAGGGTGGCTGTGGAAGTAGAATCTGTAAGAGTTTGCAGTTGACCTGGTATGGGGAAATGAGTAAGGATGTGAGGAGATAAGCCTGACACTAAGGTTGCAAACCTCAGTTACAGGAAGGACTGTGATGTCTTTGACAGAAATAACAGAATTAGGAAGATGGGTGGGTTTAGAGTGAAAGATAATAAGTTATGTCCATAGGTGGACATGTTGAATTTAAACAGGACATCCAGTGCTAACTGTTTAACAAACAGTTAGTGAAGTGGAACTGGAACTCCTCCTGGAGTAGGAGAGAGACTAAGGCTGGATACACACTGGGGAATCATCTTCATAAAGATCGATCAATAATCATCCAACAAGCATTTACTTAGCACTGAATAAATGCAAGGTAGTGGGCAAAATGCTGAGGTGAGGAGGAAAAAGTGCCTGCCCTCAAGGAGCTTATGTTCTAATGGAAGGTACAAGTACATAAATCGATATATACAAGATACATCCAGGGAAGATGGGGGGTAGACGCAAGAGAGGAAGGCACTGGAATGTACCAGGGACACAGAATGCCTGGAGGAGACTGGGGGAGAGACCTGCTTTAGGAGGTGATGCTTACACTTGCGTCTTAAAGGAAGGTAGGGATTCTAAGAGGGAAAGACGAGGAGGAAAAGCATTCTAGGTAAGGGGGACTGCCACTACAAAGGCAGGAGATGTGTGAGGAACAGAAAGTAAGTCAGTATGATTACAGTCTAGTATGTGCAATGGATTAATGTGTTAAAAGACTGTTTTGAAGACCTTTAAATTCCAAACAGAGGAATTTGTATTTTATTCTGAGCTAATAAGAAGCCATTGGAATTTACTGAATAGAAGAGTAATATAGGAGTAACAAAGGAAAATCACTTTAGCAGTTATGTGAAGGCTGGGAAAAGACAAAGGCAGAAAGTCCAACTACAAGGTTACTACAGCAGTCCTAGCAAAAGGTAATAAAGCTCTGAATTAGGGAGATGGCTGGGTGGGTGGAAAGAAGGCGCTATACATGAGATATGTTCCAGAGAAAAAAAATTTTAAGACTTGGCAACTGGTTAGATTGGAGCAGATGATCAACCAAGCAAGAATCTAGAGAGGAAAAGACCCATGACAGAACCTTGGGATTCAGATAAAATAAAACATGTTAAATAGTCCAAAAGTTACACAGTTTTGTCTATTTCCAACATCAAATTTTTGAACATATATTGATACAATCATTTTATTACCTACTAATATGGTATAGTAAATAGAGGTGAGCTTAGGTCAAGGAGATATAGGTAAAAGGTTTGCATCTGACATATTCTGACTATGTATGCCTTATAATCAAGGCTCTCAGTGGCCCCAAGTAACTATGTAAGATTATAAATTGTAAAGAAGGTGACGATCATCATTGGTAAGGAAGCTCTTCTCTGAGACTCGCCTATACCAACGAAATCACAGGTCTAGTCAACAATTACGGCAGAACTAATATCATAAAAATGGCAATACTATCTAAATTAAATTACTTATGCAGTTTCTTACCAGCCAAACAACGAAAGGATTAATTTTTAAAAGCTAGAAAAATAATAAAATTCATCTGGAGGAACAAAAGGTCAAGAATATCAAGAGAAGTAATGAAAAAAAAATGGAAAGGAAGGGGGCCTACTAGTACCAGAACTCAAATTACAAAGCCAAAATCATCAAAACAATTTGGTACTGAATAAGAAATGGAGTGGTTGATCAGTGGAACAGATCAGATACGCAATATACAAAGGTAAATAAGCTCAGCAACCCAGCATTTGACAAATCCAAAGATCCTAACTATTGGGGCAAGAATTCACTATTCCACAAAAACTGCTGGGAAAACTGGAAAACAATCTGGCAGAAACTAGATATACACCATCCTCACTTCCAGGGAATTCTTCAGTTGTCCTACCTGGAACTGCAACCTCTTTTTTTCCTACTGGACTCCCAGGTGTCATTGTACATCCACCTGCTCCTGCTTGCTGTGACGTAAGCCTCCCCTGGTCTCAAAGGACACATCATTTCCACCTGCCACATTTCCATCCAGACTTTTTTCCTTTCTTACATCTTTTTGGCATTTACTGAGACCTGGGCCCTTTCTGATGACAGTGTTGCCTTGGCTACTCTTTCTAGTACTGGTTGCACTGTCACTCATACAGTTCTTTTCCCCTGTTCTCGCTGGTCACAATCTAACAATCTAACAATCACTCAAGGTTATACAGTACAGGTATTAATTGTCTATTAAAAGGTTTAGTGGAATTCTGTTATACATACAAATGAACCAAGAAATTTCACCCTCAAAGCCCTCCCCACCTTTGGTAGTTGTTTTACTACTAGATCAGTTTCCTTTCTGAGATTGGATTATTTAAGATCTCAATTTGATATCCTATTAATTGGATATTTCAAATTTTTGCAAATAATCTACTTGAGTTCTCAGTTTTGTTAGCATATAACTCTATATAACAGATTCTCATAACTCTTTTAATTTCCTCTGGGTTTGTTATAATTACATTTTTTTTTGTTAATTTGATTTTCCACTCCCTTTTTTAATCAGGTTGGTTAAAGGTTTACCAGATTTATTAGTCTTTTCAAAGAACCAGTTTTTAGTTTTATCAGTTCTATAGTCCTTTGGGTTGTTGATTTACTGATTTTTCCTCATTTTCAAGATTTCCTCTTTATTGCTTATTTTGGATTTTATTTATTGGCTAATTTTTAAAAACACACATTCTGTTCACTAATCCTCTCTTTCTATTTTATTAATGTAAACTTTTTAGGGATATAATTTTTCCTCTGAAGATTACTTCCACTGCATCCCAAATATTTTAGTATGTTAACTCACCATTATTGCCTTTCACATACTTACTTGTTCTTTAATCTACTTGTTATATAGGGTTTCATTAATAAGTCTTCATTTTCAATTTAGGTACCTGTGTCTTTTGCTTATGTTCTCAAAACTGAATACTGTTTTAAAATGTGTTATAGTCTGTAAATGATATGCTACTTTAATATTATTTCTGCTTTTTTACATTTGTTTGCAATCTCTCTGTTACCCTGATATGGTCTGTTTTTGTAAAAGTGCCATGCCATACATTAGAAATATGTATATTGTTTAAGTAAGTCAAGTGGAGACAGAATTATCCATATTTGCTGATGATATTATGGTTTAGTTAGAAAATCTTAGGGAATCAGAAAAGAAATTGGGACAACTCAAAGAAATTGAGTTACCTTCAAGTAACTGCAGGATGCAAAATTTACCAACTAAAAATATGACAAAATCCAGAAGGCAATAATAAAATGGGAAATACCATTCAAAACAGCTATAAAATACCTGAGCCAAACTACCACCTGATACCTACATAGATAAAATTACAAAATGACCCTTTAAAGAAAAAAAAAAAGAACTTAAATAGCTGGAAGAATATTTAGTATTAATAGTCAGACCATGCCAACATAATAAAAATGAAATTTACATATTTAATGTTATTTCAGTCAAACACCCAAAGGGATACTTTATAGCGCTAGACAAATAATAACAAAATTCACTAGGAGAAACAAAAGATCTAGCATGTCAAGAGAAATAATGAAAAAAGGTAGGAAATAAAAGAGGAGCACCAGTTAAAAAAATAAAAATGACCATTAATGGAATAGACTAACCAAGAAGTCAACAAAAATACTTTAACTCAATAACCTAGATAATAATAATATAATAACATTATAATAATAACATAATATTACAATATAATAAGCCAGAAAACAAAAGAACTCCCTATTTGATAAAAGCTGCCGGGAAAACTGGAAAGCATTCTAGCAGAAATTAGGTTTAGGCCGACATGCAAAATTGGAATCAAGATCTAGGTTTGAATTCTGCCCCAGACACTTACTAACTGTGTGACCCTAGGCAAGACATTTAACCTCTTTGTAAATGAAGAAACAAACTGATCTATAAGATCCTTCTAGCTCTGAATCTAAGACTACATAATATTACATAAGATTCTACAATAAATTCAAAATGGAAACTTAAAATTAATATTAAAGATCATGCATAAAATAATTAGAAGAGAACCAGATCAGGTTCCTTTTACAACTATAACTAAAGAATGAACTTTTAAACAAGTAAGGAATGGAGGCAATTGTTGTTACTGTTTGGTCTTTTCAGTCATGTCCAACTGTATGACCCCACTTTGCTGAGGTTTTCTTGGCAAAGATAATGGAGTGGTTTGCCATTTCCTTCTCTAGCTCATTTTAAAAAAGAATAAATAGACAATTTTGATTTGAAATTTAAAAACATGAACAAAATTAATGCAACTAGGAGAAGAAGAGAAGCAGATGACTGAGGGAAATATTTGTATCAAACATCTCCGAAAAAGGTCAGATACCAAGATGTATAAACAACTAATATAAATATGTAAGACAGGCATTGTCCAATAGGTAAGACCTCAAATGATGTAATCAAACACAATTTCCAACTAGCAAAAGAATTTCCAACTATTAAAAAATATTCAAAAGAATTCTCCATCTAATAATAAAAGAAATGCAAATCCGAACACCTTGGTAGTTTTATCTCATACCTACCACACTGTCAAAAAAAGATAAAAGATAGGAATAAGTCAATGCTGGAGGGGTTCTGCACAAAAGCAGTCATACTAAAACACTGTTAATGGAGTTGTTCTAGTTTTCTTCTGCCTCCTCCTAACAAGAGCTCTACATTCTCCTCTACTTCTCCACCTTTAAAGTGATCAATTTAGGCTTTTGTACCCACACCAACAATTAACAACGTTCCTTTATTTCTTGTTTGGCAAACCAATCAATTACATTGTGTTTGATATACGGGGAGGGAATTCATCTTTTTCTCCACTATTTTTATTCTCCCTCAGTGTTCAATGTTCTGATACAAATTAAAAGGTGCAGTTATCTAAAAGAGATCAATGTGAGTGCACAGGAAGAGAAGGTTTCAGTAACTGTAACTGTTTATTTTAGCTTAAATGTTTTATATCATTTTTTCAATTAGATTTAGGTAGCCTAGCATCTTTTTCTAGGATTTAAAATAATTTCCATGGTACAGGCAGTGTGATAAGAGTGGACAAAGAACTAGATTCAAAGTCAAGAAGACTCACTTCTAACACATTCTAGTTGTGTGATTCCAGACAAGTCACAATCTCTTGGTGCGTTAGGCAATTCTCTAAGACTATAATTTGCAGTTGCTGATTTGCACTGATAAAGGAGTCTTTCTCATTGGAAGCTACCTACATCAATAAATTACAGAAAAGTACACACACACACACACACACACACACACACGTATGTACAAATATATATATGCATCTAATTATTTTATTTTTTAATACACACACATACAAACATATATTAAAGAGAGATAAAATATGAATGAGAATATAGGAGTTACTTTAAGAGTCTGGTAGAATTCATCTGTGAAACTGCCTGAAACTAGAGCCATTGTGAAGTGCAACCTGTCTACTTCTCCTTGACATTATTCCATTTAAAGTTATCCTGGTATTTCATATTTTAATACTTCTATAAGCATATTAATCACTGATAATTTTCATGTTGCTTTTTGCTAGTCTGAGCTTCCCTTATTTCCAACTTTGGCAATTTGGGACTGTTCTATTATTATGATTAGATTTGATAAATGTTTATTTTCAATTTCTTAGAGCTTATTACTCTTTTTCTTAAAGAAAACAACAATCTTGACTATTAGTTATTGTCCTGTTGACTTTCTGCTTTGTTCTGCTTGTAAGTTTTTAAAAAGCAAACTTGACTCCTTAAGTTTTTCTCTTCTGCTTACTGATGCAGACACTTAGCACTCTACATTTACCTCTGAGTACTACATTAGTCATATACCATAGATTTTCATGTACAGAGTCTGTATGGTTGTCATTTTTGCTATAATCTATCATTTTTATAATTTCCTTTCTCAACCAGGTATTTAATTAAGCCTTTTTTTTTTGCCTCCACATGTACCTACACCTTCTGTTCACTGTAAAATTATTTAACACTAATTTTATTGCACTGATAAAAAAGTGCATGGAGGCTACAAAAAGTCTAACCCACCTGAGCTACATCATCCTAGAAACACATTCATAGATGATTCTGGCAGGGAGACAACAATTAGACTCAAAGTAGAATAAATCTGTAAATATATCTATAACAACCTATGTTCAGCAGCAGCAATAGCACCACATTTGGATTAAAAAATCCCTGATATGAAACACAAAGAAACAGAACTGACACCAAAGACAGTAAAGTTAGGAAGAAGAGCTAGACCAGTCCAAGAATACAATACAATCACACAACCCATATGTGCTGAAGGTGGTAAAATGTTGACCATTTTACAAAGTATCTCAGGGAAGATAACGAAAGAAGAGGAAAACACAAAAACTATATAAATAACAGAAAGAAATCAATCGATGAGGCATCAAAACTACCCATCCTCACATCTCCTTTATCACCTTTTAAAACCTTTATAATAATGAGCCACATATGTATCAAGGGTGTCCTTGATGAAAATGTAAGACAAGTTTTTGCAAACAGTTCTCTACAACTGATCATATCTTTATATAACTAAAATATGTAAAAATACAAGATCTCACCGAGTTTACTGTTCATTGACTACAAAAAAAGCACATGACTTGGTAGAGTGGCAAACATTCAGAAAATCTCCCTTGTTCAATGAAGTATTTTCATGTATACGTAAAAATCACTAAATTTTTTAATAAATGTCACCACAGAAATAACTATTCAACAATGTTCTGATTATTAATAAAGGCACAAAACAGGGAAATGTATGTTCCTTCCAGGTGTCCATCACTGTTAGGGAGCAAATCCTGTAAAAGATGGTGAGGTAACAGGATCATGAATCTGATTTGGTGCTAGAAGGAGCCTCCTCTGTTGGCTCAGAGGTCATTGGTAGTCCATCACTGCAGGACTCCAAGGCAATACTGGATGACCATTTGTCAGGGATGTTGTAGAGAGAATTATTCCTCAGTTACAGAATAAGCTGCACGGCCCCTGAGGTTCCTTACAGCCCCTGAAAGCCTAGAATGTTAGGTAAGGTTTTTTGTTGCCAAAGAAGCCAAAGTAAATGAGAAGTGCTCTGGATCAAAAGATCTAAATTCTAATCCTAACCTAGCCACTAACTAAGCTTGAATAAGTCACTTAATTTGTATGTGCCTCAATTTCCTCATCCCTAAAATGTGGGTGTTAGAGTAAGTCTTTCCATTTTTAGGATTCTGATTCGAAGTTGAGTTAAAAGTTTGAGGTTACTACAAGACAAATTTCTGGATAAATTGAGATGTTATTTTATTTCAGAATTAAAAACTGGACCACTGCTAGTTTTACTTCTAAGAATAAATGAATGCTAAAAATTACCTCTGAATGGTAGACGCCTCGCTGTGAATCTAACAGTTCTTGGTTGAATTTAGCAAGAAGTGAGAAAAGCGCATCTTCTTGATATCCTTTATGGGATCTCTTCATCATCACCTGTCCTTCACTAGGAGAATCATCTTCCTAAGAGAAGGGAAACATAAAGAAAGGGGATTATCAAAACCTAAAGACATTTATATTTATTCCCACTTACCTTCACTTATAAAATAATTTTCACATTATACATTAAAGTAAAAAGTTCTAGTTGAACTTTAGTTTTGATTTAATAAACTAAGAGCATTTAATAAACATCTACTATGTTCCAAGCACTGTGCATAATTTCTATTCACACGAAGCTTACATTCCAAAAGAGAAGACAACAACAACATACGTAAATATATACACAATAAATATAAAGAGAATAAATGCAAGTAAATACAAAGTAGTTAAATTCAAGGTAGTTTGGGAGGGAGGGCACTAGTAATTGAAAAAAAAAATCCAACTGGTTCCAAATCAAATTAATAACATCATAAATTGACTGGATATCATTCACATTGGAGACGATAACAAAATTATAGTCACATCCCCAGTTACAAGGGTTGAATGAAATATACACACTTTACAAATTATGTCCAACGTGGTGATCCTTACCACACATACAATAGAGAAAAGGGACACAACAAAATTAAATGTAATAATCCAATTGTGATGCAAATGCAATAATCTAATAATTTAAAAAGCATAAAAACACACTAAGCCTTAGGGGACATCCAATATATCTCGTATGCAAATAAAGATATGATTTTTGCTTGACAGATATATTTAGTGAAAATGGTCTACAATTCTCTTTATAACAGAAAAATGAAAATTAATATTACTGTACAATAAAATTCATAGGTAAAAATTGTAAAAGCCAAGTATTTGACATTAATGCATGTGGAAAAGAAAACTATTTTATACAGCATTTATTTCAGTAATTCACTATTTCAAATATTTCTTACTGATAATTATAATAAAATATGTTCCACAATTCTAAAAACTACTAACAAGCTCTACTGCCTTGCCATTTGCTTCTTATATATATTTCTTCCTTCACACTCCAGAATATTCATCATGGAATATTTCTAACTATAGTTACAGCTATTAAAAAACAATTAATTATATCTTGAAGGAATGTTATCTTGGTTAAACCAAATAAGAGAGATATTAAATATTTATTTTTATTCATTATAGTTATCCTGTTTTAACACATGAAATGATTATTTTCTATTATATTAACAATCAATTATTAAATTAGGATTAAGGGTTTTCCTTTCTAGTTCCTCATTCAGGGACCAGCTCTTGTAGATCACTCAACTCATATCTGAAGGACGAGGCTAATAGATTAGATTGGCCTAATTCTCAGGGTACATGCTCCAAAATCTTGAATGGACCCCACCCAACTAGGGGATTTTATTTTTATCATGAGTATAAACATAATCTAATATAGGTGCATTCAAGCCCTAAAGCATTGGGGCCAAGTCATTTTACCCCTCAATTAGAGTCCAGGGAGACCCAGTCTGAAAGAGAAAACCAACCAGAATGGTCTGAGTAGAGACAGACTGCTTTGTGTAGATTGCTAGAGACAGCTGAGTGTCACAATCAAGTCACATTCTCAGCAGGAAGAGCTGAAGACTTTTGACCCATCTCCTCATTAATGTGTCTACCCCCTTATTAACTGTTCACCAATCAAGGTTGATTTTCACCTGTCAGGGGCACATTCTTTTCCAAAGGCATTTAAGCATTCAAGGATTCCCATGGTTTTGTCTCTGGTTACCAAGGGAGACCAGTGACCATCAATTTATTGATTATTTACTAGTCTAAATAATAAATTGTTTATTACCCAGAAACTCCATCTCTTGGGCTTTTCATTCATCACATATATTATATTTATAGAGGCTACAGTTTAAAATTTCATTTCTTAATGTGGGTTGAGACTGCTTAATTTTCAAATTATATACCCTTTTCATTGTTCAGTTGCAAAAGTTATAGCCTAGCTACTAAAGTTAATTCATTCCCTTTAATCAACAAACAATAACTAAATACCTACTCTGTATGAAGCATTATGCTAAGCACTGGGGAAAATAGAGTTTAGATAAGATACAGTCCCATAACTTTATGGAACTTAGATCTAACAAGTCAATAAAACATATCCTTAATGAATGAATGGGAAAGCATTTATTAAGCACTTACTGTGTGCAAAGCACTGTGCTAAGTACAAAGGATACAAAAGAAAAGTAAGACATGTTCTCTTCTGGAAGAGCTCACACTGTAATAGGGGGAGGCAGCAGATAGTGGAGATTCAGCTCTAAGTCAAATGGAAAGGCCTGGTGGTATAGTGACAAAGGAGACAGTAATGCATTTTCTTTTATGATTTTCTCACTCTGATTTTACTTTAAGTAATGATTTTCATATATTTTAAATTGTGTGGTTCTTACACAGTTTCAGTAAGACTGAATTAATGACATATTTATGAAAATTTTAAATTTCTCACAAATATTTTATATTTTGTCTAACATGCTTTTAGAGAAATTAAAAAAAACTGCTCTAAGATAAAAATTTAAATAAGTCCCTCATCATACTATCTAATGCTGTAGATGATCATTTTCTTACCATTTCATGAGCATCATGCAGAGTACTAGATAAACTGTCATTGAAGTTGGTTAAAAACAGTCCTCCATCTGCTCTATCTGGAAATTAAAAATCAGAAAACAATTTAACCTTATATATAACAGCAAATTACAAATTTAAATTTACAACACAACACCATTAATTAGCAGCTAAGTGGCTCAGTGGATAGAGTGTTGGGCCTGGAGTCAGGAAGACTTGAGTTCAAATCCAGCCTCAGACTAGCTGTGTGACCCTGGGCAAATCATTTAACCCTGTTTTTCTAAGCTTCCTCATGTGTAAAATGGGCTGGAGAAAGAAATGGCAAACCACTCCAGTTTCTTTGCCAAGAAAACTCCAAAATGAGGTCACAAAGAGTTGGACACAACTGAAAAAGAACTGAACAAAATAACTTCTACTCAGATAAATTACAGTATTGTTTTCAATTCACATGCAAATTATTCTCAATTTTCAATAAGGTACTTGTTGAAAAGGAAACAAAATTTCTTAGATGACAATGCAGTTCGGCTAATGAGCTCAATGTATATAAAAGATTTCAACATTAGAGCAAAACAAATGGGTTTTAATCAAGGGAACAAAAGCCATGAGAGTATATCAGCACATCAACTTTATGGAAAGAATTTTTAGTAAAGCACTTATTTCTTTCAAGTAAAATAAATATTTCAAATAGGTAAACTTAAAGAAGAATAAGTACATTCATATTAGCCAATTCAGTGAAACCACTTGTGGAAAATTAACTTACCTCTTGTAGCCATCTTCTGCCCATAACTAAACAAAATCTCTCCCTCTGAAATGGGTCTCGCAAGGGTCTCTGTCTCGGTGGTGGTGACGTAGCTTGAGCTGCTTTCCTGGGTCATCTGGTCAGAACCTGGTGTGCGCACTGGAGAAGGAGCTGGAGCTTCAATAGGAAATGATGTAAAGATGACTGGATTAGGAACGGTTGACGGAACGGGTAAGACCAAGTTCTCAGGTTCTTCATCTCGTGCCACAGACATTACACTAAAAAACAACAACAACGAAAAGATACATTTTATAAACTTAGTCCAGAAATCTCCTGGACAAATCTATTAAAAAAAAAAAACTATGACTAGAATTATAATTTGATTATTTATAAAGGCTTTTCTCTATAAAATTATCTTCACTCTTTAAAATCAAAGGGTTTAAAAGGAATTTTGTCCAAAACTAATTCTTTACTGACTGAAAGAATGTTAAAACACATAAATGTCACACCATTCACTGAGAATAACAATGAGAAAGAGTAAAAAGTGAAACTTCCCACTTATGATACTTTTTTCTTCTAAGGCATCTAATGATTTAATAGCTTTATTAAAAGCTTCATTACTTGCTGAAATTTCTTAATGTTATATAAATTATGCTAAAGATGAAGTGAAAGTAAAACCAAGAGAAAACTAAACACAAAGGCCCCCAGTAATAAAATGATACCGTAGAGCACTAAAGGTCTGCCAAGTGTTTTACAAATAGTATTTTATTTCATTTTCACTATAATCTCGGGAGGCAGGTCTGATTATTATCCCTACATTTTATATTTCTCTGTGTGTGTGTGTGTGTGTGTGTGTGTGTGTGTGTGTGGTGTGTGAAGACTGAAACAAATAGAGGTTAAGTGACTTGCCCACAGTCACACAACTAGTGAGTGTCTGAGACCAAATCTGAACTCAGGTCTTCCTGTGGGCCACCCAGCTGCCTCTACAAGCAGTAATTACAATAATGTAACAATTATATTATTGTTATCATTACAGAACTGTAATTTTTCCATCATACTAATTATAATAATATACACAAAACAATAAAATGCATCAGAACTCAGATTAATGAAATGACTGATATTGATTTTAGATGATGAAGCAATTTCACTCCTCTCAAGAGAGGCAGTTGTACTACTGATGCTGCATATGCTATCAGACATAGATAATATATTGGTTTGTTTTGCTTAACTTTTTCTTTACTATAAGGAAGGACTCTGTGGAAGAAGAGGAATTACTGAGAAGAGACAAAAAAAAAATTTTTTAAGCCTCCATAATTTTTTTTTTGAAGACAAACAGGTTAAAAAAAATTTTATTGCTTACATAGCTCTTGGGTGAAGTGGTTCCTCTTGAAGAGGATTAGGAATTTCTTCATCCAGTGGCAAATCATCATTACTCCATGGCTTGGGGAGTTTGGGGCTTGGTCTTTTCAGTTTTTCAGAGGAATCTTCAGAGAGAGTAAGAGTTGGTGTACCTGCTAAAGGGGGTGAAGCTGCAGGAGTAACTATAGGAGTAGTAATGAGAGTACTTGCAGGGACATTATCATTTCCTAGAAATTTGAAACCAAAAGGGAAAAAAAGTCAGCCAAATATCCAACTGACAAGGGAAAAGGTATCTTGCTTCATAAAATTCCATGACACTTTGTTATAAAATATAATGGCGAGTACTCGAATAAATATTACACTTAAAATAATTATTAAAAAAGAAACCATTAGTGTAAGCACACAGTAATTCTGGAAAAAAAAAAAAACAAAAAAAAAAAACAATAACAACAACAACCCTAAATTATTTCACTGACTCAGATTGGAAAACTTTTAAAAAGCATCAACCTATTTCTCACTATGAGAAACAATCTGATATTTATTTTTTAAAATCAATAAAGAAGTAATAGGATTTTGTATTAATCTATAAATATAAACCCAAATTAAAATTCTCATTAATAAGACATCACTGAAGCTTATGAAAAAATGCAATATTTACCTGTTTGAGTAAATTGTTCTTTTACAGGAAAAATATCATCATGTTCGGAAACACAGGGCGAAGCCTCTGGAGTTTTTATGAATAGTGGTTCCTTAAGAGGACACGGAGGAGGAGACTGAGGTGGAGTAGGCTGTGGAGTTGGCACTGGAGTATGGTGAACAGCCTAAGATAAATTTAGTACAAAAAAAGATAACAACGCTCACAAATATTTTAAATAGAGTAGAATGGGCTTGTTCCTAAACTGTAAAAAACTTACACACAAAGAATATAGAGAAGATCACGACCACACGGAACCTTGCCAAACTAGACACTTTGCTGTCTCCGCACCTGAGGTACTGGAGAACCTCACCTGTCTGGGAATTGGCCTTTTACAGAACACTGGGCCTTCTGGAACCGCTCTGTGTCCAGAAATAACTCCCTCCTCTACGGGTCTTTGAAGAATCATGGCAAACGACATAGGGGCCTCAGAACGGGAAACAGGGAATATGTTGTTCTGATTTTAAAAGGAAAAAAAAGGTAGAAAGATTTGAAAACTACAGACTAATTAGCTTGACGTGTACTCCTGGAAAAATTCCAAATGGTTAAAAACATGGTTTCTAAGCACTCAAAAAAGCAATCACTAGGAGTCAAGATGGGTTCACTAAGAACAAGTCATGCTTAACTAATCTCACTTCTTTTCCTGACAGCATCAACAGACTGATGAATGAGAAGAACGTCTGAGACATAACAAAGATTTCAAGCACTGACAAAGTCTGTCACGATGTCCTTATGAACTAGAAGGAGCAGTATAAACTTAGAGTGAGATAATATAGTAAAGTGAATTTATAATTGGCTGAATGGCCACACCCAATAGCATTGATTAAGGATGGATGTCATGCTAGGAGGAGGTCTGTGGTGTAGAGTTGCGGGCTCTGTCCTTGATTTTCTTCTGTTTAACATTCTTATTAGTGACTTGAATAATGATAGAAAGCATGTTAACCAAACCTACAGTTGAAGGCAAACTGTAAGGGATAATGAATATATTTGACAACAAAAATCAAGATCAAAGTATCAAGATCCATAGATTAGAATGATGGAACAGAAAATACCAAACTTAGGCAAACCTGTGCTAAACAAAGAGAAAAAAAAATACTGTAAACAATCTGAAATGGGTAAACAGGACAATAGGTATGAATCAGTAAAATACTGTCTCATTACTCTCTAAGATATCAGGTATGAGAAAGGACAACTATGTTTAAATTATCTGAAGATTATGAACCATTTAAAACTGTAGAGCAGTAGGATTCACTGCCCCTTGCTAAATAAAGAACATCCAATTTATTCATTCATTGAACATGTGTGTATGTCTGGTATCTGAGCACAAGCCTATGTTTGGAGAAGCTCTTCAATGAAACTGGTCATGGAATGAACTTTTTGCCAACAGAAAATCTCAAAGACATTCTAAGGTTTTTAACTAACTCTAATAGAGTAATGACTCTCTACATCAACAGCCAACATTAAAGAAAACAGTCTTTATGGAAGGTCCAAAGTGAAATGACCAGATGATACTTCTTTCTTAGTTCCAAAACTCAGTAAAGAGGCCAAAAATTTTTGAGTGAATGCAGTCAAATGAGTCATAAGCGTTTTCAGATCTCTTTAGTCTCAAACTGAGACACGGTATTAAGAAGACTATCACTAGTTTTAAAAAAAAAAAAAAGAGTTAGCAAATCATGATTACAAAATAAAATTCCAAAGATCTCATTTCTGGGTACAACAAATATGCATAATACTGATTAGACCAGCTTATTTTGTTGATGCTAACTTCTATGAGACAAACGTAAGCCTGAAGTTCTCCCTGGGATTTAAGAACTAAAAGGTTAACTGTTTTGAATGTGTCTGAGTGCCAAATAAATCCTGTAATGGTTAAAAAATTGCACAGTCCTAGAGCTTTCAAAAAATTCACACATAATTATCTACAAAAGCCAGCTTAGCTTCCATACTTCCATTTTAAAACTGTCCTCTTAAGCATAAAAAGAGGAGGCACATACACCAGGTTCCTCCCCTTTCCTCTATAACATCAAATTATTACTCTCTTCCATGTCTAGGAAGATGTTATCCATCTACTGAAGCCAAACCAATTAAAATGCCCTTTACATGCATGCCCTTAAGGCAGCTGGTGGTGCAGTGGATAGAACTGGACCTGGAGTCAGGAAGACCATTGTTCAAATTCAGCCTCAGATACTTAACTAGCACTGACTCTGGGCAAGTCACTTAACCTCTGTTTCCCTCAGTTTCTTCAACTGTACAATAGAGATAATAATAACAGCACCTACCTTGAAGGGTAGTTGTGAGGATCAAATGAGATAATATTTGGGAAAAACAGTTGGCACAGTCCCTGACACATAGTAAGTGCAATAAAAATGCTTATTTCCTTTCGCTCCCTTTCTTTGCAACTACAACCATAAGATATTTGAATTTAGATATTCAAGAAAAGTCTAGAACTAACTGTTCTCACTCACATAATGCTTTCTCTCCTTTTTGCTTCAGTTTCTTAAGGAACAGGAGCTCTCTTCTAAAGACATTGTTTCCCTAGATGGCCAGTTGATTTAATAAAACTTTGGGCAATCTGACATGCCAAAACACAGAAAAATTTTTGTTCCACAATGTATCTGCTGCTTATAGAATAAAGTTAATGCATAAATGCATAAAAGTTTTTCAAAAATACCTCTAACACTATTTTTATACTGTACTGAAAAAAACATTTCAGAATCACACTTATATGAGGCTAACAAAGGTCTTCTATTGCTAAACAAGGACAAAATTCACTCTAAATGAACTGAAAAATAATTAAGTATTCACTACGTGCCCAAGATCTGAGCTAAGCTCTAGGGATACAAATAGAAAAGCAAGGCTATTCTTGCCCTTAAGAAGCTTAGGTACTAATGGAGAAACCAAACACATAGAGGATAGGTAGCTAGGAAAGGGTAATTTGATATGAAACTCATAGAGATGGTTGGTGGAACAATGAAGTAGGCACTGACAAGTTTATTCCAAAAGTAATGGTAGTGTTGATTTGATGGTTAAAAGAGGAAAAGGGTTGGTGGTCTCTGGATTGAGGGCTATAGGAAAAACCAGTGTCTAAGGAATATTTTGCCATCTTCCTGCCGGCCTCTTAAATTTTATCTCATTAATATTGAAAAAAAGATTCCATGAGGAAGTTGATCCATCCCACAGCTACTAGATAAGACATTCAATATATCAACAGCATCAAAGTATAATTCTTAATTTTGCTTACTCCTGATATCACTTTCAACCCAAATTTAAAATTTAAGTCAATTTTTTGTTTTAACAATCCAAGCCAGATTTACACTTGGTCACAACAATCTGATCTGAACACTGTAAAACAGAGTGTTAGAATATTTATTTTAACTTCGGCCTTTTTAATATTCTGTAAACAGAAATTGTTCTTACTGGTAAGTATGTTACATTGGCAGGAACATTTGCAGGAAGAGGAGGAATGCCTTCTGTCATTTCTCTGTTACCCAGCATGATGGCAATAATCTCTTCAAGAGCTTCATTCACAAAAAGACTAATCATGTCTGAATTCACAGGCACACCTGCATCAACAACGAGTCGAAATCCTTTACCACTTGCTGCTTCAACTGGACATTACAACAATTAAGAAAGGTAGATGTGTTAAAACTTGATCAGTAGTAGTATCTTAATTCTGAAAGTATTAGGCTTATAGGGAAAAGGGGAGGTAAATATGAAAATATAGACATATTTTATGTTTTGAGTATGATTTATTAAGATAACTGATAAGCTGGACCACATTACCAACTGAAATGGAACTGGGGATGAAATGCATGGATATGATCCCGTTCCTACTTCCATAGCTTTTAGAGATCCAAAAGGATTTGCATCCACCTTTGCATCAGTCACTAAAAACTAATCCATCTGAGTGAACAAGAAGAGCTACAGAAACTACAATACTCCGCTAAAGGTACACAGGGACAACAGGTGATTTTGGGAGAACAGAAAGCTGCTTTAAGAATACAAATGCTATCTTTCTTGGATTCAGAGATTATGTGAACTACTCTATAGGTAGCAATGTTCTACTTCTATTACCGTGTACCTCTTACAAAAATGTGGATAAAACATAGATTTCATCTAGAGGTATCATGTGACATTCTTTCTTGTAATGAAATAATTTTGAAACTATGGTGAAATACGTGATCTAGGTATTTTATAAAGGGGACCCAAAAAAGTAGGGCAGTAATTTTAAAGAAACCAAATCACCAATATAAAAATTAACTTATTCTCAGTCAATATCAGAGCAGAAGGAAAGACAATGATATTCATAAACTATGCCAAAATACATTTCACTTCACTTGAAGATAAGCTCTAATTAAACACTAATATACAGAGTTACCTAAGATGTATCGTAGATCTCCTAGGATGATACATGTATGTAAAGGAGGAAGAGGGGTAAATCAACTTCCCTTAGTATTTACTCAAGTCATGGAAGAAATGGTTGGGATTTTTAATGCAAGTGAAGAAACTGGAGCACACATTGACTATACTATGATCCTAAATCACTATTCAAGGATCAAACCTTCCTTTTCTTATCTATACAAAAACATCCACAGTAGCACCTTTTGTGATAGCAAAAATGGAATCAAAGTGGGTGCCTTTTTATTGGGGAGAATTTGAACAAACTGTGATATGAATTTCAAGAACTAGTGTCCCATAATAATAAATGGTGACTATAAGGAATTCAGAGAAATTTGGAAAGACAATGAAATTATATAGAATCAAAAGTAGGGTCCAGAGAACAAAAATATACATAATGACCACAATAATGTAAAGGAAAATATGACTAAAAGAAATTAGAATTCAGATTAATGTAACGATCTTTATTTCAGAGTACTAAAATGAAACCTACTGCCCTTCAAAATGATACAAAATGATATATACCCTGACAAACGTGTTCAATATGTTGGTGTGTGTTAAGTGTTTTTCTTTGTCACAAGCGTGTGAAGGGTGTATCAGAAAATGGCATTAATATGAAAAACAAAAAAAAATCAATAAAAAAATTAAGAATTCTGAAGACTTCCTTTATCATTATTATAAGGATGTTTTCACAGTAAATTGAACAGAAACACAGTCCAAATGCATCTGAAAAGAAACAAGTTAAAAGGCTGGCACTTACCAACATCAGGAGCTGAAGTTTTACTTTCTTCACTTTCTGAAACACTGACATTAGGTACTGCCTGCTGCTGGAATGGAAGCACCCTAGTGATAATTCTTGACATTATTTCTTGTTCTACCCTGGGAAACAAAAGTGAATGGCTTTTTTAAAATGGAAATTTATGCAAATGATGGATATACTGCTTTGACATTTTCAAACACTCCTTTACTCATGGAATACATATATGATATCTGAAAATGATATCTGTTCCACAAAGTGGTAAGGCTGAAAAAAATATGCTAGTTTAGTAACCTTAACTAAAGAACCAAAAGAATCCCAGTGATATAAGAACTTGCTTAAAGTCACTTTGGAAACCGGGATGGAAAGTATGACACAACTCCCAAGTTCAGAAGAAAGAATGGGTCAATGAATATACCTGGCAAAGGATACAGTTACAATACTTAAACTCTAGTGAACAGCACACAGAATCACAAAACAAGAGCTGGACAAAACCTTAAACAATCACTTGGTCTGTCCTTTGTCTTCAGGCATGCAATTATCTAAAGAACCCAAGAGAAATAAGTTTTTTTCATTTTCTAAGTCATTAACTGTGACCATAATTATAAACAATAACACTCATATTGCACTGTAAGGTTTGTTTACAAAGTGCTTTATACTCCATCATTTAAGGCTTTCAACAACCTGATTTTACAGCTAAGGAAACTACGGTTAAGATAGATCACCTTGCCTAGGATCACAGAGCCCATTTGAACCAAAGTCCTACCAGATTTCAAGTTCGGTGAGTCATTACACTACTATACACCATGCTGCTCTTCAAAATACTGACTTAAAAGTCACCTGACACAACAGAAGATATCTTTTTAAATGCTTTCTTACAACACCAAAAAAAAAAAAAGATACATTTTTGCCATTGTAATGACAGTAGATTCAAATTAACAAATTTGGAGACATTTCCTGTTGTTTTTAACAAAACATGCAATCAAATAAGCCCTTCAACCCTACATCAAACAGTGACTAGCAGAGTGTTAAAAGAAAATTTTAACAGGTAAAAGGAAGAAATTTAAGTGTTGCAAAGGAAGTCTCATTTTCCAGTTATATTTAATACTATCATTTTATCAATATCAATATCAGTGTAAACTTACCAATTAATAAGGCTATTTTCTAGAGTCTCTTTTCTCTCAATCACTTTCTCCAGAATATCAGCAGTAGGCTGAGCAGTAGATACAACTGGTGGAAATGGAGGACCATTATAATTTTGAGAAGTAACTTTAGCACCTTGGTTAAACTCCAGGACTGGTTCAGAGAAATCTGTAATGTCATCACCTTCTTCTTCATCCTAAAATAAACAAAAAACAATGCATCCTTTCATACAATACTTATGTGTGAGGTATTGTGTTAGGTAAAGTAAATCTTTTGGATTTTACATTATTTATATTTTATACACTGAGAGGCAACATATTAAGTGAATAGAGAACTGGCCTAGAAACCAAGAGATCTTTATCCAAATCCCACCTCTTAACCAAACTGACTGTAATCCTGGGCAAGTCACTTGACTTCATGTTGCTCAAGGCAATGTTCTTAAACTGATGAGAAAGTACCAACTTATATTGGCTGACAGAGTTTCTTCTTCTGGAGTTCCCTATACCAATTAAATAATAGGCCTAGCCCCTGGTCCTTTCCCCTATTTTATACATGTCTTAAAAATAAAACTGTCACTAAGTCAGTCGGGACAAACAGCAACTTAGAGCTGTCAAAGATAAAAGAATATTTAATCAAGCAATTATTCTACTCATATACAGTAGACGACCAACAGCCAGATTAAAAAAAATGTTTGTTAGCTAGCAGAATATTTATGAACTTCTTATTCACATTTAAAATATCTAATTCAATTTGCTAAACTCATCGTGTTAAGGTACAATAGCATTTAAACTGTGTAGCTTAGGAATTACAGCAGAGAGAGAGAGAAATACAAGTGGGGGTATAATGAGAAAATGTTGAGATCATTATTATGATTCAGAAAAAAGGAGTAGTGGACACCTAACATTAAACATGTAGTTCTGTCAAACAACCTACTATTGAATACTATCTACTAGACTATATTATTTTATTATTATGTATTCTCTATCATCACCCCGCCCTGCAAGATCAAACAAGCCACAGCACTCACGCTTCACGAGTACTCTCTGAATGGAGGGCAGAGCAATGAGCTTCAAAACCTCCACTGAAAGAGGAGAACCAGGCTATTATCTCTCCACCTGCACTCCTCTGGACTTTTCCAACAATCCCCAACTCCACCACCTTTCAAATTCCTTCTGTATGTTGTCTTCTCCCAGCAGACAGTAACCTAGCTGAGGGCAGGAACTGTCTTTCTTTTTCATACTTGTATTCCTAACTAACAAAGTGTCTGGAACACGGCAGGTGCCTAGTGAATGTTAACTGACGAGTAATATGGCATAAAAAATGTAAGACTAGAACCAAGAATGTGAAAGCTACCTTGGGAAAATATTTTCTTCCTAAAGAAAAAGAATGTTTATTATTATTATATTCAACCTAATTTTCAAGATTTTCCAGATTATATTCAAGAGAACCAAACAAACTAGATAATGATTAGATATCTTTGCAATTCTAGGAATATAATTTTTCCTACCTCTTAGAATGAATTTTTTTAAACTTTTTTTTAAAATGCACCAGAGAAGGTCCCAAGGTGCAGTGAAGAAAGTGCTCGACTTAGAACCAAGACACCAAGCTCAAATCCCAGCTCCAACACAAACAAATTTTAGGATCATATGGAAATCATTTCACCTCTCATCATCTATAAAACGGAGATAACATACACTACCCTCAGTGGGTTTCTTGGGATAAAAGTACTTTTTAAACCTTGAAGTACTGTAGAAAGGTAAGGAATTATTAACAATAAACATTTCACAGGTTATCTCTTTTGTTATCATCATTGCTCATATAAATTGTTTCTCTCCATTTCCTACTTCAACTGATCCAGGCTCTACAGAAGAAATGCGTGGGGGAGATCAGTTAAGTATATAAACATAAATATGTGTGTGTGTATATGTGTGTGTGTGTGTGTGTGTGTGTGTGTACGTACATATACACACGTATCTATATAGGTATGTACTATATACATATGTACTATATACATATATAATATATATAATAATATATATAAATATGTAATATATACAATATACTTAAATACACAAAACAATATACAAAAAGTATATTTTAATTAATCCATGCATATATATGCAGATACCTAAACAAATATTTTTTCTTAGATTAAAAATTTTAAATATCCTTTGTATTAAATTTGTCAAAAAAGCAAACTGAAAAACTTAATCATTCTAGCATAAAATCTTACGGTATTTCTTAACAGAAATTTCTGAAGCAAATTTATTATTAAAAAAGGCAGATAGAGATTTCCACAAATGCAGAGTCCAGACTGCCCAATTAAGTTTGAGGGCATACAATGAATGAGAAGAACCCACATGACTCCAGATGCAGCCCACAATAAACTACTGACACTTTGCCTAAAATAGAAAGGATCAGCAGTTTACTGGACTTTTAGGCTTCTGGAGAACCCATGTTCCCCAGCTGGGTACTTTGAAAGTCCTCAGTTACTGAATCACTTACGAGACTGATTCTTTTAAGTGGGATCTGAATGGGTTATAGCTTTGAAAGACCTAAACCTGAACATCCAGCATTCTGTCCCGCCTAGGTCCTTCTAATACTATGGGAGTTGATGTTCTTGAAGGACTCTGTCTGTAGGGGTTGATTCTGCTCTCCTACCTGTTCCTTTTCTCAGTCTGTCATCTGAGCTCCCGTCCCTCCTAGGGCCTCTGCCACTGTAGCCTCATCTAGCCCAGTCAATATTAAATTATTAATATAGTGGTAGACTTACAAAACCTTCAACAACTAGGACCTTTTTCAAGTTCCCGCCCACCAACCTATGACAATGTGAAGAAGAATTCAAATAACCCTGAAGTAAAATTAGGGAAATATACTGAACTGCTTCCTGGATAAAAGTAAACTGCTCCTGACTAGTCTCACAAATGTGAATAAAGAAAAAAGCACTGGCAAAAATCAATAACCAACCAACCAACTAATCAATAAACACTTATTGAGCGCCTAATACGGGCCAGGCCTTGTGCTAAGTAAGCGCCCACCTAGGGACTAGGCTGACTGATCCACCACGAGGCCAAGATGGAGAAAAGTCACAGCATTTGACCTAACAATTTTCTTCAGTTCCCAATAATCAACTGCTAGTCACTAGCTAGCAACTAACTGCCTCTTCTACTAGCCACCCAAAGTTGTTGTGATGTGCTTGCAGACAGTAAAGAACTCCAACCTCCTCATTTCCATTCCCAGGGAGGAAATATCTGTCATTCCATTCAAACTACCTGATATTGTTTAATAATAACTACATAGGTAGTGTTGGCAACTCCAAAGACTTCCATTTATTCCTATCCTCAACAAAATGTTGGCATAGGAGTTAGGCATAGGTGGTCCAAAAGGTCCAAAAGCACAAGCCCTGAAGTGAAGAACAGCTAAATGAAAATCCAGCTCAGACAATTACTGTCTGTGTGACCCTGAACAAATTACTTATTTCTTGTCTGCCTCAGTTTCCCCATCTGTAAAGTAGAAGGAAAGTAGGGAACAAGAATTTGTTTAATACCTATTTATGTCCCAGGGGACTGGGCTACATGCTTTAAAAATATTTTCTCATTTGATCGTCATGGCAATCCTGGGAGGTAGGTGCTATTATTATCTCCACTTTACAGCTGATGAAACTGAAGGAGACAGAGGTTAAGTGACTTGCCCAAGGTCACAAAGCTTGTAAACGTCTGAGACCAGATGTGAACTGAGGTTTTCCTAATTCCAGACCCACTGCTCTCTCCACTGCAATACCTACCCACCTCAAAAGGGGGATAATAGCACCAATTTCCAATGGTGGTTGTGAGGATAAAATGACATGTTTCTAAAGCACTTTCCAAACCTTAAAGCATTATGTAAATGTTAGCCATTATTAAAATTATTGCTACTATTATTATTGGCTCTCATAAGAGCCAGTGTAAGTACAGACTTTCAAGAATTCTTAAAATTCATGCCCATGATATACTCTTCCTATTCAGTCACAAATGAGACCCAAACAGGGAGGTTTTCTACCACTTCCACCTGAACAAGGGTACTTCTTCCCCAGTGGCCTTCCCTCTGAAACCCAATGTAAATTAGGGTTTCTCCATGGACACACTGAGGGACCTGTGGTATAACAGTAACCTAATTACTTATCAAAGATTAAAGGAGGAGGTAATGGGGAATTATAGCCTGGTGTTTTCAGATGAGGAAAGGGAAAAGAGGACTCACATCTAAATGGCTTTTAAAGCTTTTCAACAACCTGGCCTCAATTTACTTTTTCATTCTTATATCTCACTCCCCTACCTGCATTCTCTGGTCCAGACAAATCCCTCCTTGCTATTCTCTGCTATGTGATGTCTCCACACCTTTGTTCTAGCTGTCCCCCATGACGAGAATACACTTTCTTCTCACATATACCTATCAGAATATACTGATGCACTGTCTCATTCAAAACTTTCAACTAACACCTTCTACATAAAGTATTTCCTGATTTCACCACCATCGACAGCAGATGCTAGTGCACTATTACCAAAATTTTATTTAACTTTGTATTTATATATACTTATTCATGATTATCTTCCCCTAAAGAACATATGGGCCTCAAGGGCAAAGACAGTTGCATTTTTTTTCTTTATATCTCCAGGGTCTCGCACGGTGCCTGGCACACGGTAAGTATTTAACGAATATGTGATTTAAACAATGTAAATGAAAAGAACCAAACTCTGAATGGCTGATAAAACAATGATGATCCCAGAGAAGAGATAATAAAATATGCCTCCTTACTCACAGCAGAAAGGCTAAGGGCTACTAGGAAGAATATCTTACAGTATGTATCTTCAGATGCAGTTACTATATCCAGTGGCAAGGGAATATTTAATCTTGAGAGGGGTAGGGAAGAGACCCAGCACACAGGAGAGAAAGAAAAAGTTTCCCCCAGAAAGGGCTATGATATGGGAATGAAAGATATTCACGAAACATTTTTTAAAAGTTAAGTTGGAATTAAAAGAGAAATGCTATCTAACAAATCACTATGGCATTATAAATAGAACCAAACAATACTGAATCACATGGAGTTCCCATTTTTACCTGTATAACATCAATTACTTCATCAAAGTTGGATCCTGGAAACTTAGGGTCATCTTCATCAGGCTGGGTAAATTCTGGATTCTAAAAGATATTCACTGTTACTTCATAAGGCCTCCTATCAACCTGACAACTATTACTTCTGCTCATATCTCCTTTGGCTTTTTCTAATCCTTTGGTCTCTTTGATCTACCTCTTCCATTTCATCCTTTGCTTCAAGTAAAACTACATCCCTGGAATAAGTTAATTTCATCCCACTGCTTAAACTCATTGTCACAAAGGCCAAAATTACTATAAAATGTATAAAAAAAAAAGTTTCAATTCCTCCTACATTGCCCTGTGCAAGAACCAATCTTAATATATAGGAGCCACCAGAATAAAGTAAAACTAGTCCCCGAGAATAATCTTGGAATGACCACTGGCCAAAATCAAGAAAAACATGTCCTATAAACACCTAAATGCAAATATTGTATTTTTTTCAAAGCCTATCAGCCTTTAAACTTTTTTCCCTACTGGCCTCTCCCTACCCCTCCCCCAGTTGTACCCAAGGTCTAAATTCACATAATAGTTTGAATCCATGTTTGCTAACACCTTCTTTGCCTTTATTTATTCAACTTATCTTAAGGAAAGGAAGCTTTATATGGATTAGCATTAGTTAATATCTACAGGCCACATGCTGCAGAATGTGTTAAAACTCTGGAAGATACCTGTATCCACGTCTGTGTGGGATGAGATGCTTCTATGAAACTGGTGGAAGCTTGATTTTCATCTGTGCTTTCATTTGGAAGGCTATCAATATCTAAATTGGGCAATACCTAAAATAAAAATTGAAATAAAAAACCAGCACCGTATATTAACAAACTTTCCAATCAAAATCTAGATATAGGTATCTATGTTAGCAACAGTCTATTACCTGATAACAAAACAGGTGTAGAGTCTGAGCCCATTTTTTTCTACATATGGTATAATGACCGAGGTTTAATTCTGGCAACTTAAGCAAAAATACTTGAAACTTGGTTCTCGGTTTGGCTCTTGGTTTCATAAGAGCTAAAACCAGAACCTTGTGGAAAAGAACTCTGTCTCATATTCCTTCTATGATCCACCACGTCCACCTAGCCCCATATCTTTCACAAAACTGTGTGTCTCATAAATGCTCAATAAGCATTTAAGTAATTAAATCAATGAAAAAAGTTGCCTTTTAAAAGAAACATACAGCCTCAAAAAACTAGCAACACAAAGACAAAGTTATCATGTGGTGGGGAGGCTCAGGTGCTTACAATGTAAATAAAACCGTGGCTGCCCCTTTTAATCCTATATAGATGAAATAACTTAGACTAAACTCCATTCTCATGACTGTTCAGGCTGGAGTGCAATTTCTGTCACTTCACGAATGCAAGCTACTAGGCAGAAGAGGGACGCAAAATATATGTTCATGAAAGGGGTGAAGCCATCACAATCATTAGAAAAACAAACACAAAGCACATGTCTTTTTGATGTAGGCCAATAGTACTTTCACACATGAATGCTACATTTATCTCACATTACTAAGGAATTCTCATCATTAAAGAACAATGTTTCTCAACAACACAGTAATCCATTAAATACTAATATTATGACATTTAGTTAAAATGTTTCTCTCTTCATTTTATCATTTTTATACCTGTATAGAAAGCTGAGGAGGATCCTTTTTTTCTGACGTCACCTCTATAACTGCTGTGTTGGGTTTCTTTGGTCCAGTTCGTTTAGTTTGAGTGGATGGAGGAATAGAAGTAGTTACTGTTACAAGGTGTGGTTTTTCTGTAATTACTTCAGCAGATGGCACAGAATCACTATTGCTTTGGGTCTGTCCTAAATAAGTTTAAAAAGAAATTAAATTATGGAAATTGGCTAAGGGTAAGGAAGCACTGAAAGAGACTGGTTTAGGCACCCTGGAAGTAAAGGTACTTCATAATCTTTGATATCCATAATAAATCTGCTAGTTTTATTTTCTAAATACATTACTATAATCATGTTATATCAAGAATATAAAGGAAACGGGAGAGAGAACAAATACAAGAGAATTTATCAAGCATTAGAGGGTCTCCAAAGATCACCAAAGGAAGCAAAGAATTGGAAACAAAATAAATGACTGTTCGGAGAATGGCTATACAAAATTTGGTATATAAAGGAATATTACTATGCCTTAGGGAATAGTGAACATTAAGAATTCAGAGGAAGTATGTGAAGAGAGATACAAAGTCATATAGAATTAAAGAAAACCAACAGACACAATAAATATCACATAATTTAAAAAAAAAAAAAAGGAAACTGAACACTCTGTAATTATAATGACCGAGGGTAAGAGTTGAGAAAATGCACCTTCATACAATGCATATCATATCACATTTGGTTGGCTGATGTGACAATTAGTTTTTTCATAACTGCTTCTCAACACACACACACCCCATTCATTGTTTTAAAAATTTTTGTTACAAGGGGTAGTTTTCTGGAAATAAGAAGGTAAAGAGATACAGTCAGAAATGATGGTGATATAAAATTAAAGATATTAATTTTTTAAAATGTAAATATCACAGGAATGCCAAACCAGTATAAACAAAGTCAATTCAAAAGCATTTATTAAGTGTTTTCTATGTGCCTAGGCACAGGTGCTGAGGGTACAAAGCCAAAAATGAAACTGTTCCTGTTCTCAAGCAGAAGAAACACGCACACACATAAGGTGACACAAAATAAATACATACAAAGTAACCAAAAGGTAATTCAGGAGTGGGGCTGAGGTGAGGAGGCTCTGACACTAGAGAGAATCAGGAAAGGTTTCATGAAGATGGTATGAATTTAATCCTAAACACTGAAAGGGGCTAGTGGAAATGATGACAAAGTGCATTTTGGCCAGGGAAGGACCACATGTCCTTCCACGACACAGAGATAGACGACATAAGGTCGTGTGTAAGGAACAGCAAATAGACTAGTTCAGAGAACCATAGTCTAGGAAAAGGATAATTTTTTTTAAGTCTGAAATAGCAGGTTTGAACCAGATTATGAAGGGCTTTCAATGCCAAATAATGCAGGTTATATTTGTGTTTACTGAGCAGAGGAATAATTTGGTCAGACCCATGCTTTGGAAGGACAGAGTTAGGATTTGTGCATCAAAATGGGTTGGGGAGGGCTTGGAGCAAGAAGACCAATTACGGGGCTATGGCAGTGCTCCAGGAGAGACATGAAAAGGGCCTGAACTAAAGTCCTGGCTACTGCAAGTGGAGACGATTAGACAGTTATGAGAAATGTAGATTCTGGGAGTAGAATCAACACGATTAGATAACTGAATATGTGGGGCAAGGGAAAGTGAAAAGTTTCTAAATATTCCAAGGCTGTAAATCTGCATGACTGGAAGGATGGTGCCCTAGAGGAAAAGAAGGGAAAGAACAAAGAAAAGTATGTTTTGGAAAAAGATAATAAATTTTGTTTTAGGCATGTTGCCTCTGAAATACATATGGAACGGGCAGTTTGACATAGTTAGGAGGCAGGCAGTGTTTTGAAATTGGAGAGAACCCCAATTGATAAAGAGTCAAAGGATATGAACAGGCAGTTTTCAGATGAAGAAATTAAAGCCATAATCATACGAAAAAAATGCTCTAAATCACTACTGATTAGAGAAATGCAAATCAAAACAACTCTGAGGTACCACATCACACCTATTAGATTGGCTAACATGACAAAACAGGAAAATGATAAATGTTGGGAGAAGATGCGGGAAAATTGGAACACTAATGCATTGCTGGTGGAGTTGTGAACTGATCCAACCATTCTGAAGAATAATTTGGAACTATGCCCAAAGGGTTATAAAACTGTGCATATCCTTTGACCCAGCAATACCACTCCCAAGTCTGTATCCCGAAGAGATCACAAAAATAGGAAAAGGATCCACATGTACAAAAATATTTATAGCAGCTTTTTTTGTGGTGACAAAGAATTGGAAATTGAGGGGCTGACCATCAACTGGGGAATGGCTGAACAAGTTATGGTATATGAATGTAATGAAATATTATTGTGCTATAAGAAATGATGAGCAGGTGGACTTCAGAAAAACCTGGAAAGACTTATATGAACTGATGCTGAGTGAAGTGAGCAGAACCAGGAAAACACTGTACATAGTAACAGCCACATTAGGGGATGACTGACTTTGATAGACTTGGCTCTTCACAGCAATACGAGAATCTAAGATAGCTCCAAAAGGTCATGATGGAAATTGCTATCCACAACCAGAGAAAGAACTACGGAGTCTGAATGCAGATGGAAGCATAGCATTTGCTCTCTTTTTTGTTGTTGTTTTGTTTTGTTTCTTCTTTCTTGTGTTTCCTCCCATTGGTTCTAATTCTTCTTTACAACATGGCTAATGAGAAAATATGTTTAATATGAATGTATATGTAGAGCCTGTATCAGAATGCATGCCATCTTGGGGAGGGGAGAGGGAAAGGAGGGAAGGGTAGAAAAGTTAAAACTCAAAAGTTTATGGAAGTGAATGCTGAAAACTAAAAAAAAAAATTAATTAAAAAAAAGAAACTGGAGAGAAAATGTAGTTGGATATGCTGACTGGGCAGGCATCTGTCTAGGGTAAACAAATTAATCTACTGGAGCTAACGAAATCACTGAGTACAGACAGAAAAGAAATGAGGGTCCAGGACAGAGTCTTGGGGCATACCCATTGTTGGAGGTATAATATAAATGACAAATTCACAAAGCAAACTGAAAAGGAGCAGTTAGGCAGGTAGAAGGTAAACTAAGACCAAACAGGGCAATGACTCCCAGAGAAGAGAGTGCACAACAATGTTAAAATATTAGAGAGTGGTCAAAAAAGATGACCGAGAATAGGCTAAGATTTGGCAATGAGGAGAGTAACTTTGAACAAAGTATTTTCCGTTGAGGGATGAAAGCCATACGGCAAAGAGTTGAGAAGTGACTGGAAGTTGAGTAAGTGAAGGTACAAGTATTTTCTAGGAGTTTAGTAGTGAAAGAGAAGAAAGATATTGGACAATAGTTTAAAGGGATGGTAGAGTTAAATGAGACAGTAAATCGAAGAGATTAAAGATTAGAGAGGGGATGACTGTAAGCAAAGATTAGCAAAGAATGAACTAAGTCATCAATATGCAAGTGCTGAAAATATGTTACAAAGAAAATAGATAAGGACTTCCTCCCAACTGAAGTCTGAATTGTGTATGTGGCAGGACTATACCAGAGACATTATAATGAGAGGTAAACAATAAAAGAGTCTAAGCCAGACTGGTGCTTGAGCCTGGAAGGGAAGTGTGGAGGAAAAGAAGAGCAACATGAGGACAATAAGAAAGAGAAATGTGCCTTAGAGATGTAGGATGAAGTATTCCCTGGGAAAAGCTGATATTTCAGCTCACACTTGCATAGCCATCTGAATCTTCAGAGCTACTAGCTGAAGTTAAGTTAACATAATAAAATACCTGGATGAATACCCCTACCTTCTATTATCTTCAATCACAAAAAACCATGATGGAAAGAAGGGTGGAGAATAATAAACTCAACTATATTCAAATGATTCACGAACAAAGCATTCTGCTCAGTCTAATGTTACTGTCACTGATATTGCAAGAATTCTCATTAAGAAATAGTGACTAAAGTATGATAGAACTGTTATTTTCAGATTCTCTGGATAGAAGCACTGAAATTAACCCCCAGACAAAAATATCAGAAGCAAAATAATTTTGTCAAATCCTTTTCTGAACAACCTGCAGAGCTATCACTTTCCTGTGAATTTTCAATTTGAAAACACCACTTCTGTTTCCCAAACTCCAATTTCCTTACTGTGTCCTTGCTTTGTGGTACATTACACAATAAAAAATATATCCATATCTCCACTTGTTCAATAAATCACATTCCTCAATTACTTTATTTATCAAAGTAAAACCTTCCTAACATTAGAGCTATCCAAAAGTGGAACAGGCTGCTTCAAGAAGTAGTGGGCTTCCCTTCATTAGAGATTTTCAAGCAGAAAGGCTGTAGAACCATTTGTTGGGGATGCTGTGTGAGGCAGGGGAGGAGGTGGTGGTTCTTTGGTAAGCAATGGGTTAGACTAGATGGCTAGTAAAATTCAATGAGTAAGTGGAATGAGACTGTGATAAAAGCTGATGATACGAGCCTCTCAGAACCTATTTTTAGTGGTACATATGACTACAGTTCTGAGAAGCCATCTGCCATCCAGCAACATGGAACTGTTCCTTGAATCAAGGATTATGATGTGATTGTTCAAGCCTAGCCTGGGATCAGGAAGATTGCTACCTTTGCCATTTCAATTTTGCAATAAAGTGACCTTGACTTTGAGACCACACAAAGTCTAATTTGGGCTCCTATCAGAGAGCTAGATCAATAGATCCAAAAGATAATAACGGTACTGATCAATCTATTGTCAGCATAAAGAACATAAAACAATAACATAAATGCAAAAGCCAGTAAGGCAGATTTTAGGCATAGGTAAAGAATTCTTTTCCCACTACACAATCTAGTAGGGAAAATATGATAAACAAACAAAACAAATAATCACAAAAAAGACAATGAATGGCAAATATAATAACAGAGGTAGAAAGAGGAAAGGATACACTTGGGAAATACAGGTGATATAGAAACAAAAGATAAAAATAAAAGTTGAAAATCCAACCTGGGGAAAAAAAAAGGTACAAAAAAGCAGTAGATAAATTCAGAAAAATCACATTCTGGCTAGGTGGATTAGATAAAGTTTCATGGAAGAGGTAACACATAAGCTAGACTTTAATAAACAGGCAGAATCTACAGATGGACATTAGAGGAGAAGGTACTGTATTTCATCGCATAATTGCTGTAGATTTTATGACAAATTTTTTGGCAAAAAAGTAAGGTGTGACTATTATGTGAAGCTTCTTTAAAACGCACCAGTGTTACTTAAAAATCTTTTATTACTAAACTGTCTTTGGTGCAAGATTAGGATGTACAGAACATTTGTGAACATATGTTAAAACTGAATATTGACAATGTGCATGTGCTGAGAATTCTAGGCTCACAATGAGCAAGAGATAAATGTGTATCTGCCACTGGTGAATACGTTGCTTTTCCGTTTACCTTTTAAGCAGCATGACAAACAGAACTATACCATGCAATGATTACACTATGAAAGGTTATAAAGGATTTTTTGGACTGAAAAAAAAAACGGGGGCAATGATTATGTGGTTGCAATGATTATGCGGTGGTGATGATTATGCAGTGAAATACAGTATTATAGAGGAAGGAAAAGAATGAGGAAGACATATAAGGAAAAAAGTATATATTATATTCACGATACAGTTGAGTAGTCTAGTTTTGGAAATGCCATCTTTGCCCACTTGAAATGCTCTAGTGAAAGGCCAATAAAATAGAACCCATTATAACAAAACTTGTTAGACAGATTTGGATATATCATGATTCAAATCATAGTGTCTAAAATATAAGAACTTCACTTCACTAAAAAACTGGCCAAAAAAAAAAAGGTCAGAATAAATAAAGGCATAAAGGCATTCTTTATTCTTGCCAACATCAAAAATATTCATTGCACTATAAAAATCAACTGTGCTGACACCTAGTGGTGGAAGAAAATCTATTTATATGCACTGCTACTGCTGGTGGTTAAGACTTTAAGTTCCTATTTGATTTAAAACATGTCCTGAGGGGCAGGGCCAGGATGGCAGAAAAAAGGCAGTGACTTGCCTGAGTGCTCCCAAATTTCCCTGCAAACAACATTAAAATAACACCTCAAAATTAATTCCGGAGTAGCAGAACCAACAAAAGGATGGGACAAAACAACTTTGCAGCCCAAGACAACTTAGGTTAGCAAAAAGGTCTCAAAATAGAGAACTGAGTCAAATTTATAAGAATACAAGTTATTCCCCAATTAATAAAACATCAAAGCATACGAACAGGCAGTTTTCATATGAAGAAATCAAAGCTATCTATAGTCATATGAAAAAAATGCTCTAACTCACTACTGATTAGAAAAATGCAAGTTAAAACAATTCTAAGGTACCACCTCACATCTATCAGACTGGCTAACATAACAAAACCAGAAAATTATAAATATTGGAGAAGATGTGGGAAAACTGGGACACTAATGCACTGTTGGTGAAATTGTGAACTGATCTAACCATTCTGGAGAACAATTTGGTGAGATCAAGAGAATACTATTGGTGGAATTGTGAACTAATCTGGAGAGGAATTTGGAACTATGCCCAAAGGGCTATAAATCTGTGCATACCCTTTGACCCAGCAATACCACTACTAGGTCTATAGCCCAGAAATTTTAAAAAAAAAAAAAAAGGAAAAGGACCTATTTGTACAAAATATTTATAGCAGCTCTTTTTGTGGTGACAAAGAACTGGAAATTAAGGCGGTGCCCATCAACTGGGGAGTAGCTGAACAAGTTGTGCAACAGGGTTGTGATGGAACACTATTATGCTAAAAGAAATGATGAGTAGTATGATTTCAGAAAAACCTAAGATTTACATGAACTGATGCAGAGTGAAGTGAGCAGAACCAGGAGAACACTGTATATATAGTAACAGCAATATTGTACAATGATCAATTGTGAATGACTTGATCCAAATACACAATAATCCAAAACAATTCCAAAAGACTCATGATGAAAAATGCTATCCACACCTCAAGAGAAGGAAAAATGATGGAGTTTGAATGCAGATTGAAGCATAGTATTTTTCAGTCTCTATTTTTTTCATGTTTTTTCTTTAAGAAGGGAGGGAGGGAGAGAATTTGAAACTCAAAATTTTAAAAAACAAATGTTTAAAATAGTTTTTACATTTAATTGGAAAAAATAAAATATATTCTGTTATTCTTATTTGTCCTTACCTAAAAGAATTGCCATTGGAATAAGATGACCTTCAAGTGTTCCTGAAACAGAAGGCACTTCTCGGCTTGGGCTGAACAAATATTTTTGTTCCTGGTGAGAAGGTAAAGAAAAGGAGTGTGGCTTTCTCAAATTTGTCCCCACTGATCTGGTTATCTCCAGCTCAGTTTGTGTTCTTGTTGACCTTACTTTAGTACCTGCAACAAGCATCAATGGAAAACATCATATAATGTTATGACCACTGAAATATACTATGCTGTTAATTTAAAAGTTTCCCTTTTCTCAAGACAAAATAAAATGATCAATACATAAACAGACCATGTAACCACAATATAAACTGATAAATAAAAGATTACTAAAAATAAAAACCTACACATACCTATTCTATGTAACATTGAAGACAATATCCAGAAAGAAAATTTAATAAAGGCTCATCAAAAATATGATTTTTAAGTTTCATTTTTTGATTTATTATAACACATCCCCCAAACACATGTCCAAATACTCTTGGCAAAGTATACATCAAAAAACTGAGTTTGTCGATTGTTAATCAAAAGGAGCAATGTGACTTTTAACTTAGACAATATGGTACTAATGTTGAACAAGTATTTGACTAGTACCTGCAGTCATTCCATGTTGATATTATTTGCATAGCTGTCACCTCTTTTTACCTCATTTCATACCACGATTCTCAGAATTCTCCATATTTGTTGTTCCTAATGGTATGGTCATATTCCACTATATCTATCTACCATTATTTTATTTAGTCACTCCCTAACCATTAGGAATATTTTATTTTGATATTATTATCACAAATAATTTTGTTATGAATATTTCTGAATGTAGGGGTCTTGATGTCAATAACCTAACTAGGGATACACTTAGGGAAATAATTTTTAAAATAATTGCTTACAATTCTTCAGAAAATTCAAAAGCTTAAATATAAAACTGGATACAGTTCTCATCTCCTTTGATCTGTCTTTTATCTATGACATTGTTCTGAATTGTACTAGCTTACTGCAATTATATATGGGTAACTTTCTTGATCCTGCGGCTATCCAATCATAGATATTTTTAAACAAATCCTTAAACATAAAATATAACAAATTGCCTCTATTGTTATCAACAGGATATAACATAAGTTCCTGAAAATTAATATTATCCTTACTGTGACTCTACTTCAGGGTAAGGATCACTTTTATTTAAGGCACAGAAAAGGGGGGGGGATGTTGAGGAAAAATATGGGAGAGGGGAAAGAGAAATAACTTGTATTTCCTCCCACCTCGATGTTAAAACATAGTAAAATAATTAAAATTATTAGTTAAAATATTTTTCTTTAAGATTGTCTCATTGAAACACAACATTAAAGAATTTTTCCATTTATAACTATCTACTTTGCAGAATACTAATCAAAATAGTTATACACAAAGTATCATAAGGTAATTTTTCTAATTTAGAAAACTGTCATGATCCATTATTACACATAAAGGAGGAAAGGCACCTTTTACCATTTTTTAATTGATAGCTACACTTTCATTGAAAAAGTCAGTGAATTTTATCCATAAGTATGATGAGAGATAGAAATATGTTTCTATATTTCACTGAAGCCTATGGACATACCCTCATTTTGTACAAAAGTAGGATACTATTTTCTATTTCATTCTGAATAATTTTCCTGATAATGTCCACTATTTGGTCCATACAATGAATTGCTATAATTACTATGCCCCCTTCTTAAGTCATAACTAACGGCTCAGATTCCACTTTATTAATACAATTTTGATAATAATTCCATGAAGCCTCTAAGTTTTGGCTTCTTTCTCCACAACTGCCCCCACCATCTTATTAGGCATCTTAAAAGAACCAGGATAGCTACAGTCCATTCAGTCATCCTAATGACTGACGAATCCTAATGAAAATCAAAGAATGTTTAGAAATGATAACAGAAAAAAGTCACACAGGAACACACTCAACAGAAGATCGTAGCTATGGCACTGAAAGGGACCCGATACGCCATCCTGTAACGCTCTCATTTTACAGATGATGTAACTGAGGTCCAAAGACAGTGAGCGATCTGTCCAGCATCAGAAAGGCAATAAACATCAGAGGCGGGATTGAAAACCATATTCTTTCACTTTAGAGCAACGTTCCACATAAAACTATGCAAATTAAAACCAGTATTTGTTTTCTTTTAAATTTCCTTACCTTTAACTTGTTCTATTACTTTAGGTCTCTGCGGTTTGGATTTGGCAGATGGTGAATTAAATCTAAGATATGGACCTTTTTTAAGAGTGCTCCGATGACCTTGATAAACTGGTTTCCCATAAATCTGTAGCAAGTAGTCACTACCTTGTGCCACTTTGGTTGTCTTTAGATGTCCCTGCATTCAAAACCAAAGTTAACTGCTCAGAAAGGAATATCTAAAATTGCACTTTCATTTTCTTCGGGTAAAGTATATTTATATAAAATATTATTCAAATACTGAAATGGATTTATTATCTCATCAGTCTGAATGCTCCCTCCAATGATGGAGCTTGCAACCCAATCTTGCCAACCTATAATCATATCCATCCCCTCACGTTTGCCACAGAAGGTCCAGTTAATATCAAGGGGGCCTTACTCACTTTTTGTTGACATTTCAAGACAGTAGCAAAACATTCATGCTATCCACCTTTTGTACCTAATTCTCACCACATAACCAGCCCATTTTCCTTTTTAATCTTCTATTTCTCAGATGACATCCTTTATTTACTATTCTTCTTCAAAGTTCCTTATATGTTATATAATGTAGCATGTTCATACCCACCAAAGGAATTGCCAATGTGATACTCATTTTCAGTTCATCAGAGAATGCTGTGTCCCATGACTTGCAGCTTTAAAATATTAGGAGACTTCTGGTAATAAAAATATGGGCCATTTTGATCTCATCAGCTCACATGGATTTAACTACCATCTTTAAGCTGATGATTCTCAAATCTACCCATCCTACTCCAAACTCTCTGCTGACTTCCAATGTCAGATCTCCAACTGCCTTTCAGATATCTCCAACAGGATGTCCAGTAGACATCTTAAACTCATCATGTCCAAAAAGGAACGCATTAACTTTCCCCCTAAACCCTCTGCATCTCCTAATTTTGCTATTACTGACAAGGGCAACACAAACCTCCCAGTCTCTCAGATTTGCAATCTAGCTATCATCTTCAACTTCTCACTAACTTTCATCCACTCTGCTGCCAAGGCCTGTTGATTTCACCCTTGCAGCATCTCTCATATATGCCCCCTTCTCTCCTCTGGCATTGATACCACTCTGGTGCAGGTCCTCATCATTTCACTCATAGACTGTTGCAATAGCCTGCTGGTGGGTCTGCCTGGTTCAAATCTCTCTGCACTCCAATCCACTCACCATTCAGTCACTAAAGTGATTTTCCTAAAATGTAGGCTCTACCATACCACCATGCCCCCATTCGATAAATTCCAGTGGTTCATTATTGCCTCCAGGATAAAATACAAAAAAAATCCCGTTTGGTGTTCAAGCCTTTTATATAGCTAACATGAAAATGTATTGCATGATTTCATATGTATACCAGGTAACATATTTCTTGTCCTCTCACTGAGTGGAGGAAGGGGTAGAGGGAGGGAGAGAATGTACAATTTCAAATACAAATTTAAAAAAAAGCCAGGGCAACTAAGTGGCGCAGTGGATAGAGCTCCAGCCCTGGAGTCAGGAAGACCTGAGTTCAAATCTGGCTTCAGCCACTTGACACTTACTAGCTGTGTGATCCTGGGCAAGTCATTTAACCACTAACTGCCTCACCAAAAAAAAAAAAAAAAAGCCCTTCATAACCTAGCCCCCTCCTACTTTCTAGTCTTTTACACCTTATTCTATGCCACATACTCTCCAATCCAGTGACAGTGGCCTCTTTCACAAACAAGACACTCCATCTCTCAGCTCTAAACATTTTCTCTGACTATTCCCCATTCCTGGAATGCTCTTCCTCCTCATCTCCACTTAGTGACTTCCTTCAATTGCAACTGAAATATTATCTTCTACAGGAAGCCTTTTCCAGCCCCTCTAAATTTGCATGCTATTGCTTTTAATTATTTCCTATTTATTCTGTATGTAGAGAGAGATGTACATGCATGCGTGTGTGTGTATGTATGCATATGTGTGTGTGTGTGTGTGTGTGTATATATACACACATATATATATGTAGCTTGTTTGTACATACTTGTTTGCTTGTTGTCTCTTCCATCAGATTGGGGGCTCCTTGAGGACAAGGACCGTCTTTTCCCTCTTTTTGCATTCCCAGAGCCTAGAACAGTGCCTAACACATAGTAGACACTTAATGTTTACTGACTAAATGACCCTAGGCAAGTCACTTAACCTCTGGATACCTCAGTTTTCTCAACCGTAAAATGGAGATAATAATAGCACCTACATCCCAGGGTTGTTGTGAGGATCAAATCATATTTGTAAAGCACTTAGCATAATACCTGGCACACAGAAGGCATTTAATAAATGGTTACTTATTTCCTTCCTTCCTCCTTCCTATAGGATAAAATATGAAGTCCATAGGACCTAGCGTTTGGGACCACCAGTCTAGCTCCAACCTACTTTTCTAGCCTTATTTTATATTATTCTCCTTTATACGGTTCTTATTCCAACCAAAACTGGTCTCCTAGCTCTTCTGTGAATCTCACATGCCATCACCTCACTCTACACATTTGCTGAAATTATCCCTCATTCCCCCAACGTAATCTCATTGCCATGTTTCTGCATTTCTGAATCCTCTTATTCCTTCAAGGCTCGGCTCAGGTGCCATGCCTTTGGTCTTCACCAATCTTCTTCCCAAATTAAGATCCATCACACCTTAAATAATTTTCCTATAGTATTTTGTCTGCATCTTTCCATTCCTTCCCCTGAACTTTTTCCAAGCATTATACTTACTGGGCAGATACTGTATCTTCCTAACCCCAGCAGAACAAGTTCCTGGATGTCAAGGACCATTGTATTTCTTACCTTTGCATTTTTAGCACACAGCCCAGTGCTTTACACATAGCACACACATAACATTTTAAAAATCTGTTCAATGTGGTTATTTTCCATGAGACAATTAACAAAAAATTCAGTACAAAGTGCATGCTCTGACAAATAATAGTTTATCTGATCACTATACAACTTGGTCTATAATTGTTTTCATCATTTATAGACAAACGTACAAAAGATGCATCAATATTCAACAAACAAAATTCAATATTCAACAAACAAAAAAATCAAGTACTAGCAAAAAAGCAATAAATTAAATTAATGACTACAATTTCTCATATGTTTATTAACATTTACATGTTTTCACATGTTATTTATAGTATCATTGTTCACAACAAGGAAGGGTATGAACATTTATACATTAAGGATTCTACTAGTATAGATCATTTTTTTAAAAATTTACATAAATTTATACAAAAACCTTGATGGACTTTCTCAAATTCCAAAATTTTACCTTCTACTGTCTCACCCAATGCATATAATTTCTCTTTACTTTTCAGTCATTACTTTAAGAGAAGCAAAGTACTTTGAGGTAAAACCAGCAATTTTTTTCTCAAACAAAAGTTCTTCCTCTGTAATTAATATCCTTTGAAATCTTAAAGGTGTATAAAGGACTCAAGGACAAGGGGGAGACAAAATAAAAAGTTCCTACTGTCTCTGGATTTATAGCTTAGCTAAATTAGCAAAAGCACAAAAAATAAGGAACATAATTAAAAAATTATAAATTTCACCATTTTATTACTATATGCTAAAAAAAGATAGATGCTACTGACTTAAGATTATGAAATCTCAGAGATAAGTGTTATATTCTGAAAGACAACTATTCAATATTAAACAATATTAACAAAACTTGTAGAAACCAAATATGATTAGTCACAGAAACTACTATAGTCTTACCTCTTTTCTGTCTTTATCTAAATTTGAAGCACGAATGTTCTTTAGATATGTACTTCTATAACTCTCTTCTAATTGCTTATGAAGATGTTTTCCTGGAAACACAAATCTATTTATAGTTTTATCTTGAGCACTAGTTTTAATTTCTTTGCTCATTTTTTGATGTTGGTTATTTAAGGCTTTTTTGGTGAAACTTGACCTTCGATTCTTATCAAATTTCTTATGTTCATAATCTTTTCTTCCCAACTCATCCTGAAAAAAAAAAAAACCAAAAACAAAAACAGCCAAACAATTTTAAAATGGTAAAATCTAAAATTTTGTTTTAAAATAATATTTCTTCCTGCATTAATGATATAAGTTAACAAATATTTGTTTTCAAAATTAAAAAATCATATAATAAAACAACTAGTCAATTATTTATAAATTTTATTTTAATTTACACTTCATACTTACTAAGTATCTACTTTTTCAGGGCACTGGTGATAAAAGTTTAGGTATGACCTGGTCTCTGTTCTCATGGGGTCTACAGTCTAATATGAGAATGAGACACAGATAGCAGTAATACAAAATAACACCATAAAAGTTCATCACAAAACATAAGAAGAGTTGCCTGAATTGATCGAGAACAAAAACAGGATAAGATACATAGTGACTAAGAGAATGTAAATTAGGACAGCTCTAAAAGACAATATAAACCATATCAAATATCAAAGTCTATGTTGATTCCAGCTGGCTAATATTAAGACTTTCTGTTAAGAAACTGTAAACCTGAAGTATAAGAAGTTACATATGCTATAGATCAAAAACTTGTTACTAGATATCTTTGCTTACCTTTTTTTAATGGGAGATACTAATGGTGTAGTGCTTACTGAGATGTGATTAGTATATCAAAATGAAATTTATCTACTAAAAAAAAGCACACTGGAGAGCTGTGAAACCAAGTGATCTAAGAGGTCGAAAAGAAAAGAGACAAACAAGGCTACATAAAGGAGGTGATAAGATTTTGAGGGGAGTTTCAGGAAATGTGTAGGAATTTAACAGGCCAACGGAAGAAGGAAGGATATTCCATGAACTGGCAACAGGGTGAGATGTGCCACTGACCAAGGTACTGACATGCACAGTTTGGTCAGACTACGAAGGCCTTGAATGTCTAGCAAAGGAGTTTGACTCTGGTAGGCAATAAAAGCCACTGAAGATATTTGAAGAGAAGTGGTATGACCAGATATCCATATATCTGATTTGATAAGAAAGATTAGTCTGACAGAAATATGAAGGATTGTTTGGAATAGGGAGAAAGGAGAGGAAAATCTGTTAAGAGGTAACAGTGATAGACAAGGTAGAAGAAAATGTGTTATACACTGAAATGGTGGCAATGGGAATAAAGAATAGATGGAATTATGAGATGTTGGGAAGGCAGAATCAGCAGGATATGGTATCTATCCATCTGTATATGAAAGGTAAAATAGAGGAAAGCATCAAAGATAACATCCTGATTTCAAACACAAGAGACTAAGTCAACTGTAGTACCACTATAAGAAACAGTGAAATCAGAAAGAACAGATATGGGGGGAAGAAGGGGAGAGAGAGAAAAAAAACTTCGTTTTGGACACATGAATTCAAGGTGCTGGTAGACTTCAGCTGATGATGTCCTACAGCTAGCTGAAGATACAAAGACAAGCTCACAGAAAAGGTCAAGCAAAAGTGATCAATAAGGAGCAGTAAAGGATTTGATCTCTCTCAAGCTGAGAAAAGATAGATTATCTAAAAGAAAAGGGTGCATGTTGTAAAGAAGCCAAGGAGGATAAAGACTGGAGAATTTCAATTACAAGGCCTTTGGGAGGGCAGTTTCAGTATAGTCCTGGGGCATAAATCAGATTTAAAAGGATTAAAGAAGTAAGTGAGCAGTGAAAAACTAAAAGTACTGAGAATAGACAACTTTTATCAGAAATTTGGCTATGAAAAGGAGGAGAGAAATGGGACCAAAAGGCCAAAGAAAAGAGTTTTTAGTAGTAAGGAAAACAACATGTTTTTAAGTGAAAGGGAAGAAGCCAGTGGAGAGGGAGAGACTGAAGATAAATAAGAGAGAAATACAATCAATTAATAAACATTTATCAAGGACCAGGATCTGGGACAAGATCCTGAAGAATACAGGAGAGGATCAAAAATAGAGATAAAGGATTTAGCCTTAGTAACCAGAGAAAAGGAGAAGAGAACAGATGCCAATCCTGATAAGTTTTTAAGAATGCAGAGGACACATCAAGGTGTTCCTGATGAATGAACTCAAACCTTCTAATGAACAGATAGTTATAATGGCAGGCAGTGAGAGAACAGGTAGGATGTGAAGAGAAGAGAGAAGAAGAGATTTAGAGCAGATGCCGAGTAACGTCAACTGCCACTGGGTCACTGGGCGACGTTACAGACCACATTCAAGTCACTGTTAGACTAAGTTTCATTATAAACATACAGATATTTTTAAGAATTCATAGAATTTAAGGACTAGAAGGAAGTTTGGAGATTATTTAATTTAATCACAACAGGAAACAAAGATTCAGAAGGATCATCTAATTTATCACATTGAGTTCCCAGAATAGTTGGGAGTTCTGACACTAGTAATACCACACTGTCTCAATTTTAAATACCTCATAATGGCATCATAAACAACGTTTAAAACAAGGTTTAAAAGGCTCAGTTTCTAAAGTTGTTTTTGTTTTTAAATACTTTAATTATCTTAATTATTCAATTCCTTTTCCATTATAAAACCATTACAAAATTTTCCAAATACAAGGACAACTACAATTGCAAAGTAGGCTTGCTACTATTAGGAATAAAGTAACGATAGAGATAATGTCATGGTATTAGGTATATAACAGAAACAATTACAAAATAAATGTATTTATCAACTTCAAGTTGAGATCAATGTTATCCTTAAAAAAAAAAAACTCATTTATTCCTCATAGCTTTTCCTAATCATACCTGAATTTCCTGAGTGATTATTTTAATCCATTCATCCACTGTCTTTCTAATACGAAATTTCTCCAACATGTCTCTACAGGAAAGAAAAGATAGTTTCCATTAGATTAATGCTTGCTGTCCAGTCTTCTCATCTATAAGAGAAAACTGATACTATTAATTTTCCCTCTCAAAATATATGAAGAAAAAATAATTGAAAAACATACTAATATAAGCAAGCATGTAACAAAGATAAAGTAACTTATTAACAGAAAAACAAAACCACATTCTGGCTTCATCAGTAAAACTAATAAACTAGTATATCCATTTGCAAACTACTAATTCCATGTCTTTTATAAGCTTTACATCTTAATAGGACTAGGAAACCTTCTCTGACCATTAAGGAATAACATAGGTGGTATAATCCCACTGCTTGAAAATATGACAAAGCCTGCAGAACTGATAAGATTCATTGAGAACCTAAGAGATGCAGAGTAATAGGGTATCAACAACTTTATTACCGGTTAGTAGCCAGGGCATTAATAAAGGAATACATGGCAGCTCCATCTTTTGCATGAATAATAGCTTCAAGGTTTTCTTCAAGAACTTTTTTATTATTTTGCACTCTTCTTAAAATTTTTTCAGCATCTTTCAAAATAGATCTTGGTGTTTTGGTTGACTGAAGATGGACTGGACTACGTGGAAGATCATCAACTCTAAAGGTGCTCAAAGACTCTTCTGGCTACAATAAAAAATGAATACATGAATAAATGCTTGACTGAATATATAAAACCTTGCATACTTTTGTGTACACCTTTTTGCTTTTGTTTATTTCAATTAACAAGCTCTTACTTTCTCTCCTTCCCACTTACTGAAAAAAAAAAACTCCCTTTCCTCACATTAAGGAAAAAAAAGATCCTTGTAATACATATGCATAGTCAATCAAAACAACTTCTAATATTGGCCACCAATAAAAACATATGCCTCCTTCTGCATATTGAGTTCATCACACTGTCAGAAGGTAGGGAACAGTCTTCCCCATCAGGCCTCTGGAATTCTGGTTGTTCAGAGTTCTTAAAAGGTCTTTCAAAGTTGTTTGTTTTTAGAATACTGTTATTGTTCACATTTCTCTTTTGGTTCTGCCCACTGCATAATGTATCAATTCACACAAGTTTTCCCTAGTATTTCTGAAACCATCTTTTCTGTCATTTCTTATAGCACAACAATAATTCATTACAATGATATGCCATAATTCATCCAGCCATTCCTCAATTAATGAAGATTCCTTCAGTTTATAGCTCTTTGACAGCAGAAAGTACTGCTATAAATATAGGTCATTTTCCTCTTCCTTTGATATCTTTGAAGGACTTAGAACTGGTATCAACTAGACAAAGGATATGCAGAAAATGTTCAGTAACGCTTTCAGGTATAATTTGTTTTCCAGAATGGATGAACAGATTAAGGAACAAATGGAAACAAAGTAAGTCATCCACTGATTGGGGAATGGCTAAACAAGTTAATGAAATAGTATGATGTCATAAGAAAGATGACTAAGAAAAATTCAGAGTCACACAGATCTATGAGCTCATCAAAGGGAATGTTTCACATTGCAGATCACAACTCATCCATATCTAATTATCCCATACAATTCTAGTTTCTGTTCTCCCCTAAAGTTCAATACAAAGGGTTTGCTAAATGTGATTGGGGTTTTGAAGTAACAAAAATACCAATGGAACATGTAAGCAGTCCATCAGTTATCACTTATGCTTGTTACATTACCAACTAAAACTGTTTTATTCTATAATTCCTTCTTTATAATGTGCTGCTGCCTGTTCACACCTACCATCAGCCTCTCTGTTACCCTTTGCATATTTATTCCTCAATTTTAATTATCTAAAAACTACATAAAAGACTTGAAAATACTTATACTACCTCATTTGTATTCTTATTTACTGCTTTTAGGACAATAAGGGATAATGTTTGCAATGTGTTTTGTAACTATACAGCTCTATGCAAAAAAAAAAAAAATTAAGAAAAGCATGGGGCATTAGGAACTGATGCAAAGTCCAGCTATCCTGGAAAGTAATTTGGAATTATATCCCAAAAATCACTAAATTATTCATACCTTTTGACCCAGTGATACAACTACTACACCTATTCTTCAAAGAGATCAAAGAAAGAAGAAAAATACCTATGTGTATAAAAATATTTATAGCTGTCCTTTCTGTAGTGGCATGGAAACTAAGGGGGTACCCATCTACTGAAGAATGGCTGAACAAATTATGATATTAATGTCATGGAATATTCTCGTACCATAAGAAATTAAAGAGGTGGACTGAGAAAAACCTAGCAAGATATGCATGAATCAAACAATCAATCAATAAACATTTATTAAGTACCTATTATGTCCCAGGCACTGTGCTAAGCACTGGAAATACAAAAAGAGGCAAAAGACAGCCCCTGCCTTCAAGGAGCTTACAATATAATCAAACTGAAGCAGAAAGAAGTCAGCAGAACGAAGTGAGCAGAACCAAGAGAACAATTCATATAATAACAATATCATAAAGACAAACAATTTTGAAAGTCTTAAGACCTCTAATCAATTCTATGATCATCCATGATTTCAAGGAACCAAAAATAAAGAATGCTACCCCACTTCCTGACAGAAAAGTGATAGACTCAAGACACAAAATGGGATTTTTGGATATGGCCGATATGGAAATTTGTTTTTCTGTCAAAGTATTTGTTTTTGTTTTTTTTCCAATGGAAAGGAAAAGTGAAAGAAAATAAATACTTGCTCATTGAAAAAAAGTAAAATAAAAGTTATTTTTTTAAAAAAGTGAAGTGAGCTAAACAAGGAAAACAATACGTACGATGCCTTGGAAAGAAAAACAAAACGACTCAATATGGAATTATGACCAACACTGATTCCAGAAAAAAGTTGAGAAAACACAACTCTATTGTTTCCTATTGTATTCCTACTCACTGTAGAAATAGGAAACTATATACCTGCGTTCTAGCACATTATACCACTATACGGTTGGTTTTTTTTAACTATCTTTTTTAATCTTTGTTATAAGAGATAGCTCACAGAGCAGGGAAGGCGGAGAGGTATGCAGAAATGAATGTGATGCAAAAACAAAAGACATAAATAATGTTTTTAAATGTTAATATGACACCAGACAAATCATGTGTTTGGGATCATTAATAAATCTATTTTTTTTAAATAAAAATAATCTAAGTCACCTAATCTAAAATTAAGGTGATGACTACAACTATTACAATAATGATTCCCATGTCAGTGTCCAATTTAGAATAGGATTAGGCCATAGGTATTCAAGACTATAAATCTGGAACTGGAAGGAATCTTGGAGGTCTTCTAATGTACTTCTCTCACTCTGCAGATGAAGAATTTGAGGCCCAAAGAGGTTCAGTGACTCAGGCAAAGTCACAAAAAAATCCTGATCCTCAAAAGCAACTGCTCTTTCTAATGTACCATGCTGCATCTCAATTCACAAGCAACAATAAAAACATTTAAGATTAAAATTCATGGGGCAGCTAGGTGGCACTGTGGATAGAGCACCCACCCTGGAGTTAGGAGGACCCGAGTTCAAATCCAGCCTCAGACACATAACACTTACTAGCTGTGACTCTGGGCAAGTCACTTAACCCCGATTGCCATACCAAAAAAATAAATAAATAAATAAATAAATAAATAAAATTCATAAAAATCTAGTTCCAGCAATACAGAAGTATTACTACAAGTACTTACTTGTACTTTTACACATTTTCCTCTTTCTTTGATATTATTGATGTATAGACCTAGTAGCTATATCATGGGTCAAAAAGTATAAACAATTTAGTGACTGTTAAGACATAGTTCCAACTTGCATTATAATAAGTAAATACTTGCAGTAATAAAAGAGATATTGAGTTCTTCATCACTGGAGATATTCAAACAGGAAGCTAGATATCTACAAGTCAAGGATGTTATAGAAAGGTTTCATGCTTCAGGTAGGGGTTGGACTAATGACCTCTAAGATACCTTTTAATAACACTTAAGATTTTATAATTACATTAGGCCTTCCATTTCACTTTTTACTTTATCAAATCATTACACCAAGCTTTGTAATCCTGCAGAACTTCCAAATAAGATGCATAACAATCACTCATTGTTTAGCCTAATAATTCACACAGGAGAAAACAAAATAAAAATATCCATTGACTAGAATTTGATGAACAATTAGGTGGATCGCCAATTGAATCATTCTATCAATATACATCTTGGGCAGGTGCTATAGAGGCAAACCATGAAATAGGCTTAGTCAGATTTAAAAGGGAAGAAGAAAATAGTTTGGACCAGGGGTGGGGAACCTGTGGCCTAGATCCTTGGGTGCAGCCTTTGGACTAAGTCCAGGCTTTACAAATCCTTTTATTAAAGGGATTTATTCTGTGAAGTTTAGATTCAGTCAAAGGGCCACACTTGAGGATCTAGAGGGCCACATGTGGCCTCGAAGCAGCGGATTCCTTACCCCTAGTTTGGACTGTATTTAGGAAATTTGACAGTGTTTTCAGTGGTCCCCTGGCGCTCCTTGGCACAAAGTTCTTTCAGTGATAATGTATTATGGTAAATCATGGAATGTTACTATCTCCAAAAAAACAATATTGCCTTTAGCTGGTTGGGTAGATTTTATTTGGAGGCTATATGATGGGACATAAACAAGAAGATATGATTGGGTTGACCTCTGTACCAGTGGAAGGAAAAGCACATTGATGAGATCAAAGATATACTGAGATACTGAAATAACAAGAATTTGGACTGGGAAATCCTAACTAGATAATCTCTTAGGTTTATAATATTATGTGATGATACTTAACTCAATGGTTTATTTTCACTTTCTTAAGTCAAGACAATCAACACCACAATAAATTAAGCCCTGATTGTAGTATTTGAGAATTTCTAAGTTGTAAATGCTCACGCTGAAAATCTAACAATTCACTCTTTTGTGCTTGTATAAGCTGGCTCCTACACACCCCTGGATCCAGGTTAGGGTTAGGGTTAGGGTTAGGGTGTTAGGGTTAGGGTTAGGGTTTGGGTTAGGGTTAGGGTTAGAATTAGGGTTAGAGTTAGGGTTAGGGTGTTAGGGTTAGGGTTAGGGTTAGGGTGTTAGGGTTAGGGTTAGGGTTAGGGTGTTAGGGTTAGGGTTAGGGTTTGGGTTAGAGTTAGGGTTAGGGTTAGGGTTAGGGTGTTAGGGTTAGGGTTAGGGTTAGGGTGTTAGGGTTAGGGTTAGGGTTTGGGTTAGGGTTAGGGTTAGAGTTAGGGTTAGAGTTAGGGTTAGGGTTAGGGTTAGCTTTAAATACGAGACAGAAGACTTGATATTTGATCACTGAAGTGATAGAGAGCTAGACAAGTTTACTGAATAGGTGAGGTGAGATAGATCTCTACTTCAGAAAAATCACTGTGGCTGCTGAATAGAGAATGTATTACTCGTGGGAAAAACTTAAGGCAGAGAGATGAAGAAGAAGAAGGCTATTGCAATGGTTCAGGCAAGAAGAAATGGGTCAGGGCAGCTAGGTGGCACAATGGATAGAGCTCTGGCCTTGGAGTCAGGAGGACCTGGGTTCAAATCCAGCTTCAGACACCTGACACTTACTAGTCGTGTGACCCAGGCAAGTCACTTAACCCTGATTGCCTCATCAAAAAGCAAAAAAGAAAAAAAAAGAAAAAAGAAATGGGGCCCTGAACTAGGGTTGTGGTTGTACAAGTAGAGAGAAAAGGAGTCATATTTGAGAGATGTTGTGAAGATAGAAACAAGGTTTGTCAATATGTTATATGTTGGGTGAGGAAAAAGCGAAGATTTAACAATGGCACTTAAGTTACATGCCTGGTTTACTGTGAAGATGATGGTGCCTTCAACAGTAATACAGTAGCTTGAAAGAGAGGATGATTGGGAGTGGGGAAAAAGATAATGAGTTCTATTTTGGGCATTTGAAGTTTGAGATACCTACAAGACATCCAATTCAAGATGTCTAAAAGTCATTTGGTAATGAGGACCTGGAGCTCAAGTGAGAAGACTACATGGCTGAATATTCAGACACAGGAATCCTTTGCTTACATGTCATTGAACTTGTGGGAGCTGACAAATTCAACCAAGTGAGAGAGCAAAAAGAGAAAAAGGCCCAAGACAGAGCCTTCAAGAACATCCACGGTTAAAGAAAGTGGGACCTGGATGAGAACTCAGCAAAGGGCACTGAGAAGGAACAGTAAGACAGTAGAGAAGTTCAACTTTTTTTTTTTTGCTTTTTGGTGAGGCAATTGGGGTTAAGTGACTTGCCCAGGGTCACACAGCTAGTAAGTGTCAAGTGTCTGAGGCCAGATTTGAACTCAGGTCCTCCTGACTCCAAGGCTGGAGCTCTATCTACTGCACCACCTAGCTGCCCCTGAGAAGTTCAACTTCTAAGAATAGCTACCAAGAAGAGTATTCAGGAAGAAAGAGCAGTCAAGAGGATGAAATTATGCAGAAGTCAAAAAGGACAGGGACTAAGAAAAAGCCAATAAAATTTTCCAATACCATGACTCATAATTCATCCTATAAACTTTCTTATCATTTACCTTTACCAATAATGATTTTTATTAACAAATTTGCGTTTATACACGAAATATGTGATTTACCTCTTTCTTCCTTCCACCAAGACCACAAAAGACATCATCAATGTGCTGCATAGTCTTTTCAGCTATTCGAAACTCTTCATGAGAAGGAAATGATTTAGGCTTCAGAGTGGCAACACCACTGGAGGGGAAAAAAAAACCTTCAAAATATCATCCCTTCTACTGTAGCAAAAATGTATGAAATATAGACCACATGTATATAATGATGTGCATACCACAATATTACCCCTTGATATGTTCTCAATCAAAATATACTAGATTTCTAAACATAAATATGCAATCTAGTAATAATTTTAAATCATTTTAACAGAAAACATCTTATTTTTCAGTTTGGTGCTCACATTGATGCTTTCGTGCAGTATAAATACATTATAGAAATACACTCATCATAATTACATATGCATATCTCAAACAATTATGTTTAAGTGAAAATAAAATGCACTTAGTGTCACTAGAGTCAAGAATACACTGTAACATCTAGTCCTTCACTCGCTTCAATGTAAAGCATCAGGATTCTAGGCCATTAACTATTTTCTCTCTTCTGCTGAGATACTAAAATTCCCATTCAATCTTTTTTTCATAAGAGGTACAGATAATATAAAATGCTGAAATTTCTTTGAAGAAATTAAATAATAAGTTTTAATACATCTATATATGGATATACATAGTCTAAAGCAACAAAAATTCAGTTATACTAATAACCAAAGAATCTAAAATACAAAATAGTCCTACATTAGACAATATTTTTAAATTTGAAAAGTTCATTTAAAATTACCTTGAAAAGTGTTTTCCTTTTTTTTTTTGGTGAGGCAATTGTGACTCACACAGCTAGGGAGTGTTATTTATCTGAGACCAAATTTGAACTCAGGTCCTCCTGACTCCAGGGCTGGTGCTCTATCCACTGCGCCACCTAGCTACCCCCAAAAAGTGTTTTTTTTATCAATAAATACAAATCAATAACGTTTATTAGTCCACCAAAATGAATCCGATTAGAATATGTTCCACTTACTAGTTACTATCATGAAACAACAACCTAACACAAAGATCTCAAAGGCTTTAATGTGATAAGAGCAAGAGATCTTTCAGATTCAAGCATATGAAAATGTGTTTTTTCATATGAAAATTATTAGCAAGAATTTTAAAACAGATGTATATTGATGTGTCTTAAAAATACTAATATTATCAACATAATTTTTCATTAGTGAAAAAAACTTGGGCTTCAAAGAAAATACTGAGAACTTCAAGTTCTAATTCCAGATTCTAGCGTGAGGAAGCTAATTCACAATAGCATAAATATTATGTTTAGAAACAATTCTTTTGTTAAAGAAGTAAATTTTTTTTTTACCAAATCATCTGAAATGTATAGAATAAACATGCCTGATTAAAGATGAAAGAAAAGAAAACTCAAAGAGTAAAAAAACAAAGCCTTTTAATAAAATGACTAAGGCTGCCACTTTACTTTTTAAAATCTAATTTTCAATTATAGATTTTTCTATACGTTAAACATTTACTTTTTTTCCACTGCTGAAAAAAATACACTCCATATTTGACAAACCCTACATGAAAGTCTTATTGTAATGCTTTACCATGAAGTCCTAATGTAATGCTTCACCATGGTGTAGGTTTTTTAAGGTGACAACATTAGGGAGAAAACTCTGTCATAAGTAATAAGCTGAAAAGACTTCAAGAATGGGCCTAGCAATAAACTGCAAAATTTATTTCTTTTTATTTTTACTATATTTTTCAGGATACTTCTGAAGCTTTTATAAAATACAAAACCATTTATAATTATAATTTCTTATGACAGTAGGAAAATATACAAAGCTTAAAAAAAAAAGTGTATTCCCTAGAACCCTGATATTCTACAAAATGCAAACATAACTCCTGGGAGAAAATTTCAATGCTGGGGACATTTTCACCTCTAAAATATTAAATATCAAATAATGTAAGTATCAAAAAAACATTTCCTATATGCAGAAAGTTTCTCAACAGGAAAGCGATTTGTTTCTTCTATTTTGCTTAAAATTTACAGAGTCTCCTTTATTGCCAGGACATTCTATATCTTTGGACACTGCTCCGCGTCCAAATTAAGGTTGGAAAACCATAGCCTAGGATAACCTACTTTTTTTGAGGACATAAACCATGGAAGTTACAGATAATTTATTACATGAGAACAGGAAAAGCTGGTCCTTGTCCTTGCCAAGGTCAATCCTTTTACTTGTGCCCTGGATCCCATCCTATCCTGCCTGTTCCAGGTTTTTGCTCTTTCAATCACCCTATCTCCTTTCTCTGACCTTCAACCTCTTTATCCACTGGCTCCTTCTATCTGGTATACAAAAATTTCCAGAGATCACTCATCTGGGAAAAAAAAAAAAACTTTCACTTGACCTTGAAATTCCCCTAAAGGTGTCATTTAACAGTCAATGCCTAGATGAGTTTGTTAACTCCACTCACTCACCACTACTGACTAGTCAAATGTTACTATTCAACTAAAATTAAACACAAAAATTAGTAATAAATAATAATAATAAATGTCCTTTTCTCAGTCCTCCTTTCCCTCTCTGAAATATCTGAAAGTTTTTCTGCCTGTTGCAAAGTTTCTCCCCACTTCCATCCACCCTCCATTCACTCATTAAAGTGATTTTCCTAAAACGCAGGTCAGATCACATAACCCCAATAAGCTCAATAAGTTCCAGTGGCTTCCTAAATGGTCAGCTTGACATTCAAAGTCTTTCGTAACCCAGCTCCCTCCAACCTTTCTAGTCTTCTTATATCTTAACTTCCCAACACGTACTCTTCAATCCTACGACACTGGCCTCCTGCAGGTTCTAGGAACAAGACACTCCAATTCTTGGCTCCAAGCATTTTCTCTGGCTGCCCCCCCTGCCTGAAATGATCTCCCTACCCTACCCCAACTACTGACCTCCCTGGTTTCTTTTAAGTACCAGTGAAAATATCACCTGCGAAAGGAAGCCTTCCCCAGGCCCTCTTAATGTCAGTGCTTTCCCTCTTTTAATTATTTCCTATTTATCTTGTACATAGCTTGCTTTGTATATATTTGTTTGCATGTTGTTTCCCCAATGAGATTTACTGTAAGGTCCTTGGGGGCAAGGACTATCTTTTGCTTCTTTTTGTATCCTCAGCATTTAGTGCAGTGCCTGGCACACAGTGGACACTTAATAAATGTTTACTGAATACATGAATGAATACTCAAATCCAATCAGCTGCAAAGTCTTACTGATTCTACTTCTACAATGTATCCTAAATCAATTCTATTCTCTCTACTGCTCTCGCAATCTTCATTGGTTCCTCTACATCCAATCTCTTCCCACTCCAATCCATGCTGCACATAGATGTCCAACTGATATTTTTAAAGCATAGGTCTGACAATGTAATCACCTTAATCAATAAACTCTAGTATCTTCTTTTGGCCTCTACAACAGGGACTCAATCTGGGGTCTGTTACTTTTTTTTAACAAAAGGTCCAGAATATCAAGGGAACTAATGAAGAGAAATGCAGGGGAAGGTGGCCTAGTCATTCCAGATCTTAAATTGTCTTATAAAGCAGCAATCATCAAAACTGCTTGGTACTGGCTAAGAAACAGAGTGGTGGATCAGTGGAATAGGTTAAGTATAGTCATTGACAGTAGTCAATGACTATAGTAATCTATCATTTGATAAACCCAAAGACTGCAGCTTCTGGGATAAGAACTCACTCTTTGACAAAAACTGCCGGGAAAACTGAAAAAGAGTATGGCAGAAACTAGGCATGGACCAAAATCTCACACCATGTACCAAAATAAAGTCAAAATGGGTTCATGATTTAGATATAAAGGCTGATACTATAAGCAAACTGGGAGAGCAAGGAATAGTTTACCTATCAGATTTATGGAAAACAGACGAATTCATGACCAAACAGGAGACAGAGAACATTACAAAATGCAAAATGGATAACCTTGATTACATTAAATTGAAAATTTTTTGCACAAACAAAGCCAACGTAACCAAGACTAGAAGGAAAATAGAAAACTGGGAAAGAATTTTTTTTGTAGGGGGAAGAATTTTTACAACCAGTCTCTCCGTTAAGGGCCTCATTTCTAAAATATATAGAAAATTAAGTCAAATTTATAAGAATACAAGTCACTCCCCAATTGATAAATGGTCAAAGAATATGAATAGGCAGTTTTTAGATGAAAAAATTAAAGCCATCTATAGTCATATGAAAAAATGCTCTAAATCACTGCTGATTAGAGAAATGCAAATCAAAATAACTCTGATGTACCACATCACACCTATCAGATTGGCCAACGTGACAAAACAGGAAGATGATAAATGTTGGAGAAGATGTGGGAAAATTTAAACACCAATGCATTGTTGGTGGAGTTGTAAAATGATCCAACCATTTTGGAGAGCAATTTGGAACTATGCCCAAAGGGCTATAAAAATGTGCATACCCTTTGTCCCAGCAATAGCACTTCTAGGGCTGTATTCCAAAGAGATCATACAAATGGGAAAAGGACCTACATATACAAAAATACAGCAGCTCTTTTTGTGGTGGCAAAGAATTCGAAATTGAGAAGATGCCCATCAACTGGGGAGTGGCTGAACAAGTTGTGGTATATGAATGTAATGGAATACTACTGTGCTATGAGAAATGATGAACAGGCTGACTTCAGAAAAACTTGGGAAGACTTATATGGTCTGATGCTGAGTGAAGTGAGCAGAACCAAGAGAACAATATACACAGTAACAGCCACACTGTGCGATGACTAATATCGATAAACTTAACCCTTCTCAGCAATACAAGGATCTAAGACATCTCCAAAGGTTTCATGATGGAAAATGATATCCACAAAGAAGAAAGAACTATGGAGTTTGAATGCAGATCAAAGCATACTATTTGCTATTTTTTTTTCTTCTGTTGTGTTTTGTTTCCTCGTTCTGGTGGTTCCTTCTATTTGTTCTAACCCTTCCTTACAACATCACTAATGTGAAAATATGTTTAATAGGAATGTATATGTATAGCTTAGATCAGATTGTGTGCCATCTTGGAGAGGGAGGTGGGGAGGGAAGGGGAGAAAAATTCAAAACTCAAAAGCTTATGGAAATGATTGTTGATAAATCAAAATAAATTAATTTTAAAAAATTTAATAATGGTATTTCAACATAATTTGTTGTCTTTGCAATCCTATGTAATTTATTTTATGCATTTAAAAATATTATTCTGAGAAGCGGTACACAGGCTTTATCAGACAGACAAAGGGATTCATGATACAAAAAAGGTTAAGAACACTTATGACAGAATAAAATATAAATTCTTTTGGTTCATGTTTAAAGCCCTGGTTCCAAATTATCTTTCCAAAATGATTTCACTTAAATTCCAGACAAGTGTGCTACTTGCTATTCCATTTACACAAAAGTTTGATCATCAACTTCTGTATATTTGCATGAGCCAAACTCCATGCCTGGAATGCTCTTTCACTCTCCCCGCTTCTGCCAGTGATAATTCCTAGCTTGGCTACATTAGTTCCTCCAAGCTTTTCCTGATCCCTTCCTCCTATCTGGAAATTATGTTGTATGTATTTTGCATTAATCTATCTGTATATACATTATTTCCCCCAGAAGAATGTGACCTATCTGAAAACAGAGCCTGTTTTCATTTCTAACTTTGTATCCCCAGAATCTGGTACAGTATTTGACCCACTGTAGATGCATAATAAATGTTTGTTAAAATGAATTCAACAGATAAGCCAACAAATAAGTAGGACTTACAGAAAAGCCCTGGATTGGGATTCAGGGCCAGATAGTAGTTCTAATATCCCGCGCTCTGCCAATAGTTAGTAGCTTATGATTTTAGGCAAGTCACTTCACCACACAAGGACTCAGTTTCCTCATTTACAAAATGAAGAGGTTGGATCAGCAGTCACTTGCAGCTCTCAATTTACTGATCTAAATATAATGATCTAAGCTTAACACAATAAGCTATAGAACTGTAATTTCTCAAAATTTACAAAGATGTTCATGTCTCATCTTTCTTTCTTTTTTATTTTTTTTTGGGGGGGGAGGCAATGGGGTTAAGTCACTTGCCCAGGGTCACACACTACTAAGTGTTATGCGTCTGAGGCCAGATTTGAACTCAGGTCCTCCTAACTCCAGGGCTGGTGTTCTATCCACTGCATCACCTAACTGTCCCTCAACTTTCTATTTTTTCCCTTTTTGATAAACAGATAATAAATCTTTTACTTCATTCTCTCTTTTTTTTTACCTGTCTCTCAGAGGATCCTGTTTCATTCTTGATGTGGCTAGTGATATTCTTTCTGAAGACTCACTCTCTTTTACACAGGTGTCCTGACTATTTAGGATCTGCTCCAACAATCTTCCACCTCCTAAGAAGCAAAAATAGTTTCAAATACTATGATTAATTTTTTATAAACTAATAAAATTCAAAATCTGGCCCAAGTTTATATAACTAAAAATATAATTGAAATACAAAATCAACAAATTTTATTTTATGGTAACACTAAACAAAAATAGCAAGAAAATTAACATTTCTACAGAATATATTTGTGTATAGAATTCTATATAATACTATCAGTAACCTAAGGGGAAAAAATTATAAAACAAGGACTATGATTATTAAATTAAAATGATTTGGTTTCAAAATCCAGTAAGATTTGGGTATTGTAAAATAGTTAGTCCAAGGCAGACTTAACTCTCTCTTCATTACATTTCTTAGTTAAATGACCTCATCTGCTACTCCTCTTCCTAAAATACATAATTATCTTAATATTTAGGTGTGTCTTTTTATAACACAAACTAAAAGTTCTAGTGTACCCAAATATAAATAAATTAAAAGTTCTTCCAACAATGTAATACTTTTAAATCATAGAATTATTTTTCAGTGCTTATCAATCACATATATTTCCACTAGCCTGGAAAAACATGCTCCATCTATATCTACCTAAACTAATAATCAGCAAATTAGATTAAGAAAAACATCATTGTTCATGCTTATTAACCACAAAATTCATCCATGTTTTAAAATTATACTATGTAAGAAATGTTTCCAATTTAATGAAATATAATAAAGATGAATATAAAATCCAATACTCAGGTTAAAAAAAATTAACAGTTAAAGTACAAAATGAGTGCAAACAGCTAGACCGCATTATGTGACAAAGACCTAAAGGGTATTTGTGGACTGCAGCATGACTTGGATTCTCAAAAACACTTCTGTCAAATTAACGGAAGAATAACGTCCAGAATAAGGGATATGCCAGTCTTGCCATACTCTGCACTGTCAAACTACATATAAAGAATTATATGGAATTATAATGTTTTTATTAGAGACAATCTCAAAGTTCTGGGAAATCTTCCTTTTCACTGTGGATGTTTAGAGTTGTAAAGAATAACATCAGTTCTACAAATGCAATCACAAAAAAGTACTTCAAATTCTAACAAATTATTAGACTAACATTTCTTAGATGATGCCTATAACTGTAATCCTTATATAGTTCTTTTCACTTTTCTTCTTTTAACTTTTCTCCTCTTCTGACCTATTTCAACCCTGTGTCAGGCAGTTAATTCTCACAGCTTCTCTCCCAATTTCTGGTCCCAATAAAAAACTCTCCCTACCCAAGCCTGGTATTGATAAGTGACTCCAAGACCTTCTCTACCACATTTGGGTCTAATTAAGAATGTCCCTTTTGACATCTGGCACCAATTACTTGTTCTCCACCAAACCCATTTTTAGAGTATATAACTTTACCATCTGAAGCCCAACTTTGAGCATGTTTCCTCCTGGACAGAATTAACCCCTCCAACTACTAGTGCCCTGTCTCTCTACCTTCACTGCATTTATTTCATATTTATTATGCCTATTTTTATCCTGCGTATAAATACATATATGATACGTATATATCACATATATGTATGTTGTCTCTGCAACAGGATGTAAGTTATTTGGGAAAAGAAACCACAAGATCATGCACCTAGAGCTAGAAAGAACCTCAGAAGTCATCTAGTACATCCCCCTTGATTTTTATAAAAGATCTGTCCAATGTCCCACAGGTACTAAACAGCAGAGCCAGGATATGAACTCAGATCCTCTGACTCCAAAGTCAGTGCTTGCTCTGTTGTGACTTACTGCCTATCATGGATGATAGCAATTCAAAAATCAAACAAATCAACAAATTACAAAAATAATTTTTAAGTGTTCATTTACACCCACACATACAATAAGTTTTACCATGAAAGCATATTTATGAAGTTCTTTGTGGCCAAGGCCTGTTTGTGTCTACATCTATATAACCATCCACTTTTCTATAAAGGTCTAATCCCAAGTCTATAACACACTGTATTAACACAGTAATAATTTACTTTGTGCTAATAGCTTAATTAAAAAAACCCTCCAGAGCATTATTTTTAGCACATCTTTAATGTACATCCAAGAAAGGGATATGTCATTTACCTTTTGGTCTACCACTTTCTTCTGTTCTATCCAAAGCCAAATGTTGTACTTTAATGTGCTTCCTATTTTTGACTTTGTATCACCAACACCTAGTACAGTACTTGGCATATAGTAGACACCTAATAAAGGCTTGTTGACTGAACGTCACAAAGCATTTAAAAAAAAAAAGTCCAATAACTTACACGTTAGAAGGGATTCTGAGAAGCAGAGAAAGCACTTGGTATACCAGATAAAAAAGTTGGCCTTGCAATCAATCAGAAGACCTAGGCTCAAATCCAACTTCTAACATACATTGTGTAACTAAAAGCACATTATTTGACCTCTAAATACTATTCACAAGCAACTGTTTATAAATAAAGTGCAGACCTCCATAAGTAGGAGCTCCCCACACCAATAAAATCACAAATCTAGACTTTAAAAACATTTAACAAGCTAAAGTATGTCTAGAAAGGTAGCAAGGATAATGAGAAGCATGTTATATGAGGAAGGATTAAAGGACTTACTGAAGTTTTACATGAGGAGAAGACGACTTGGGAGGGACACAAACAGCCCTCTTCAAATATATAATAGGATATCATATGAAAGAGAAATTGAGTTTATATTTTATGGCTTTAAAGGTGAAAAGTAGGCAGAAGGTAAGGAGAAGGTTGACTTCTTAACTACTAGTGCTGTCTGAAAATGAAATGAACTCTCCCATTAGGCAGTGAACTGCTCATCAGTTAGAGTCCTAACGCAGAAGTTAGCTGACTAGCTACTGGACATTTTGTGGAGTGGATTCCTGTATTGATCGTTCAGATAAACTCTAGAACCCCTAACAAGTTTTGGACTTTCTGATTCTATTATTAATCTATATTAATTACTTAGTAATAGAGAAAATGATGAAAAATATACAGATAATTCCAGTATAGTTACTGTTAGGCACAAATGTCACAGTATATGAAATAAATAAGAATAAACTATTAAGTCTTAAAGTCCTAAATCCAAAATAATCGATTCATACAAGTCAAATACAACCTTTTAGATCTCTTATGTTCAAGTAGTCTTAGTTCCTCTTAGAACCTCTTAGTTGGAATAAGGTAATCAACAAATATTTATTAAGTACCTATTATGCACCAGGCACTACTAAGGATACAAGAAGGCAAAAGACAGTCTATGCCCTTAAGGAGCTCACAATCTAAAGGAGGAGACAACAAACAAATATATATAAACAATCTACATAAAGGATAAATGGGAAATAATTAACAGAAGGAAGGCACTAGGATTAAGAGGGGTTGAGAAAGGCACTTATGAGTCACTGAACAAAGGATGTTTATTATGCCTCAACACAGCAAGGACACATCAAGGTTACAAGAGCATTCAGCTTCTCTGGCCTTAGCCCTCCATCCAGAAACAAGACTGGTCAATGTGTTATCAGGGTATGGCAACTCATGTGGTCTCAGGCACTCACCAAGTCTGAGAAGGCAGCAACTACATGGGACTGGGACTTTTTATGCTCCCAAACCAAAAGGGAAGCTGGGGCCAATCAGACTGCACAGGGCAGGAAACTGTGTCAGTGAAGTCACGAAAGTTGCATCTGGAAATGTATGGTGTCGTGACATGTGTTGAAAGACAAATATGTTAATCTGATCAAGGAAGCAATTCCAAAATTGGAGCCATGGAGCAAAATGCCTCCCATTGATATTAAACCAATAGCAATCAGAAAAAGGCTATACTAACAGACTGCAAATTTATAAATATGAATTCAAAAACATGAGTAGAAATTATCATAGGGGATTTTAATCGGATAGTTGAGATTCAACCAGTGTTTACAACTTTCAATGGCACAGAAATAAAAAAAACAAAGGCACATTGTTACAAGTCTATTACCTTTGCAAGATAATAACTGTAAATTTTCCTTTTCTTCCCCAGGCCTTCCATTCTTGGAGATTTTATCATCTTTAGAAACGGGTATAGGAGCAAATCTTCGGGGTGCTGGGGTCTCAAGTGGAGATTTTTGATTATCAAATCCCGTATCTTCAACTTGCCTTAAATATGCTTAAATGCAGAAAGAAAAGCAACCTTAGCAATAAAACACCTTTGCATTTTTAAGTTGTCCTTGTTTAAATATTTTTACAATGTAACCAAAATGTAAGTATGTAACCATTAAAACAAAAAGCAAAGCTAACAGAACTGAAGAGGCAGTATGAAATAGTGAAAAGAACACTGCATTTTGAGTCAGAAGAACAAGATTCAAATTCTACCATTATTACTTATTACTTGTTTTGATTTAGGCAAGTTACTTTTGGGCAAGTAAACTCTCTGGGCATTTGTTTCCTCATCTGTACAATGACTGGGTTATTGGTAGTATTAATAATAATAGCTAGCATTTATATAGTCCTTTAAGGTTTACAAACCACTTTAAGATATTTGATCTTCATAACAACCCAGTGAGGTAGGTTCTATTACCTTCATTTTAGAGATAAGGAAATTAAGGGCTAAGTGACTTGTCCAAGGTCACATATCTAGTAAGTGCCTGATGCAGGATTAGAACTCAGATCTTCCTGAACACTGAGAAGCTGAAGAGTATCCAGTGGAAGGCAACTGAGATAACAAAGAGTCTTTAGATCATTCCATACAAGAATTACCTGAAGTTTAGACCACAGAAGAGAAAACTCAGGGAGAGTTAATAGTTAGTTGTCTTTATGTTATCTAAAGGGCAGACAAGTGAAAAGACTTGCTCCACTTGGTCCTAGAGGCTATAACTAGGAACGATAAAAGGAAGATAAAAAAAAAAACAAGTACACAATCTGCATAACACAAAACTTTCTAAGCATTACAATCATCCAAAGTGAAACAGACTTTGAAGAAGACTTAAGAAAAAATGTCTTCCCCTCCATAAAGCTCTTCAAGCCAAAGCTGAATGGTCACTGGTCAAGTACGTTCTAGAGGGGATTCCTTTTTAAGTTTGAAAAGGGCTAGATGGCTTTTGAGGTACTTTCCAATTCTGTGATTATATAATTCTGTTCACAAACTCCTTCTTGTTCTCCTTTTCTATTTTCATCAAGAATACCCCTGATATGCATATAGATCATTCTCAAAGATTTTAAAGAGAAAAGAAAGGAAGCACATACACATTAGTAGTTACTGCTGTATTCTCAAATGCCTTTTTGTGATTTTTCTAAATCCTTTGGCATCCTCTCCTGTTTAAATATTCTGAGAACTGATTTCTTGCTTTATTCTTATAATTTAATTTTTTTCAGTTAACAAAAATCTATTTTCTCTCCCCTACTTCCCTCTCTCTCAATGAAAAAGAAACAAAACCCTCTTAACAAATACGTGTAATTCAAGCAAAACACAATCCTATATTGGCTATGTCCAGAAAATATATACCTCACCTGCCCCTAAGTCCAACACCTCTTTGTCAGGAGATAGGTAGCATCAAGAGAATTCTAGAATCAGAGTTGGTTACTTTACATTGATAGAGTTCTTAAGTCTTTCAAAACTGTCTTCACAGTATTGTTGTATAATTGTTCTCCTGCTTCCTCTCTAACCTGGATTTCTTCTTTGTAAACCTAATCTGGCCCACTTATGTTAGGTTTCTACCTTATTTTGCATTAGTGCCTTTGTCATATCTTCATTTAGCAGATTAGGGATTGTCATGCTGAGAGTCCAAAAGGAAGGTCCAACTGTCATATATGATAATATATATAGGCATAAAGCTACTGAGTAAGCAATCTGCAAGCCTCTGGCCTATTTTATTGCTTAAACCCAAAATTTATTTTCCACTATTTTCTCTTGTACCCATCTTGTACTTAAGTCACTATCAATAATAAAATCAACTCCTTTGGCTATACAAGGAGAACCTGTGGGCCACCTTCCCTTTAGCTATTTCTTTTACCTTCTAGTTTCATTTAGCCTAAGAATGCTAATATCAAGGTAGTGACAATAGTTTGTCGGGTCACTGTGGGTCACTCACTGGCCAAAGATCAACTCTTTAGAGTGTCCAAAGTTAAGTTAATGATTACAGATAGTCTAAAAACTGAAGTTCCTGGCATTCCTTTCTGCTATTCTACCAATATCACTGCAAAAGTAGAAGGGGCACACATAGGAATGAGGGCCATTTTAAATTTTATTCTGTCAGATGGGCTGTCATAGCCAAAGAATTCACTGGCCAACCCACCAGTGATGAGCTTTCTCTGGATTGGTCTTTAAACAGCAAACTGGATCTGTCACAGAGACAGACTTATCTGAAGTTGTTCCGGTATTATAAAGCCAGGGGTGTCAAGAGGCCCAAATCAAACAGCAGATGTCTACAAAGCACTTTGCAAACCTTAAAGCGTTATCTAAATGTTGTTGTTGTTACTGTACAGCAGAGGTGTCAAACTCCCCAGGAGGCCACAAGATTTCTCAGTGGTTTGAGACAGATTAAAATGTAATTAGGAAATGTTTTAACAAAACAAATAAAAATACAGTAAAATATAATGTTAATTTGTGATTTTCTAAGTCAATACGCTGCCTGCTGGCAGGGATTCATTTTTAATCTAATTTTGACACTACTGCCCTAGACTTACCAGGCCTCCGGTCTGGTGATAACTTCATTCCCTGAGCTTTCTACTACTGTTGAGCTCAACCAGTTTTTATATAGCAATACAAAGGAACGCTGGTAAATACAACCTGACCTTGGGCAGGAGGGGGTGGGGGAAGTAGAGAGAAAGGGGAAAGTTTGTACACACATACACTCTTAAATTTAATCTATATTACTGACAATTTCTTAAGTCTAGACAATCAACAAGAAAAATAAACCAAGCCCTGATTTGTAGCACCTCCGATTTCTGTTATAACTGGCTCCAGCACATTGCTGGGTAGACCGTTTCAGAGTTTAAGTTCTACTGGTACCGACTTTGAAAATCCAGGTTCACCTCTCACAATAAGGCATCAAAGAGGAACTTTATGGAGCCATAAATAATGTTATCAACAAGGATGGACAGATTGTTGCACTAGTACCTACAAAATGTAAAAAGACCTAGAGGAAAGTATCTAGCTCACTGCACAGATCCCCCGTGGAAGATCTCTGTGAGGGCATGCACATAAGTCACAAAGGATAAGAGGGTACATATAACTTGTGATCTGCATTAACAATAGCAATACCAATAATCAGCTTATAAGATTCACTGAAGTATCAGTCTTAATTGCATAAACTGGGAGTTAAACTCTATTTTGACCGAAGAGGTTTTAGTAGCTCCTTTAGAGTAAGATTGTTTCATTCTTTGTACCTCTATCTCCAAAACATTAACACAATGCCCGACAATAAATACTTGCTAATGCACACAAAAGATAAGAAAACTAATTTCATGAAACATCAAAAAAGTAATATAGGCTAATTAACACAATGATGTAGTCACTTGCTACTTGTTTGTATAGAAAAATAGGTCAAAAAAACAAGAAAAAAAAGTAAGAAAATTAATTTAATGAAAATGACATTCATCAAGGGTGAGAACTGAATCAGTATCAGACATGACTCACTGGATTTAACATTATTTACCTTGACTAGGAAGCTCTATGTGTCTGTGATGTGAAGAATGGTTACTGGTAACAGGACGTTGAAGTTCTGATTTTACAAATGATTTTCCTACTGGATTGGAAGGCGGCCCGTTGACAGGCTGGAATCTGCCAGTGTTGAAGGCAGAGGTAATTAAATGGTTCTAGAAGACAAAATTGTTTTATGACTTTCTTTTTAAAATGAGATTAATTTTGTTTTGAGACTACAAACGCTTCCCAACTTACAACCAAACAAAACCCTCTAGAAAGTACTTTCCTCAAAAATGGTTAAACAAAGAACAGTCTGACGCCAAACACTTCCCAATTATATTTTAATCTCTTAGCACTGAACCACAAGCTGGACACCTGCTGTAACTGACTCTGACCTAGAATGAGGACTCGTAACTGTGCCCCAAGCGTCCTCATCTACAACGTGGCCTCGCTGTTACTGGTAAGGCTCCTGCTCATCAATACTTCTCTCCATCAGAAGACCCACTATGAACAACAAACATCTGGCCTCACTCACTACATAAACCCAGTTACTGAGATTTAAATCTCAGTCCTTTCCAAAGGAAACGGCCAGGCCTGGATTTGTGGTCTCTGCTGCAATTCTTATCCAGGAACCATTTCAGGAGACTCCTCCCTTGCTTATTATCTTTTCTGGCTGTCTTTGTCTTTGCTTTGCTTTTTTTGGCTAAGCTGCACTTCCAGCACTGCCCAAGCTAACCCTCTGGCAATACCAAACCAGTGGTCTAGTGATGAGAAGATCCTAGAAGGATCTTTGCTACCAAGAGGTGGGATATTCTGGAGCAACATTTAATCCACACAGGCTGGGCTTTTTTTTTCTGAAAAGGCAATAAAATTTACTTGGTCCAAGTCACTGACATAGCTACCTGACTACCCAAGCATAAAAGTGCAGCACAGGAGTCACTCATGCCTCAGCCATGACACATGCTACCATGACAAGAGTAGAGGCAAGGAAGCTTTGCCCAAATAAACCAATACCAAATCCCTGCTGGATATCCTTTCCATAATATTGTCAACATACTTTGTTTTTGTCTGTGAGATGGTTTAAGTGTCCCATTTCATTCTGATCTGAACCTGCACTACAAGATCAAGCCTGATACCAACCTGACCCAGAACAATCAAGCCTGATACCAACCTGACCCAGAACAATCAAGCCTGATACCAATCTGACCCAGAACAATCTGTATGCCTTAAGAGTATACAGATAACTGCTATACACCATAACTTTAATAAGGATCTTGTTAGTACTATGATAAGATTTTAAAGCTAGAAAACAGTTTCTACACACTATCAAATCCCAGCGTCAGCTGCTGAGCAGTCTTGTTACGAATGGGAGATTTAGCTCAGATTCTCAAGGTCAGATAGGCAAATGTAGGCTAACCCAGAATTTCCATCAAAAAATTCCCTGTTGGATATTCTCTATATCCAAGATCTAGAGCAGCATGTAGACAAACATACAATCAAACAATCAACAAGAATGTATTACCTGTCTACTATGTACTCTGCTAAACAATGGATATATGAAGACAAAACCGAAGTCCCTACCCTTAAGAAGATTCCAATCTATCAAAGGAGATAATATGTACACACATAAATACATACAAAGTAAATACAAGGTATTTTTGAGAGGGGAGGCACTAGCAGAAAAAGCTTCATGTAAAAATTAGGAAAACAAAGACACAGCACATGGGTTCCTGACTACCACTCTAAAGGGTTTAGTAGTCAGGTACCACCAAACACAGAGAAATAATGGAAAAGTAAGCTGAGATTTCTGCAAATAAGCCAGTATGACCTTGGTTCTCATTCTATCATGTATTTATGGCTATTCATTCACCTCATGTTTTTTCTATATACTTATCTATGTACTTGTATGTAAGTTCCTTGAGAGTAAGAACTGTTTCACTCTTTGTATTTTGTAGCACCTAGCACGATACCTGGCACATAACAGGCACTTAATAAAAGCTTTTTGATTGGCTGATTTCTAACTCTTCTTTCTCAATATTCATTTGCTCTTTTCCTCCTCACGATCCACCTCTGCCTCCCTGGTGTGGTTATTACCCAAGGTTTTGACCTCTTCTGAGTCCACAACCTCTCCCTTAAAGATCCCATCAGTTCCCATAGGTTAAGTACCATCTGTATCTATTCAGATGTTACCTAAATCCTCACCTAGTGTTTCTCTTGAATTTCAGGCACAAATCATCATTTGCCTCCTGAATATTCCACAACTATCTCAAATGCAACAAGTTTAAAAACAGAACTTCTCCCCTAAATAACTTCTCTATTTCTGTTGCTGGCATCACCATTTGCAATAGTAGACTCATCTCTAACTCTTCCTTATGAATTACTCTCTCTTGTTATTTGTAAACTTCTGTCCATTCTACTATCACAACATCTCACATCCATTCCCTTTCTTCCACTCTCATGAACATAAGTACCTCATTCAGGCATTCACTATTCCTCACCTTGATTATAACAGTTTAATTGGTCTCTCCCTGCTTGTAGTTTCTTGCCTCTTCATTCACCCTCCATATAGCTGCCAAAATAGTCTTCCTGAGACACAGATCTGACCATTTGATTCCTCTGCTCAAAAACCTTCATTGGTTCCCCATTGCCTATAGAATGAAATACAAATTCCCCAGGCTGGTATTTACCACTCTACACAATCTGGTTCCCACCTGCCTTATTTTGTACTATTTCCCTTCATGAACTCTATATCTCAGCCAAATTCATTAGCAGCTTTTCTGGAACTTGACACTCCATTTCCCACCCCTAACATTGGCCCAGTGCAGTGTGCAAGCCTGGGATGCACTCTATACTCATCTCCTCTTCTCAAAATCTTTGTCTTCCTGAAAAGCTCAGCTTAGGTGCCGCCTCCTTGATAAGGCCTTTCCTGGTGCTGCCAGGTATTAGTGTTTTCTCTCTTCTCAATTTTCTTTTTACTGTACTTACCCGTGTCCATTTTGCATCCCCCCTCTACCACCATCCCCCTCCCCACTCCAAAAAAAAACCTCCTTAACACCAGGGACTGCTTTGTTTTTGCCTATATCCTCAGCACACAGCACTATACTTAGTAAGTACTTAACAAACACTTCTGGAATTAAATTTAATCTTGTAAGATACTCATTTAAAAAATGCTTAATATCATCATAACCCCTACAAGAAAGGCAAAACAACCTGCAACTACTTGAAAAAAATATGTCAGGGTTTAACAAGAAATCAATGAAAATGACAATACACATTAATAAAAAGGTTAACAAAAATTACTTAAATTTTGCTTTCCCTTGTATACTCAAACTCAGATTTTTTATATTTTAATTTTTTGCACATCAGTAGATATTAACTAGGAATTTAAACTAGTTATACGTAATACTTCATTAAAGATTTTAATAATGGTTATTTATCAGTTTAAGATAATAAAGTAATAAGAAATATAGCAATATAATCTAGTTTGAATTAAGATACCTGAATATCTAATTGTTGTTGTTGCATTTTTTCCAGATGCCTAAGGTGTTGCCCTATAAACACATCAAACTGCTTCTCACGGTCTTGGCAACAAGATCTGTCAGGTTGAATTTTAATGTTTTTCTGCTGCTCTGTAACACGTTGCAATTGTTTGTCTGTCTCCCGGAGTTTACTGAGTAATTCCGATACAGAATTAACTTTTGCTTCCAAATCACTCTGTACCTAAAACAAGAAAAATATAGCAAAACCAGGATTTCTTGCATTAATATTAATTACCAGATCACCATTTATCAACAACATATCAAATACAAATATCTGCATATGTTTTGCATATATTTAGTTATGTCTCTCCCTACATAGAACTAAAGCTCTCTGAGGGCAAGAGTTGTACCCAGAACAAAGTAGGTATTATCAACCAACAAGTATTTATTAAGCAGCCACTATGTGATGTGCACTGTGCTAGGCTACTCAAAACGGACTTACATTCTAACATTAGAGACAAACATGTATTCTGAGTAGCCTAGTAATAAAAGTAAGTTTACAGTAAATATAAGGGTAAAGCAGTACATTCTTCCCACTTTTCTGCCATTACATAGTACAAGAAATGCTAGTTAGAAAAATAAGATACCAAGAAACCAAAGAGATAAACACTAGCAGAGAAAAAAATGATATGTAAGAGGATATATAAGAGACCTTTTCTGATTTTTCTAGCTACAGAGAAAAAGTAAAGATGTGTAGTCTTCCTTGATAGAACATAAGCTTCTGGAAAACATGGATTATTTCCATTTTCTCTCTGTATTTGAGCTCAAATGATTATTGATTGATTTAAAGAGTACTACGAAAAGGTCAAACTAATGAAAAATTCTACTAATTTAAGACCATACCATGAAAAAGAGGAAGTATAATAGCAGAAAGAGAACAGTCATAAGCTAAACAAACTTCCTGATCCTTAAGGGGGAAATAAAGAAAAGTAAAGAACTGAAATCTAAGAGGATGTCTATCAATTGAGGAACGGCTGAATAAATTGTGGTATACTGATATAATGAAATATTACTGTGCAGTAAAAAATTGTGAAAGATGATTTCAAAGACTCTTAAGTAGTATGAATGGATGCAGAGTAAGTGAAAAGAAACAAGAGAATAATTTATACCCGAACAACCACAATGTAAGAACAAACAACTTTGAAAAACTTTTGCAGAACCCAATGAGCAATCTTGTCTCCAAAGGTCTTAAATCTTAGGTCGCACCTACCTCTTGATAGAGAGGGGATGAATTCAAGGCACAGAGACATACATTTTTGACATGGGGCACTACACGGATTTGCTTTTTTTGTTGGGTTTTTTTTTTTTACTATGCTTATGTGTTAAGAGGGTTTTTTCTTCCTTTCTTTCCTTGTTTTTAATTGGGGGCAAAGAAAAGGAAGGGAGATGGAGCATTAGCAATAGGAATGTAAAAATAAAGACAAAAAAGTTCGTGAAACATTTTTAAAATGCAGAGAAGAGAAAAGATGGGCGTTCAGAAGGAAGTACGTACAAGCCAGTTTTGAAATTAACATGTAGAAGTGATTACATACTTTTTTAAAAAGTAAATGATATGAAATGAAAACTCATAGTTTCATAATAGTTTTTTGAGTTTTGCTGTGTATTTGTAAATGTTCATTTTTCAGGGTGTTTAAGTTCAGAATAAAACTAATTCTTTAAAAATTAGAGAATAAATAAAAATGTTTAAAGTAGCTAAGAAGCAAAAAGCAAATGACAATGAAGAATGACTGCACTGGATTTCACCATCACCACGACGTAGGTAGGTAATCCATACCACCACTGGCAAGCAAGGAATAGCAAACAGGCAACTCTTTTCTCCAGAGTAACAAGAAATCTCCAAGGCCCTGCCTGAGTCAGGAGTAGGACACAGCAATCTGTCATATAAGCTTTTAGAAATACACTTTAAATCTATAGTAATTATAAATTGCTACATCATTATAAATTACAAATACTATATAATTATAAATTATAAATTATAAAGCTATAGTAATTATAAACCTGCTGAAGAAGCCTACTTTTATCAGTGGAGCTGCTGTTGCAATGGCAGCAGCCGTTGCGGCGGCCACAGCTGAAGCGGAATCGATTCCATTGGATGACGATTTCCTCTCCAGAGAAATAGGGTCTTTTACTGCACATGCATCCTCTAAAAGCTGCACTTTCACTTCTTTAAAAGTAGGTGAGTGTTGGACTCTGTAAATAAAACAATCCCCAAAAAGTTAAATGAGAAACATCAAGAATATTTCAATAAATATCTTTTAATTTTTTTTAATCAATCTGCCTGTTTACCCCTTATGCACATTTTTCTCTACTGGGCATCACTGCCAAAGTTATTCAATCAACAATTTCTTTATTAAAATAAGAACTCATTATGTGTAAGACACAATTTCTAGACACTATAAAAAGATACAAAAGAAAGAAAAATCATTCTCTCTGTCCTCAAGGGACTTAATATCTAAGGAAACAGGACTTTCATATATAAAAGACTTAAAGTTAGAAAGAAACATATATATGAACAAGTACAGATACATAACAAGTTAAGTGGCACTCCAGTGCTAAATAATTCGAATTTTTTCCCCTTTAAGGGTATAAGTCCCCGAAGACTTATCAAATAAAACAAAACAACTTTCACATTCAAAAGCTATCTGTTTGTATCATTTAACCCCCCTAACCAAAAGCTACATACTAAACACAGCAAGTATTTCTTACTGTGCTCATATCTCCCTTAATGTTTTTCTTGCCATTTGCCACGCCTTCCTCATCCCTCTCCACAGGCACATCCATATTTAACCCAAATTTTCTCTCTTCCATGAAGCTTTCTAAGGAATCTGCTCTAAGATGTTATAGCTTTCTCAGAGGAGAGTTGGAAACTCTGCCCCCTAGCCCTTTCCTATACTCAAAAGGAAAATAGGCAATCTGACTTAATACAGCTGAACCAACTAGAGCCCAAAACGTTGCTCCAAAGCTCTGATTCCCCAAAGGGACCTAATGCCAACACATCCGGGTATCCCAGCTCTGACCTTTATCTCATCACAATCCTTTACCATTCCAATTTTCCTTACATCCCTAATTCTGTTTTTTGTCCTCACCATGATCTCCAATCACTACCTTGCACTGGCTATACTCTCCTCCCTTACTTAGCTCAACCATCTGGTGAATTAGTTCAACTCTACACTATCCTCCACACTCCAATTACTCACCCCTATCCTATCAGCTATCATGCCTTGCCAAACCCTAACCTTAGATTATTTCCACCAGCCACTTCCTTCATATATATCTACTTTCTGCCAAGCAGAGTTGGAGGAAATCACAAAACTGCGCTGACCATCTCCATCACAAATTTATATTTACATAATCTCAACTGGGCTATCACCACAGGAAGAGATCCCCAAACAATATGCTATCTCACTCATCATAGTGGTTGTTCCAAACATTCTTATCGCTCCTCATTTTCATGGCACTCCTGGCCCCCACGCTGCCAGCTAAGCACATTTCCTCATTCTTCACCAAAAAAATTGAAGCAATTTCACTGACAGCTACCTTTTCTCTCCTTCTCCTCACTTCACATCAGTCAAATTGCTTCTTTTTCTCATATGAAAGGGGCCCTTGTCCTTACAACCATCTTCTCTAGCAGACTACCTCTTCCATTGTCCCTTCTCTCTCTAATCATCAATCTCTACCTACTGGCTCATTCTTACTGCCTACGAATATGCCCACATCACCTCCATCCTTTAAAACAATCCTTACTTGATGCAACCATGCCTGTTCAGCTACCATCCTCTAACCTTCCTCCTTTTCTTGGTTAAATTCCTTGAGAAAGGTTATACTAGGCCTCTACACTTCCTCTCCTGTAATTTACTTCAAAAACCTCCATGTACTTTAAAATCTAGGTATACTGGTCTCCATGCTGTTCTTCAAACACCACGCTCCATTCTTTATCTCTGTGCCCCTGCCACACTAGCTATCTCTCATCCCTAGGGATGAGAGAATGGGAGGTGGGAATCAGAGATAGTTCTTTCCCTATGCTTATATTAAGTAGTCAGTGGCCACAGAGGAGAAAAATAACATTCTCTTGGCAACCTGTTTTCCTTTGATTCTCCCAAATTGCCTCTACTCTGAGCACATCCAATTTACACTATAAATATCTTTTATGTACAACATTATTTGCACGTTATCTCCTGCATTAGAATGCTAGGTGCTTTCGCCTTAGAGTCAGGAGGGCCTGAGTTCAAATCCAGCCTCAGACACTTGACACTTACTAGCTGTGTGACCCTGGGCAAGTCACTTAACCCTGACTGCCTCACCAAAAAAAAAAAAGGATGTTAGGTAGCTCCTTGAGGGCAGGGACCATGTTTTTTTCCTTTCTGTGTATCCCCAGAATTTCCCACGGTGCCTAATAAGTAAGTGCTTAAAAAATGCTTATTGACTGACTGATACCCAATCCCTTTTTTCCTTTTTTGTCCTTGACTGTCTCAGGAAAACCATGCTCATGCTTTAAAGTAATAAAGCTCAAGGAAAAAGAGTATTTAAGGAAATAACAATAGTAAGGTATAGGTAATTAAAAGAACATCTAAAGCAATTATACTCAGTACAGACTAGATGGCTCCTGAAACTGGGAAAATTGCTTAAAACTCCCTGGTCTTCAACTTATTCATCTTTAAATGAGGCAATTTACCTAGATGAATTTGATGGTCCTTTCTGCCTCTAAATTCTATGATCCTTCTTAGCTAACTTTCTCCAATGCAATTCAGCCTACCATGATTCCTCTTCTCTACCCACCCTCCCCCTGCCCCAGCCCTTCAGTGTATCTTGCTCCCATATGATCACAAAAGAAAATACTATCTTTTTTCCAAAAAGTCTTGGAAGTGGCCTAGCTCCAAATGAAGTTGATTCAACCAGGCTGAAATCTCAGGCTTTTAGCTCATTGGTAGCTTCCTGGTTAAGAGAATTATTTTGGTACTCTAACAACCTCTTTCCATTTAACCACTGAGTAACCAACATGTCCTCTCTAAGGGGAGTACATGACATCACTCAACTGTTACATGATGACATTATAGGAACAAATGGCACATGATCCCTAAGATAGAAGAGAACCCATTCCCCTCTCATCCACACCCCTCAACACTTCCTTGAATTCCTTTTTCATTTAATTTCACTTATTACCTCTAAGAAGCACTAATTATACATCAGTATGTCGAGAATACGTGGTTTTGTCAGTATGCAAATTCCTGAGTGAAATCCCCATCAGACACAGAATGCAGGTCATCTATATGTTATAGTTTTAGAGAGTTAACTGTGAATAAGGGAAATTAAGTAACTTGCTCCTGGCCACAGAACTAAATATAAAAGGCAGAATTTGGGAAAAAAAAAAAAAAGGCAGAATTTGAGTCTAGGTCTCCCTATCCATTGTACCATACTGTCTCTATTATGATATGACCCTATTATCAAACTGTCTTTATGTCACAATTTGGTATTTATTACATGAATGCAAAATCCTTTTATATTTAATACTGTCTTATTCACTCATTGTCTTACATGTATAGGTCTTTCTCCCCAAATAGATTTGAAGCTCCTCAAAGTGATGGACAGGGGCAGCTGGGTGGCACAGTAGATAGAGTGCAAGCCCCGGAGTCAGGAGGAACTGAGTTCAAATCTGGCCTTAGACACATAACACTCACTAGCTGTGTGACTCTGGACAAGTCACTTAATCCCAATTGCCTCACCAAAAAAAAAAAAAACAACAACAACAATAAAGTGATGGACCATATTTTATACCTCTTTTGTATCACACAATGCTAGGCACACAGCAGATGCTCTGTGATATCAATTAAATATATTGTCAGCACATTAGTGGAAGAGACAATTTAGCTAAGAATAAAATGAAACTGAACACTGTATAATTATATACTGAACAAGCTTGGCCTCGAGGAAAAAATTTAAAAATACACCCCTCCTTATTTCACTTGAAAAAAGAGGAACTATGGGTGAGAAATGTCATGTAAGTTGTCAGTAAAGTGTCAGATGGTGTTGCTGAATTTTTTTTTAACGTTTGGTACAAGAGAAAGCTTGCCTAGTGGGAAGGGGGAAGGATATTTTCAGAAAAGAACATATTGTAAAAAACAAAATGCAATAACAGTATTTTTAAAATAAAATGGCCAATACCTTTTTTAAAAAGGATATCTGGTTTCTCTCTCTTTTTTGGGCACACTGAGTCTGAAAAAGTCAGCCAATGGGCAGAGAGGTTTCTCAAAACCTGACTATTTCCTTCTGAAGGCAAATTAAATGAAGTGTAAAGGGCAATTTCTGTCAATGTCTAAAGCATAATTGAAAAACTATTACTTTGGGAAGGAAGCAGGGAAAACAAAAGGCAGTGCAAATTTAATTTCTCAATTCAAACTTACTTTTGCTTTAAAACAGCTCTTAGAGCATCTTTCTGGCCAGTGGCATACTGAGAAATAAAGATATCATTTGCTGCAAAACAAAAAATAAATATTTCAGAAACATTAAAGATTTCAAAGTATCTACTCAAAGCATAAATTTCTCTTCCTAAATAACATTTCAATATTTACTGAAGGAATTCAGCGATATGGATTCTTCATATACAATGGCCAGCAATCACATCAGTAAAACACCTAATAACCATAACCAGACCTGTTACTTCTTGTGAGGAAGATCTGAAATTTAGTTTTCTAGCATAGTCTGGAGCAGAGAGAAGTTAAGTACTTGCCCAAAGTCACAAAGCCATATTAGAACCAAGTCTTCTTGGCTTTGAGGCCAACTAATTTAAAAAGATACTCCATCTCACAACTATAACCACATGGGGAAAATGACATCAACAGCCGATTCTGGAACCAATCCAGTAAAGGTAATTGCCCAAATCCAGCAAAGTTCATCAAAGAGGCTAAACAACCATAGGCAAATAAATCCTTTTGTCCATCCCAGTATCCATTTTTTTTTTTTGCTTAAAGTACAAGAACTGCCTGGTTTCAGAGAATCTGATAGTTTTGTATAGATTGACAAAACACATATATAACAATGTGACAGAGTAAAATCTTGGGAACTTCAGAATAGGAATTTTTTGTTCATTCCCAAAAAGTTGTCTAGAGGAGTGGCCAGCTCCCTAAACCCCTCTCAGGGGGAAAAAAAAAAAGGAAGGAGTCCATCAACTCTTTCATTGATGGATAAACCTAAGAGGGCTTCCCTGCTTGGATATATATATGAGTCAGGGGCAGCTAGGCAGCGCAATGGATAGGACACTGTCCCGAAAGTCAGGAGGACCTGAGTCAAATCCAGCCTCAGACTAGCTGTGTGACCCTGGGCAAGTCACTGAGCCCCAATTGCCTCAAATAAAAAGGATTTATATGAACTCAGACTTCAACAAGTAGGATGGAAGTCCAATTTCAATATTAAGTATTTGCAAACTGTCTGACAAGTAAAAGAAACAACACCTCAGGATTCTAGAAGAGGCAATTTAAAATAGTCCATTATCATATGGTTCTATTAATAGTCTCCTCGCCAATTTGTGCTCTTTTTCCTTCATGAGGAAAATAAAATCCTATTCCTTACTTATTAAAACTACTTTGCTTATTTGCAGAGTCCTAAAGTAGGTTTCAAATCAGAAAACATGAAGTCTGACTGTTTTTCAAAAAGACCATCTATAAAAAGGAAACCAGACAAAATTAGAACTTCAATTCATATTCCCAGCATTAATGATGAGATTTTCTTTTACTACAAATTCTCAAGCAGGTCTTTAAATTTCTAAATAGAGGCAGCTAGGTGTCGAAGTGAATAGAACACCAGCCCTGGAGTCAGGAGGACCTGAGTTCAAATCCGGCCTCAGACACCTAACACTCACTAGTTGTGTGACCCTGGGCAAGTCACTTAACCCCGATTGTCTCACCAAAAAAAAAAATTTCTAAATGAATGTATTAATTATTTTTGATGTCAAGGAACCTCAGAAGTCATTTAGTCCAACTCCCTGGATTTTAGAAATGAGGAAACTGTAGCCAAGAGAGGTTCTGTGACTTGCCCAATGTCACACAGGAAACTTAAGTAGCAAAGTCCAGGTTTGGCTCTGACTATAAGTTTAGTGCATGTTCTACTGCACCATCCTGCCTCTCACAGATGATCAAAATTTTAAAAGTCAAATAAACAAATAAAATGAAAAATGAAATGAAAGCAATCCTTTTAAAGAGTTCACTGATACCCAAATGCTCAATCAATTTTACCATGAAAACACATTTATAATCTATATGTGATCAACTCCTATTTAGTAGCTGAGTCCAAAACCATAAGGCCAGCCACCCATCCATACGGCTGTTTTCAAATAACAAATCCTATAAATAAAATATAACAGTAATTTTCTTATTGCTGCTTATGGCTTAATTTGAACAAGAACACAGAAAACTCAAAAATAATTTTAGCACATCTTTAAATATATCTAGGAAAGGGATTTGTCCATTTACCTTTTGCTCTATTACTTTCATCTGCATTACTCAAGAGAACCCCTTGTACTGCAGTATCATTAGGATTATCCTTGAAGGCAGAAAAGAAAAACCAAAACCATTAAACAAGATCATTTTTATGATGTTACTTTGGTAAGTACTATGTTCACTATTTTCTCTTATGTCAGATAGGGACGGGGAAAGGGAAGAGGAAATTATGCAAGTAAATTACTCCCACCTGCTCACTGCTAGCAATAAGCTGATGATCTTCCCATTCTTCACGCTTCAAGACCATTCTGACCTCTCAAATTTATTCAATAATTTTCTCATTTGTATTAAAGTTCTTTGTGTATGACTCACTTGACTACTACTTTACACAGTGATGTCTCTTTGTTTCTGTACAGCCTGATACATTCTTAATAACAACAACAAATCTTTATTAGGGTTTATAAAGCACTTTCTATATAACAATTCTGTGAAGTAGACAGTGTAAGAATCTCCATTTTGCAGATGAAGAAATTGAGGTGCAAAGATGGTAAATGACTTACCAGAGTCACACACCTGGGAAGCACCAGAGTCACAATTCAAACACAGTCTGATTCCAAGTCCAAAGTCTTAGAGGCCACTGGTGGCACAACAGACAGGGCACTGGGCCTGGAGTCAGGAAGACCCAAATCAAATCTGGCCTCAGACAATTACTAACTGTGTGATCCTGGGCAAGTCACTCACTTACCTCCTATCTACTTCAGTTTCTTCAGCTGTAAAATGAGGATAATAATAATACCTACCTTTGAGAGAAGCAAATGAAATAATATTTGCAAAGTGCTTAGCACAGTGCCTAGCATATGGATGCTCAATAAATGCTTTTTCCTTCCTTCCTTTCCAATATATCATGCATAACAAATATTTTTTCAGTTTAACGAAAAGAGAAAATAAAGACCTATACTAAAGTAGAAGACTAGACAGGATGAAAACATCAAGAATTACTATTAAGTCTTGGCAACTGTTTGGATATGAAAGGGAGAGGAGGGGACAGGGAAAAGCAAGAGATGACAATCATTCACTCTAGTCTGCATCAATTAACAATAGTTTATTAAGTTCCAACTATGTTCTACGCACTGCAAGTTATCAGCATAAAGATAATGATTAAACACACCGTAGCTGATAAGATGTGAGAGAGTATTTTTAAGGAGACGAGGACCCAGGACAGAGCCATAATTAGATGACATGATATGGATGATAAATCAGCAAAGGAGAAACAAAAGAACTGTCAGAGAGGTAGGAGAACCAGGAGAGGGTACTGTCATGAAAAGTTACCAATGATCTCTTAACTGCCAAGCTAATGATATTTTCTCAATCCTCATTTTTCTTGATCTTTCGTAGTCTTTCACAATGTCAATCACCCTCTTCTCCTCAATACTCTTCTCTCTAAGTTGCATGACATTGAACTCTATCTGACCACTCCTCCTCATTCTCCTCTGCTGGATCTTCATCCAAGATGCACACTAACCATGGGTGTTCCCCAAGATTCTATCCAAGGTCCTCTTCTCTTCTCCTCTATTCTATTTCATTTGGTGATCTCATTAGCTCCCAGAATTTAATTATCATCTCTACATAGATAATTCTCAGATCTATTTGTTCAATCCTAACCTCTCTTCCCACCTTCAGTCTCACATCTCAAACTGCCTAATTAAGACATTATAAACCAGGCATCCCATGGCATCTTAAATTCAACATGTCTAAAACTGAATTCATTTCCCAAAAAAAAAAAAATTTCTCTTCTTCCTAACTTTCTTATTACTATTGAAGGCAGCACAATTCTCAAAGTCACCCCGACTCACAACTTAGGTATCTAGGTGTCACCCCCAACTCCTCACTTTCTCCCTCCACCCATCATATTCTATAATGTTGTCATGTAATAGTTGAGTGATGTCATGTACTCCCCTTAGAGAGGACATGTTGGTTACTCAGAGGTTAAATGGAAAGAGGTTGTTAGAGTACCAAAATAATTCTCTTAACCAGGAAGCTACCAATGAGCTAAAAGCCTGAGATTTCAGCCTGGTTGAATCAACTTCATTTGGAGCTAGGCCACTTCCAAGACTTTTTGGAAAAAAGATAGTATTTTCTTTTGTGATCATATGGGAGCAAGATACAATGAAGGGCTGGGGCACGGGGAAGGTGGGTAGAGAAGAGGAATCATGGTAGGTTGAACTGCATTGGAGAAAGTTAGCTAAGAAGGATCATAGAATTTAGAGGTAGAAAGGACCATCAAATTCATCTAGGTAAATTGCCTCATTTTAAAGATGAAGAAATTGAAGACCATGGAGTTTAAGCAAGCTCCCTTCTCTCCTCTGAGACTGCCACCACTATGGAGAATGCTATTTTTCTCCTCTGTGGTCACTGAGTACTTAATACAGGCATAGGTAAAGAACTATCTCTGATCCCTACCTCCCATTCCACCAACTCTACCCCAACTCATGGCCTATTCCAACCCCTTCCAACCTTTCTACTGTGCTATCTGAAATTCCTGTTGCCTAATGAACAAAACCTCCTTTCACCCTGAACTTCTTTCTCTCTCACACTCCTACATATTAGTTTTCCCTCAGTGACACTTTGCCTTTTCTCACAGTCTGAGGGAGGTATGTTGTGCAGGGCTGCATTAGTCCTAGAGGCAGAGAAGGCATATTGCTTGCTAACCACTACCACTGATCATTATCTTCAATTACTCAGCAACCTCTCCTCCTCGGAAGGAAAGAGGGAAGGAACAAAAGAACAAACAGAGGGAGAGGAAAAAAGGGAGGGAGAGATGGAGGTAGGGAGGGGAGATCAAGTGCCTATGTGTATATTTGTATGTGTAACCATTCATTATATATTCAACAATGTTTCTCAAGGTACAGCATTTAAAAAGCACATATTAATGTGGTGGGCAGGAAAGAGGTATCTATGCTTAACTGTCAAAAGAAGTGTATTTACAACATGTAAATATATCAAAATTGTACATGAAAAAATAAAATTTATTCCTTTTGGAAGGAAAGAAGGACGCAAGGGAGGGATGGAGGAAGGAAGGAAAGAAGGAAGAAAAAAAAAGCATCAATGAAATATAATCAAAATACACAGAAGAGAACAAAAGGAAGTTCAGAATGGGACACAAGCAGGGCAGTTCTGTCATCATGTTAAATGAAAGATATACCTTTTTTATAAAAATGAAAGTAAGAGATTCTTAGTTTTATATATAATCCTTCTTCTTTGTATTACTAAACATTAAAATATTCATATGTGCTATTTATTAAGTTCATAATAAAAAGTAAAAATTTTTTTTAAGAGAGAAAAAAAAAAGACTTAAGGGATGAAAGGTAGCAGGAAACAGGAAAGCTGTCCTCAAGTACCTAAAGGCCTATCATGTAGAAGTGGAATGTTCTGCTTGGCCACAGAGAGCAGAACTAAAAGCAGTAAGTTAAAGTTGAGATGATAAATTTAGGCTGGATGTAAGGAAAATTTTCTTAATAATCAGCTATCCTCAATTAGAACAGGCTGTATTGGGAGGTAGTAGGTCCCTCCTCATTAGGGATCTTTAAGTAAAGGCTGGGAAGGAAGATGTAGAGAGGATTTCCTAACTCAAAAACAAGTTGGACCAGATGATTCCTGAACTGTCTTTAAATTCTGTTTCTTTATATGGGTTTTAGTGTCATTTCTGCCATTTGCTAAGTACAAAATCAGAGAGATTTATGACAAGAAAAAGAGTTCGGCTAGTCATATAATGAAGTGTCAAAGTAAAAAAGGATTAATTCTTGTATTTCTTTATAGGGATGTCATAAAGCCATTTATAAATCATAAAATGTTTCATAAGTGTTAAGCATCCACTATGCCAGACATTTTACTAGATAAGCCCGAGGAATACAAATGTGACAAAGTCTTTGCCCTTAAAGGAGCCTATATTCCACTGAGGCATAAAATAGGTTCTAAGTTAAGTAAACAGAGGATACATTCAAAATAACCGGGGAGTATAATGGGTAGAAGTCCACAAATAATTGGGAGAAATTAAAAAGGCCTCTTGAAGCAAGTGATACTTGAGCTGAGACAGGGGTTCCAAGAAGAAAAAGTGATGAGGTTATATAATTCAGGCATTTGGAGGGTGGGGGAAGGATAGGGAGGCAGCCTGTGCAAAGGATGGAAATGAAATGAAATGTTGTATACAGCAAACACCAAGTCAGTCAGTTTGGCTGAAGTATGGAGTACATGAGAGGGAGTAATGTATGAGTAGCCTGGAAAGATAGATTGGACTTAGATTGTAAAAGGCTTTCAAGTGTACTTCTCTGGGGCAGCTAGGTGGCGCAGTAGATAGAGCACCAGCCCTGAAGTCAGGAGGACCTGAGTTCAAATACGGCCTCAGACCAAACACTTAACATTTACTAGCTGTGTGACCCTGGGCAAGTCACTTAAACCCAACTGCCTAAAAAAAACAAAACAAAAAATCAAGCATACTTTTCTACAAGAATAGGAATTTGGCTGTAATGGGGAAGAAGGATAAAAGTTGATTGTTAGGGTGGATAGTGGGGTTAAGTGAAGATATTTTAAGAAGGGAAGAAATCTGGGTATGTTCGAAACTACTAAGGAAAACAGCCAGTGGATAAGGAGGACCTGGGGAGAGGTAGGTAATCAAAGAGGCTGCTAGAGGAGCTGGAAGTAAAGGGACCAACCAATGACAGCAAAAAGGGCCAACTTATCCTCCAAGACTGAAAGTATCAGGGGTGATTCTGAGGCAATCTCAAGTGGGGAAAAAGAGAAAAGGAACTCAAGACAGAAGGCCTCAACTTACTCAGTGAACTATGAGACAAAGTCTTCTGCCAGGAACAAGGGGGAAGGTGGTTAGAGAAGAAAAGATTTGGAACAGTGACTGTAGGAACAGAATAGAGAGCTAATCAGAGAAAAATAAAAGGATTTGCAGCAAACAGGACTCAGCTGAGTTTGGATGGCCCTTGAGATTAGATAAACAAACACTGTTGCATTAGTAACAGTAACCTGACTGTTAAATAGTGCCCCTCTTTAACTATTCACGAAACGGCAATTATCTTACTAATGGATAATCTCTATTTCATGCAGAAATATTTCATTTTAATGAAGATTCCGTATGTACCATTAAGTAAAGTTTTATCAGAAAAAAAATCCCTGTAAGAATTTGAACAGAAACAAAACTTGCTATATCCAAAAACATTCCCTGAGAGTACCGAAATGTTATACTTAAGATAACTGACCCCACTCTGGGGCTGGAGTGAGTGCCAGCGTCCTGGGAGGTGGAGGCAAGATTCGAGGTAGATCCCAGTGCCAACTGGCCAGTCCAGCGCCCTGATCAGTGCAGCACGGACCATGGGCCTCCGAGAGCCGGTCCCGGGTGGGCCAGCTGCAGGTAGCTGGGTACAACTGCAGGGCAGCTCCATGTGGGGGTCCAAGCCATGAGCAGAGGCCCCTCCGAGTTCAGCATTTATGATTCCTTTGAATTGTCCCTGGAGGAGGGGGGCCCAGGGGGACCGCCTGCGCTTTGGAGCGCTGCACTTTGAGCGTAAGGGCCAAGGAGACGGGGAAGAAGAGGGCGAGAAACAGTCTCATCTCAAGTACCAGAACTTGGAGAATGACCAGGGGTGCCCAGATCCCCTCGGATCCTGATGGAGCTATGAAACTCAGGTTAGGCCGACCCCTGGCCCTTCCTGCCCTCCTCCTGCTCCTGGCCTGCCCTGGGGACCCCCTGCTCAGTGTAGCCTCTTCCAGCAGCGACCCTGTGTGCTCCTCCACCCAAAGTTCTCAATGGTCCTTCAGTACCATCAGCAACAGCACCTAGAGCTCCTATCGTGCCTGCTGCAGGTGAGGGGCAGGGCCCCCTCCCTCTTCGAAGGCTTCAGGCCTTGGGCGTGTCTCCAGCCCTGTCCAGCTGGCCAGGGACAAGCCCCCAACCTGCCTCATCCTCCCCTCCTTCCCAGATGCCCTCTACAGCCCAGCCCCATCCTTATCTAACACTCCTTCCCATCGGGGCACTGGGCTTGGAATCCAGAAACCAGTCTTAACTCCACCCCTGACTTGCTCAGTGACTGCAGCCTCTCTGGGTCTCAGTTTCCTCCTCCATAAAATGGGAATTAGTGAGAAAAAAAAAAGATGATAAATTAATTTGCTTACCTCTTCTGATAAAATGGGATCCATAATATTTTTTGGCTTAGGTAGATGTTTGTGATTTCTATCAGATGCCACATATGATGTACCTGATAAAATACAATGGTCAATTTTAGTTCCTTATAACCTGGACCTCATGTCTTTTTCATATTTAGTTGTGTATATGATTATTCCATAGCAATAAAAACTGCTTTTTTGAAAGCCAAATGTGCATACGAAACAAAAAGTTGAGTAAACTGCATGTGGTCTATATCAGAGGTGTCAAACATGCAGTCACATTACTCCCAAACGCAGCTAAAATAGATTAAACTGTAATTGGGGATATTTAACAAAATAAATAAAAGTACAATAAAATACAGGTAATATTACATTTTTAAACTAAGTCAACATGCAGCCTAAAGGGATCCTTATGTATGAATTGCTGTTCACTCATGTCTAACTCTTCGTGACCCCACATGGGGTTTCCTGGCAAAGATAACCAGTAGATTAAGGTAAACAGAAGTTAAGTCACTCACCCAACCTCACACAGCTAGTGAGTGTCTAAAGCTGGACTTAAATTCGTCTTCCTGAATCCAGGCCCTGGACTCTATCCGTTGAGCTACCTAGCTACCTACTATGTACAGATTAGTGGCCACCACTTCTTTTTGAGTTTGACACCACTGATTTATACTAAGCTAAAGTGACAAAGTGACAGAAAATTGCTGTGGCCAAAATCGTTGCTAAACTTCTTGTAATGAGACTTTCCAAACTTAGTAAGGCTGGTCCTCACATGACAGACTTAGATGCATTAAAGATTCTGTATGGCACAATCACACCACAATGGTATAGAGGAAAGAACCCTAACTCAGGAGTCAGATGTGACTCTTGCCCTCATTTACCACCTCTGTGACACTGGGCAAATCCCATAGCTTCCCTGGGCCTCAATTTCCTCATCTGGAAAATGAAAGGGTTGACCTAAACAGCCTCTGAGAATCCATACAGTTACAGAGCTGAAACTCATAAATCTACAGGGTATATTTCAATATATGAATGATAAAAGCTTTGCACGTTCAAAAAATGCCTGACATAATGGGAATTGTGCAAAATGCAGAATTTAGTACTGTACATAGGCAACAGTATTACAAAGGCATTCAATGTCTTTCCATTGTTCTTAACAATAGTGTTTCTACTAAGAATAAAACAAATTTTGCAGCTTATACTTTTTTGTTTTTGCTTTTTTTTGGTACGGCAATCAGGTTTAAGTGCCTTGCCCAGGGTCACACAGCTAGTAAGTGTCATGTGTCTGAGTTCGAATTTGAACTCAGTTCCTCCTGAGTGCAAGGCCGGAGCTTATCCACTGCAACACCTAGCTGTCCCAGCTTATACTTTTAAAAAAAGTAGACCACATATCTTTACCAAGCACCTAATCTGTGCAAAGCAATGGTTTGTCCCATATACTACGAAGAGTAAAACAGCAAAAAGAGAAATCTTTATATTTCCATTGTCACCCCGCCCAAAAAAAGAAAGAGAATTTAAAACATACTCATTGGAGTTTTAAAAATTTTCTATGGAAAGTAACTTTAACTTTTTAAACATAAATACTAAACAAAGTAATAAAAATTATTATTAATCACAAAAAGTAAACACAGGTAAGCTCATACCACTGGATATTCCATTCAAATCAGCAGGACTTGGCTTATTTGCTGACAAAGCAAGAGGAATGTATACTGATTCATTTTTAGGTAACATCAAATCATTAACAGGATTGGGGGCAACCATTTCACGTAACATCTTCACTGGTATTTTAACACTTTTCTGCTCTTCAGGGTGAAATCCCTTGGGGTGAAGAAGATTGCTGCTAATAAGGTGAGCCCCATTCTTATTGAGAAAATGATCTTCTGTTTCCATTAAGTTTTCAAAACAAACCTTTCAAAACAAAGGGAGAAGAGGAGAGGATATAAATCAGTTTAAATTTCAAGATAATAAAAATTATTTCAGAGGTGAACTGTCAACATAATGCAGTGTGAACTACTACACACGGTACCTGGCACAAAAAGAATACTAATTGAGATGAACTGGTAATAAACTGGGACTTAAACTTGGGCAAAAACAATATTATATAACTCATTTATATAGTTTTTCAAGGCAGTTAGGTGGCTCAGTGGATAGAATGTCTGGCCTAAAGTCAGGAAGACTCATCTCCACGAGTTCAAATCTGGTCTCAGACAATAGCTGTGTGACCCTGGGCAAGTCAAAACTTAACCCTATTGGCCTTGGTTTCCCCATCTGTAAAATGAGCTGGAGAAGGAACTGGCAAACCACTCCAGTATCTTTGTCAAGAAAACCTCAAATGGAGTCATGAAGAGTCGGACATGACTGAATAACAACAAAAGTTCTTTTTCAAAGCACTTTAGACTATTATATCATTTGATCCTCCCAACAACCCTGGGAAGTCCGTACTATTATTATATATATCGCTCTTTTCCAAAGCACTTTAGACATATCATTTGATCCTTATAACAACACTGGGAAGTAGGTGCTATTATTATCCCATTCTACAGATGAGGAAACTGAGGCAGACAGCGATTAAAAGACTTTTCAAAGGTCTAATAAGCGTCTGAAGGTACATTTGAACTCAGGTCCTTCCTGACCCCAGGTCCAGCATGCTATGTATCCCGTGGGTCTCAAAGCAAGGAGAGCAGATTAGTACGAATCCTTACACATAAAAGACACAAAATTTGAAGCAGAAGCCCAAATGACGTCCCGACAGGGGCGGGACGGGAAAGGGCGGGGGGCGGGGGAGGGAGTAGCATAGTACAGATGCATCTACGGGTAAAAGCAAACTTAACCAATCCGTAGAGAGAGACGACTTCGCTTCCTCCCCCAAGGTGCAAGGCACGTTTGCCACACACTCACGGGCTCCGCTCCCCAAACCCGCCCGCGCCCCACCAATTTACCCTAGCAACAACTTCAGTTGCCCGCCAGCTTCCCTTTAAGCCTGAGTCCTTGCACAAGACGCATGCGCTCTCGCAACCCCCTCCATCGGTGTCCAACCAAAAGCAGGGGCCTTCGGGAGTGTTCGCTTATCCCTCACCCGCTGGAAACAAAAGCCGGCCATGAGAGTTCTGACAGCTGAGTAAAAAAACGGGCACAAATTTTGTTTGATTTTAACTTGTCCCGCCCCCATCCTGGCCAAAAAAAAATTTTTTTTAAATCACGTCCCTTCGTAAAGGTTACACTGCAAATGAAATGGAGATGGCGACCAGAAATTGAGCGCTCGAAAAGTTACCAGGAAACGCTACCCGTGATTACAATTAATTGTAACTCCCTAGACCGTTGCAATACGGTAAATATATCTTTTGACCAGTATCGGCAGATTCGCGCGTTGGTTAGCAATGAGTTCACGTATCCTCAGCACGGCATTAGAGCAGAAGAAGAAAAACAAAAACAAAAAACAATGAAATGATAAAATTTAAAAATCAAAAGCTTATGAAAGTGTTTGTTGAAAATTAAAAATAAATAAATTAGGGAAAAAACAATGAAATGCAAGAGCCGGAGAAGGAGCCAGGCTTCCTCGGCGGGAAGCCTCGGCTGGAACATGACGAATCGGCGACTGCAAGCAAACAGCGCTATTTGACAGACGGCCACCCCACGTGTTCTTGTTTCCTAGACCGCGGCGCCGGCCTGACTTGAGCTTGGAGCTGCCCGCGTGTCGCGGAGACTGAGACCAGGGACCCGATCTCAGCTGCGCAGCCAGGGGGCCGTGAGAGAGCGCGCGTGATCCAGCAGGTGCGGTTTCATTCCTCTTCCCCCGGGCTGCCCCTTCTTCCTCGGTCCGTCCCAGGCGGGGGTCGCCCGGAGCCTGGGAGCCCTGGCGGGCTTCCCGGAGCGCACGTGGGTCCGGGCGAAGGAGCGGAGCCTGCGGGGGAGGGGCGGCCCTTGGCCGGCCGGGCGATGGGGGGACCGGTGTACCCGAGACCCCTCTCCAGGCTCCAGCAGGCTGCGCTGTCTCTCTCCGGCTCTTGTCCAAACTTTTCTTCCGTGACCTTGGGGTCAATTGAGGACTCTTCCCTCCTTGACGAGGACGCCCTCTCCTCACCGCCCCGCCCCCTTGCACTTTGCTCCTTCTTAGGTTCCTGGTCTGGGACGTCCGGGGGCCACTGTCTGCCTATGGGGAGAACTGAACGCCCGAGAGGTTATGTGACTTGCCCAAGATCACTCAGTTTAGTAGGGGCCAGAGGCAGGATTAAACCTGGAGCCTCTAATTCAAAATCCGGTATTCCGATGAATTTCAAATCAGTTCTAGCAACAGGAATGATGCTAAACGCATCTATAAGGAAACAAAATATATGCAAAATTATGGAGAGGCCATAGCACTAACAAGCAGGGACACGGGAAAGGGAGGTAGCGCTTTTAAGGCAGAAATTCCAAGAGGTGAAGGTGAGGAAGGAAAGCCAAGATGGGAAATAAAGTAAGCTGTCGAAGGCGCAGAGGGAGAAAACTGAATGTCCCGTGTAAGGAGTGGCCAAGGGGCCAGTTGGTAGAACAGAGAATGTTGGCCATCAGGTTGTAAGGGGCTGTAAATGCCAAATAGGTTACTGTGTATTGTATCCTAGGAATGGTAAGGAACTACGGAAGTTTCTTGTGCTAGAAAGTGACAGGGACCTGCATGTTTGGAATATCTTTGGCAGCTTTGTGGAGAATGATTGGAAAAGAAATTAAATGGAGACTGCAAGGCCATTTAGGAGGCTATTGCAACAGTGTTGGTGAGATAAGCCTGCACTATTTCACAAATAGACAGAACGTGAGATGCAGGAGATGTTGAGACTTACAAAGATAGACAAAAGACGGTTTCCACTTTGAATGAGCTCACAGTCTAAGGGGGAAGATGACATGAAAACAACTGGGCAAATCAGCTATCCACAGGTTAAATGGAAAATAATTGTCGAAGGCATTAGAAGCAAGGGGGTTTGGGAAAGATTTCCTGTAGAAGGTGGGATTTTAACTGGAACTTGGAGAGAAGCCAGAAGGCCTTGATTAAAAAAAATTAAAAATAAAAAAGAGGGCATTCCAGGCATGGGGGACAGCCAGTTAAAATTAGAGGAGTTGGGAGATGGAGTGTCTTGTTCAAGGACCAGCAAAGAAGGCAGTGACACTGGGTCAAAGAATATTTGTTGGGGTCAAAAGTATAAGACTGGAAAGTTGTGCGGTGGAGTGGTTCCTAGGTATTGTACCTGGGTGAATGGAACAAAAGTGAGATTGGGGAAAAGAAAATGAATCTGTTTGGGACACTTTGGTGAATAATAATAGCTCACTCATAATAACTAACACCTATAGCCATCATAATTTCGCACAATTTGTCTTTATTTGATCCTCACAACAACTCTGGGAGTAAAGTACTACAGGTATTCTTATTGTCATTTTTCAGATGAAAAAGCTGAACCTCAGGGATGTTAAGTGCCATGTTCAGAGAGGTACCAAAGGCGTGATTCATGCTATGACTCTACTAACTCAAGCTGCTTCTCTCCATGTAGTGCTTTATCTGTATAGTTGGAAAGACTACCCATATTGATGAAGTCACAGATCTATTAAAGTTTACAAACAGTAAACATTTATTAAATGCCTACTATGTGCCAGGTACTGTGCTAGGTAATTAATCTGTGATTCAAGTACTATTGGCATCTTACAAATGAAGAAACTGCCGTACAATGACATTAATAACTTGCTTTTGAATACATAACAAATAACTGGCCATGACTAGAACCCAGGTCTCCTTACTATGATAGTCAATAAACATTTATTAAAACACCTACTGTGTGCCAAGCCCTGAGCTAGGTGCTGGCAATACAAAAATGAGTCCCTGCCCTCAGGGAGCTTGATATTCTATTAGGTTGCAACATGTGTCATATAAAATAGATCCAAAATGGTGGGTTGAGGCACTAACAGGCTGGGGTATCAGGAAAGGCCTCAAATAGGAGGGGACAACTAAAGTGAGCTTTGTAGAAAGCTAAAAATTCTGAGGTGCAAGTGAGAAGGGAATGCATTGGAGCCATGGGGAGACAAGAAAGCATAGGGACAAGAAGTGGAATGTTGTGTGTGGAGAACTGCAAGGTGGCCATTTTGGCTGGACTTTAGAGTTAGTGATGTGTATATAATAAGCTTGAAAAGGTAGCGAAGGACCAGATTCTAAAGGGCTTTAAATGCCAAATAGAAGAATTTGCATTTTATCCTAGTGAAGATAAAGAGCCCCTAGTCGCTTTCTGCTACACAACAGTGACTTTATAAGTTGTTATAAAATCCTTTGGGGTCATTTGGCATTTTGGCACTTAATACTACTAATTTGAAAAATAATCAATATTCTCTTGAAACTGAAAGTATGTTCTACTCTAAATGTTAAATAGATATATTTTTACAGACCAAACATCTACTTGAGGAGTCTGTTAATATTGAATTTTTGAATTAACAGTTTCACTAGTAAGAATTACTTGTTATCTTTTCACAATGGAACCATAGAAAGTATTGTTTTTTGCAGAGTAGGAAAGAGCCTCAGAAACCATCTCACTCCCTCATGTTGTAAGTGAAGAAACAGGGCCAGAGAGATGACTTGACTTTCTCAGAATTGCACAGTTGGTGTTAGAGGTGGGACCAGAGAGGAGGCTCATTGACTTGTTGCCCAGTTCTTTCCATTGCCCCGAAGTTGCATATGCTAACCTTAAAAACAATTGTTTCACAACACTGGTGGCAGTATTATCAGCTTTCAGAGGTTAAAGCTAAAATCTTTTTTCCTTGAGGGTAGAACTAAGGTATTCCTTTTCCTCTGCCTAGCACATAGTGATAAGGGAGAATGACTAGATTTGTGATTTCACTGACGTAGGAAACTCCCTCTGTCCAATACAATTTGGTACCTTTAGTTGCCAAAAGCACTGAAAGGTTAAGTGACTTTGCCTGAGGTCCCACAGGATATGTCAGAAGTGGGACTTGAACCTAGATCTTCCAGGTTTCAAGTATAGCAGATATTAGTTGAATAAAAGGAATAAGTTAACTGTGAGAAAAGCCTCAATTGTTCTTATAACCAAACATGGGTGGTGTGCCTACCATAATTGTGGATGATCATTGGCCATTAGATGTGACATGGCAATAAAAGTATCACAGGAAAGGATTTTGACAAACTAGTAAAGTGTATTTATGAGCAAGAGATATCTTGAACACATTTGCAGATTTAATGTAATATATATTTATTAATGTTTGGGAGATAAAGTATACTAAGGAAACAATCCATATTAAATGGAGAAAATTCATAGCTGCATCTTATTTCAAAACCACATGGGGGCACTACATGATTGTCCATTTTCTTACAATTCAGCATGTTGGGCTTTCATTGTATTTTCTATTAGTTGGCAGGAGGAAAATGCAGCATTACAAACCTCTGAAATGCATTAAAATTGTTCAAATATATTAAATGTAGCTTTCATAACAACTATCTAATTATTCTGTCAGAAAAATTAACAAATTCTAACCTAATCCTTAAGGAATACAAGAAAATGAAATTGTAAACAGGTTTTGGAACTTAGGTTAGTTGATCAGATTAAGTTGCTTTCACATTAAAAGAAAAAATAGCAAGGAAACCAGACCTGCTCTTGGTTTGGGGTGCAATTGAGAACTTGAAAAGCTTAGTTCCCCAGATGACCTACTGTACTACAGTGAACGTACTGTATTTGTTTAACAATTCTAAAGACTGAAAATCTAGTAGTTAAACCTTTGTACTTTCATCTGGTGCCCTTTTGTTAAAAGTTCCTTGATGCTTGTGTCATTGACCTTATTTAAGCTTATAAAAAAAAAAAAAGATTTCCACAAAAAAAGGGATTTCAATCAATGATTATTTCCAGAAAAGTAGCCCTTCCAGTTCTTAGAGCTATATGAGTTGGTTTTAGAGAGGAAAGCCAAATGTATTCCAGGTGTAAGCCTCTGCTAACAATGTGGAATTGATTCATCCTATATTGTTAAATCCCCTAGAGACAACTCAAGTTAGGAAACTGTCTCACTTCATTTTAAGCTC